CCTCTTTTTTTTTAGCAGCTGCACAGCTCCCTCACTTACTACTACTACCACTACTTACTGACGAGCCCTTATTGTTCTCTTCGCTTAGAGATTGTAATAGATGAAAATCCAACCAATTCCGGCTTAATCTAACTACTATCTAGAACATTGCTCTCCCATACTCCCATAATAAAGTATTGCAAATACTAATAGCGTGTTTTCTAAAGGCCCTGATTCAAGAGAGGAAATTTCCAAATCTCAAGCAAGGAAATCTGTAAGACTTACACAAAAACAGAAGCTATTCCTCTTCTGGACGTATAAATTCGTAAGACCTACAGGAAAATATATCTTTTTCAGATATCTCCAGATGATTATAATAGGGATCTCCAAGCTGGGCAGAGCAGCCCTAGGAGTAATAGTTGCTAAGCTTTTCCTGGAAATTTCCACTTCCAAATTGTAACACAAAAGCAGACTAATCTGACCCCGAAATCGTGACTTTCTATCCTTTCATAACTCTCCAGGTTCCCTTAGCAAAGTGGAGCGAAAAGAATTTCCTCTCTTGAATCAGGGCCTAAGCCTCGCCACTTCGCCAGTTTCCAGCGAGGGGGAACGAGGTAGACGGGGCAGGGCTGAATTGTAGATAGCCATAATGGTAATGATTCTTAGCCTCGGGATATAGGGAAAATCATGCATTAAAAAGATTCAACTTTAACCCTTTGATCAAGCCAGACGTGGGAAGCCCCTTGACCCTTTATCTGGCAAATTGGGGGCTTGCTGGAACTACATCGTTCCCTACCAAATGATGGGCAGGGGTAGACGGTCCAGCCACACGCTTCATCTCGTATCATGTTAGTATATCCTTGCCCATCACCTCCATAAGCAGCCATAGCACTATCCTCGCCTAGTACCCATCGCCTTACGGCGCGGTCAAGCCGTGTACCTTGATGATCATATGGTGTCTGCTCCAAAGCACCCTCAACGAGGCCAACTGGTTTTTCATGCATTTTGTTTCCGTTGCGAGTACAAAGCGTTTGGCGTTTTTTAAAGTAGACATGGCCGGCCCAGCCACTCGTTAGCCATTGAGGTAGATCTCATAACCAAAACAAGGAGGGATTCTCTTTATCAAGTCTGGGCCATCAGCATCTGTTTCCTTGTTAGTTCCCTTTGTGTCGTCTATAAGAAGGCGGGTCGGATACGTCCCCCAAACAATCTTCAATCTCTAGAGCAACTCGCCGGTTGCTTCTCGATACAGCCAATAATACCCCCATATCTCCACCACCGATCCGTATGATCCATAATGTTATGCTTTTATTAGTTCTTCCATCGAAGTCTTTATATCTTTCGGGTAATGGTCCTTGATTTGATAGCAAGTATTGCTCAGTCCCTCGTGTTTCAGCTCAACAAGCTCATTAACACCATTCTGTGGGACGTCTATCACAGCAATACTTTTCGATGCTCGGGGTTAATCTGATAATTCTCGAATGGCATCATGGGAAAATCCATCTCAATTGAGTACCTCTGGCTAAACCTGTTGACTTGCAAACAAATTTATGAAATTGAAGATGTTGTCTAAACCAATAAGTGGAAGTAAGGTAATGTAGGTCGAAGAGTAGTCTCACCTCATAGGCTAGGTTGAAGCACTTAATATCCGATATGACCAAAGTTCTAGTGTTAATAAACAAAAAGTATTAGCATAGATTAACGACACAGATAAGGGTTGCAAAATCTATTGGATCTTAACTGAGTTCAAGTGTAGTTATTATGCAGATGTGAGATTGAATGAATAAGATAAAATTCAATAATGTGTCATGATATGGAACACTAACCAGTCATCAAGCTGCAGATGATCTATATGATACAGTGACAAAAGGTCACGCCACCACACCAAGCCAAGTCGGGTCGATGTATTGTGTTGATATCCTGGAATATCTAGCCTTGCCATTTAGAAGATGCATAAGCACTCTCATCACGGATTAGGTGTACGCTACCGATGCTGATTATATCCCGAACTTGGTGTAGACTTACAGCGAAAGATAGGAGCAGTACTAAACCAGGACTAAAATATTTCTGCGTTTGACAGCCTAGTCACAGCACTTTAGCGACTTTGTTGAAGTTATGTTCAAGTAGAGCGGCAGCCATGTATCCCTGGTAGCTATTGCTATTGCTCGTTGAAGACGACGATCCCTAAAAGACATTCAGGTTCAAATGTGCTGGTATGCTGTAGGATGTGATAGATCGTTTTGACGTGAGCTTCTTTTCATATACTGCAATTAAATTTTTCTCAGCTCTCTCAAGATAGTACTTGTAATGTACTGCATAGAAAATAATTAACTAGCCAAGATATAGACTTTATTGTGATATAACTTAGTATGGATTTTGATAACTAACCCTCTCATTCAGACTTAATGCAACTGATCGCTGTCTCTTTGTAGCTGCAGAAGTACCGGTGCGATACACAGCTTTCCCACTGTAGACTTGTGATGCGTTCTGAGGGTCTCCGCACGAGCAAAAGCCTTCCCACAACCCCAACGTGTACCGTCTCTTAGTACGCCCCGGCAAACATGCTCTCTCCGTCCGCTGTGTGTAGTCTCGTGGCGGGTTAGATCGCTCTCTCTGGCAAACGCTTTGCCACAATGCCGACATGCATATCTTCGTTCAGTACCATGACTTGTAGCATGCGATTCCATGTTGTATTTCTTCGAGAATACTTTACCGCAATCTGGGCAATTGAATCCTGTCTGCCGAGGCCTTTTCTGGCGTTGTCTCGTGCGGTCGTCTTCGGGATCGGAGGCGTCAACCTCCTCCACCGCTTCATCCGCCCTTAGCCCCTCCCCCGCATCTAAAGCGATGACGTTTTCGACGGGCTGAGCTCGAATAGATTGGTCGTGGATACTTCTTTGTACGTCTTCCAAAGTTGGAAACTCTCTGTCAGCTCGGTTCTCCATTGAATGCACTTGTCGTATATGTATATCTCGTGCGTTGGCTGTTACAAAGCCCACTACAAAGCCGTAGCAGTTTAGATCAGCGCAACGAAAAGGCCGTAAATGTTGCTTTAGATGCTCATCTCGTGTACCGCTTGTGGAGAATCCGGCCGTAAAATATTGGCAATTGAATCTTTCGCATTTGAAAAGACTTTCCTTCTTCCCGTATTTTTCTTCAATCCGATGCCGAATGCTCACTTCATCATCTGTTGTGTTGGACCAAGTCTGTTCAAGGACATTGCGAACCTTGATAACAATGTCGAAAAGATCTAAAACAAGCTTGTCTTGGTGTACGAATTGTCTTAGATGCTTTTTGGTTGAAGCTACTGCCTGTTCCAGTTGATCGTAGAAGGGCGCATCCTTGAAGAACTCCAGTTTATGACTATGACGTGGGGCTAGGGTCAGTCGGCTCCGGTTTGGATTCGAATGCCGCTCAATGAAGACACCCAATGACTCTTGAAGTTCAATCATATGTGTGTCATGGGAGACACTCCTTGAGATTGCGCCAGCCTCTAAGTGAGGGAGCCAAAAGAGAACAGCGTAGTCCATGAACGAGTAATCGCCTAGCAAAACGTTCTCCTCTGTGGGCTCTTGTCTGAAAATGGGGAGATTGAGATAGTCAATACAGAGGAGGGAGAGGGTTAACTCCTCGGTGGGGAGATCTATGTGTCCTTTCTCGACCAAAAAGCTATACGGCGTGGAATCAGCAATCGAATTCCAATGAAAGCGTCCCAATACCTACGATTTCGCGGTTAGGTGGACCAACTCGAGTGTCCCATCAGCACGCTCTTCAACCAAAGATGCGCACAACTCTTTGGCCGACTTTGCAAAGCTGTTACTTTGGAAATCTACCGACCGATTCTCTACGTCAATCGATTGCATCCCCTGTATCTCAAACCATTTGAGAGGCCTTTTTGCGCACACAAGCCACCCCAAAAGCCTTAAGATATCTTTGAGCAATCCTGGACTGTCTTGAGTGATCCGGAAAACTATACGTTCATACCTTTCTTTGAATTAACTACTAGACTGGAATATTAAAGACGAAACTTACGCGGAGTTGATCTCTTTGGGAAATCTGTCTGGCCGAAGCTCATCTTCGAGGCGAGCCATTGAAATCTGAGCTTCCAGGTTGTTCCATATCAGCTTCGCTAAAAGAAACATTCCTATCGGAACTTTTAGTCATAGTGTACTGAATCAAAAAAAGAGGATTAGAAAGAAAACCTTACCTGATGCAGATAGCGATACATGATGGGCAATTTCATTTGCCTTTTCATCAGTAAACCTAAATATGTTCTGAAGTTTCCCGACTTCAATGCGACAGTATTCCTTCATATCATTTATGTTATCCGTGTTACTGATATTGATGCTCGTAATTCCGGAAAAGTCCTTTCTCGCATAACCATCATCTTGGCTGATGAAGAGGCATCTTATCCTTTCTGGGTCTGGGTCAGAATCTGGTAGGCCTTCCACGATTGTTCTGAATAGCTGGGAGATTTGCAGTCGTTGCTCTCTTGGGCACTCATCCAATCCGTCTAAGATGATATATGTGCTCTTACATTTCTTCAGAGCAAAATTCAAGAGATTTTTCGCTAGGCTAGGAGACGAGAGAGTGTTTTCCCCGCTACGACAACATCGTGAGTAGAATGCAGTCAGTAAGTTATCATTCTGCTGTAAAAGCTGTTTGAGGAATGTTCGGAGTATTGCAATGAGATTATTTCGTTCCCGATTTTCCTGTCGACAATAAAAGAATAGAACTGTCGGAGTTGGTTCTCTTAGCTCCTGAGCCTCCTTAACGACGAGGGAGGCGAGCACTGTTTTCCCTTTCTCTTAGAATTAGTAATTTGCTCAGATCAAATAAAGAATGAGAATAATACCTGAGCCTGGTATGCCTTTTAGCCAGAGTAAAGGAGGAATTGGAGGAAAACGTTGATTGAACCAATGGCTAAATGCGGTGTTCTTGAGCAGCCAGTGACCGGTGCCGGGGTACTCTTCTCGAAGTTTACACATATAATGATGATCTACGTCAACATCTGATGCCTTCAACCAATCGAAAACGGTTTTCAGTTGGCGTTGTTCTTCTTCTTCGAATGTTGCGTTTGTTTCTCGTTGTGCCATCTCGATACTGGTCCGAGCTTCTTCAATTTCGCACGGACTAGCCTGACTCTCAAGCAAGCTTTTATCCTGTGCAATTTTGTTGATCTGTCTCGTGAAGCGTTCTCTTCGTCGTTTCCACGTCTGGTCGAAGTCTCCTTCCCAGTCTGTAGACAGGAAGTATATGAGTACACGCGATATACAAGCAAAACCAGCTAGGCACCTACCTGGCTGTTTGAAATAGTCTAAAAGAATAGAGTGAAACTCTAGAAGATTTTGATACATGTCGGATAAGATTAACTTCATGTGAGGCTGGGAATGGAATATTCGGTCCCCATCAGGTAGAAGAGGTAGGCCCTCTCCAATTTCTTTATATGCAATAAGAAGTTGATCGAAAGCCCTATTATGCGTACTTGTTTTCTAGAGAAGATTTATTAGCTTGGGCGCATCTAAACTTACATTAGTAAACAGAAAACGTGCCTTCAGGAGGAACTTGATCGGTCCCTTTTAAAAATCATAATTAGCCGAGTAGCTATTATTAGCTATCATTTCTTTCGCCACGCACCCATATATATGCTAGAATATCATTCCCCTGGTTTAGCCTCTGGATGACGTGACCGTAACGCTGAAGGCAGTTGAGAAATTTCTCTAGCCGGGCCAGACCGCGATTGTTACGGTCCGATACCTGTTTCGATTGTATTTGAAGAATAGTCCGCTGCATCTCATCAAAAGTTGTATTTTTGAAGTCCTCCAAATCGTTTGAGTCAAGCCTTTCTTTGAAGCTTTCCAAATACGTTTCAAAATTCGAAGGAAGCGCCATTGTCTCACCCCCAAGTACTCAAGTCACCTTGACGTCGCGCGAGAGGTACAGGTACGGAAGATGCGAACGTCCAGTTGGTACTCTTTGTCTTGACACCTGTCTCTTCATGAAGTCTGCCGTGGTATTGGTTTGGTCACGAAGCTGATAGAATACATTGTGCGGAACACAAATGTAGATTGGGCTGCGAGAGAATGATCCCAATACAACCCGGCATCGGCACGTGACGACAATGTTTCCGCATACAGCCCCATCCTCGAATCAGCCTCAGCTTACTGTGAAAATTTTTTCTACGTGTTCAATTGTTTCTGGTTACATATCTTGTCTAAATCTGTTCACGTGATTTGTGTTGCATAAGTGCGTCCAATGAGATTTTCTCAGCCACTACTACAACAAACACAGCCCCTTTCCTTCAAAAAAGTGTTGCTAAGATTGTGTAGGGAAAAAAGATCATGAATCTAATCGTACTGCCCTGTCTGCTCTAAGGAATAGCATGAATAGGGTACGTAAACGAGTCTCAGGAGAATACTTATCTCTAGCTATACACTCTACCAATAGTCGACATGGATTTGAGATTTCTTTCCCAAGATTCGATCGTACCAGAGCGCTCCCCTCAAAAACGGTCTTGGCCATTTGACAGCCCAGATACTAATCAAATGCGGGAAGACACCCTGCCCATCCAGTCCTCTCTTTCGGATGATTTAGAGGTTTTGCAACCCAGTGAGAATCAGTGGATTTGTTTTGGCAGCGTAACTATAGTACTTTCTCATGTGTATCACGTTAATGCTGATATCCAAACAGATTACATGCGTCGAGGCTAAGATAACAAGCTTGCCGCAGCTGACATGGCAGAACGCGGGGTCGCCTAACTCCGTTCAGATGTTTTCGATCACCCGGGAGGGGGAATACTTCTGTTTGGCATACAATGGTATGAAATTCGGGTACTTGAGTAAGGCAATGTGTAAGCCACTCGGTGAGCTTGTCACATATGGCCTTGCAGATATTCGAGCCTACGTGACTCAATCAGATTGGAAAACAATGAGTGACGGCTGGTGGCGTCATGGCCAGTCAGGCCTCCTATGCCTAGAGATGAATGTATACGGTGCCCGAGAGAATGCGGCCACGGTTGGTGATATTTTATCACAGTCGTCGAAGTTTCTACAGCCCCCTTTATATGGAATGAAGGATGTAGAATATCAGAACCCTCAAATCCTCAAAATAGCTGGCTATGAGGAGGAGGACTTGGTCTTAACTCCATCCCCTAAACCTGACGACATGCAAACTCATCATACGCCCAGACATGGAGACCAGGCCATGCCGACGAGTGATAGCGAGGCCGTTGACAACATTTTTGATTCATTACTTCATACTGTTCATCAGGAAATATCTACTATCCGTGGGATCATCAGCCCACTACTACCGTGAGAACTGATTTGCCAGTTGAAAAGAATAAAGCTAATCATGTCATGCATTTAGCCATCAGGAAGAAGCTATTGATTTTGTATACCAACGCGAAAGCGGCCAAGGGGATTCTGAACTCGGTCTTTGGAAACTCAGAAATGCGAATTCGGATATACCTTAGTCAGTACTCTTTGATGTAACAACCTTTCTTCCGGCATTCGCTAACATCGTTGGCGTGACTAGTTACCAACACGTCTTTACCGGAGCAAAACGGCCAGAGCCAGCCGAGGCCAAGAGTGGTATAATTGCTGATGAAATGGGACTGGGAAAATCCCTCGTCATCTTGTCCGTAATCCTAAGCTCTCTTGGCCCGGCAGAGACATTTGGTTCTGCTTTAGGGAACCAAGAAGCCCTTTCTCAATCGTCGCAAAAGGTCCCTTCGAAGGCGACGCTCATCGTGGTGCCCTCCTCTTGTAAGTCTAGCCACGTGAGGAAATAACTTTATTCTCACTTTTTAAGTGTTAGTTGACAACTGGGTGGATGAAATTCGGAAGTAGAGCTACCCCAACCTTATATAACAAATATATTCTAGCAATTATTAACTCACTAACAGGCACACTTCCACCGGAATTCTCTCCTATTACAGCCACCTGGGTCAGAAGAGAAAACACGAGAAGCACTTGCTTCGAGAAAGTGTCATTGTCTTCACGACGTATGCTACCGTGGCTGCCGAGTTTTGTCGTGGAGATACTACTCTCGCGGATCTCAACTGGTTTAGAATTGTTCTAGATGAAGGTAGGTGAACTATTATTCTATCTTCTATAGTTATATTGCCCATGATTTTAATTTTTATTGTAGCCCATGATATACGAAATCCAAAAACGAACCAATTCCGAGCCGTTGCCAACCTTACAGCCGAACATCGTTGGTGCCTTACGGGTACTCCCATCCAAAACTCCCTGGAAGACCTTGGTGCATTGGTCACCTTCCTTCGGATCCCGATTATGAGCAATACCATGACGTTTCGGAAGTTTATTACAAATCCTATAATCTTGAACCCAACAGACCCGAATCGCTTTCAAAATCTACAAACGCTCCTACGGACCATTTGCATCAGAAGAACACGGCAATTGATAAAGTTACCAGAACCTGTTCAATGTTACACGGAAGTAGCATTCACTCCTGACGAATATCAGGACTACCAGAAACTCCTTGAACAATGCAGCATGGAAGTTGACTGGGCGGTAAGCAGGCGCCGAAAAAACCTTCTCAAGTCTGCGGTACTTGAGTCGCTTCTCAAGCTACGCTTGTTTTGCAACAATGGCCGAGCAAAGCATCTCTTACAAGTTGGGAAAACAGGGCTCCCTACAGACTTTGATGTAGCTCTGGAAGCTCTTCGATTGCATGATCTGGATGTTTGTGGTTACTGCTCGAAACAAATACACTCTGCCAGCGATGTGGCTGAGACTGAGAGCGGGATATTCTTACCGAAGTGCTGTCACCTGGTCTGCTATAACTGCATCACTCACCATCGAAAACAGAAGAACAAATGTCCCAGCTGTGTTTCTGGAACGGAATCACCCGCCATGGCCTTTTCGTTAACTGCAAATTCACAGGTTCCTCCGGGGGGAAGAAGTCATGATACGCCAATTTCTGAGCCATATCAATACCCATCTAAATTATTGAGACTTCTAGATGATATCCGTCAAGATCTGTCGCAAAAGTGGTAGGCCTAACGGAAGCCTCCTTGCTTGAGGGAGCTAACCATTTCTTTTATAATATAGTATTGTCTTTTCGTCTTGGAAGAAGACTCTCGTCTTAATAACGCAGCTTCTTCAAATGAACGGGATAAACCATGAGATGATCGATGGATCGAAGCCATTAGCCGCACGGCTCAAAATCCTGAGCAATTTTCGCTCTCCTATTGGCGCCAACGTTTTGTTGATGACGCTGGGGACAGGTGCAGTGGGGTAGGTACTGACGAAATAGTCCCAGACGTTGCCGCGAGCTAACCATATGAAATTATTAGGTTGAACTTGGCAGTAGCTTCACGTGTGTATTTGATGGAGCCTCAATGGAACCCATCTATCGAGTCTCAAGCTATTGGAAGAGCACTTCGGCTCGGCCAGACTGCTCAAGTTAACGTTACCCGATATATTATGGTTAATAGTATTGAGGGGGTATGATCTCTGCTTCCCACGCCCTTTTCCTTACTTATTATTTTGCTAAAAAGAATTCCAGAAAAATGTTTGGTCTAGTCAAAGAGGAAAGATTGCCCTAGCTGGTGGTGGGTTTGGAGCAGCAAGACATAGCCAACCTGAGAGATTCCAAGAACTGTTGGTAAGTTAAGGCATATAAGAACCACTCAATCTAGGTATACTAATAACCTCCAGGGTGTGTTTGGCGTCGATCCGGCTCGGGTGTGATAGTTGCATGAGAAAATTGACTTATGTAGATACCCTATATGTTGGGGTCTCTCCTTATGAACCATTTACATCAGAGATCGATTGAACACAGTAAAATAACCCTGTGTCCTTTGCGGTGTTAACCTCAGAGGCTGGATTTATTGACTTCCTCGGCTAAGACCGCACCGACGACCATTTTGATATGCTATAGATCTTACTGTTATGAATACAAAATGATTGAAATTACGAATGCCTTAAAGCCATATTTGCAGTTACAATTAAGAAAGTGTAGCAATTATTATATAATATATAGGAGATAAAGAGGATAGAGTTTAATAATCATAAAGCTATCAGGGTCTAACTAACTTAATATAATAAATATAAAAAGCTTAAAAATATAGTCTTTTCTAATATACTAAAGGAGTTATATAGTAAGAAAAGTTTAACCTTTATATAGATAACTTATTTACTATTAGGATAGCAGCTTATTAAATAACTATTAATACTGCCTCTTTTACCTGGCTTCTATTTGCAATTATTATATGATTAGACGTGAACCTACCTACTTTACTATATAATCCAGAGCCTATAAAGCGAGGGAGGTTGGAAGCGATAGGTATTAAAGGCGATTATGGAGGGGTAGTTACGAGCTATTGGTGATACGAGAGTTAAAGGGTGTAAATGAGCTACTGAATCTGTCGTATCGGTATCAAAGGGTACTACCGTATTCTCTTAAGTAATTCGTTTTTTTGCCCCCAGTTATCTGTATCCAGTTTTCTATACTTGGGTCTTGAGGGGAGCTCAAAGATGATTGGATTTAGGCAGGAAAACGGACCCAAATAACTGGGGGCGAAACAAACGAATTTCTTGAGAGAATACGGTATTGTTATGTAGGTATGTGCCAACCGTACCACATAGGTACCGTATATTCTCAAGAAATTCGTCCGTTTGGCCCCCAGTTTTTTTTCGATCCGTTTTACTACATAAACCCAATTATCTCCTGTCTCCACCAGGTACTAGCTAATAGAAGGCTTTGATACAGCTCTTACTAAGTAGTAAAAGTGGTTTCTAGGAGCCGGCTATAATCGCGCTCTCCGTGTCTCAGACCAAGATAAAAAATTGGGTATAAAACGGTGGGGGCAAAATGGACGAATTTCTTGAGAATATACGGTGAGAATATACGGTACTTAGTGTTAGATTTGGGCACGGATACTACACAATATTTCGGCTCAGCTTCTATCCAAAAACAAGGCGACTGTTATAAAGCTAAAAATTGCGGCCTGACAAATCATACTTATTTCATTAGATGCAGATTTGGGAGTCCCACGATACATACCAACTGCTGAGCCGCCCCATAATATTTACGGCTCAGCTTTCTGTGCACGATTGTGTCAATGTGGGAAGCAAAAATCTGCGGCCGACAATTTATGCTTATTCTTGGATGACTTGGCTACCCCACAATATTTACGGCTCAGCATTAAGATGAAAAAAGGCTCAATGCTCGAATTGGTGAAGCTAAAAAATGCGGCCCGAGAATCTGTGCTTATGTTATTGGATATAGACTTAGGTACTCCCCAATATCTGTGGATCAGCCTTGTTGAGATACACACCTCCGGGATCATAAATGTTGAATGAGCAAGGACTTTCATCGCCATCCGTGGTACTATCAGGAGCCTAATCCTGTTAGTAGGCTAACACCATGTCGAGACAACAGCCCACCAACAGCCGTCTCTCTCATACCTTCCTCTCTGGTTGGAACGGCCCAGGCAGCTGCCTGTAGCCCTCTGACAGCCGTAGTAAGTGACCCAGAATGGCCAAAACATTTGTGGTCAGCAGTAAACCTGAAGTTTTAAACTATGGTACTGGCGCTTAACAGGCCCCTGGTTCTGTCCACAAACCCCCACCACGCGCGATAGTACTCTTTTGTATGTGCCAACCATGTGGCATACTACAAGTCAATGCCTGCAAAGCAGTCCTAAGGGCAAGCGAAGCTGCGTAAGGGGTTCAGTGTGAATAGGATCGAGAAGAGATCCAACTTCCCTGCTCGAGGCTGTGGCTGTTGATCGTCTTCATCAGTATTACGGCGGATAGGATCGAAATTACCTGCCCGAGGCTGCTCGAGGCTATAACTATTGAAATAATATATATGTATATACAGCTAGCGATAGTAACTACGAAGTTACGATATCACTCAGACTAATAGGCAGTTGATAATTTAAAATTGATTAATTGCCAGTCAGTATTGCGAATTATATAACACTTTAACGTTTTATTATAGAAATGAATCTAGGAGCTGCGCTCCGGCTACTGCCTTTACACATCATCAAGCTTCGCTTGATTAGGTTTCTCTTTTCTCTCGGCTACCCCACTATATTTACGGCTCAGGACGCGTCATGTGAGTGCTTCTCTTTTTGCATAGCTAAAAATTGCGGCCCGATGATTAGCGCTCAGATCATTGGATGAGCCCCACAACATTTACGGCTCAGATGATTGAACATTGAAAATTTTCAATTTTCAACTCGACAAGCTGCGCTCATTTCATTGGATGTAGGCTTACCAGCCACATGACAAATATCAGCCAGCTTTGCTACTTTTAGAACCCCAAACTACAGTCAGATGACGTATTGGACTCATGCTTAGCAACGCCATAATTTAAGACACACCCCCCTCCGAGGTCACACTGCCTCTTAACTGCATAATGGTAGTGAGCCTGCATATTTTGGCTGAATGTACCTTTTCAGTGTAGCTACTTAGGATAGATACCCGTAAGTTGTGATTGATCCCTAATAGGCATACAGCCCGACGATTCGCGCTTATCCAATGATATTGTTCTAACTCGTCGGCCGCCATTCTTGGGTTTTCCAACTCAGAATCCTTCAAAGTTAGCGCAAATCCTTCGCAAAAGGCTGAGCCGTAAATATTGTGGGTTAGCCGAGCCTGAGTCGAATGAATGATATAACACATTTGCTAGACCGCTTCAGCCATGGCTAACTATGGCAGGGGGCAGGTTCGAGCGCATCGCAGGGTCTTCGTACACCACCTGCTGAGCACTGATCCTCGAGACAGTGTACGGACATTGAAGGATATCAGCTGCCGCACTCATGGGTAACGAGTTGTGACCTGCAATTCACTTTACTGCTTCACCAGAATAGTCATATTCAAATCCAGAAAGAGGTTCACACATAATAATACTTAAGCGCATCCTAAATCTTTTTCTATGTGACGGCCGGCATAATATAAGCGAGAGGTGGGATACACTATGCCGAGGTTGAAGGCGTTGAGACGACGGTAAACTCCCTCATGAGCACTTCTGCGCCGGCGAAGGCAGCATCCGAGGAGAACTGAACCCACGAAGCATCGGTGACGTCGAGATTTCCAGCCGGATAAACGCCCTGGAGCCATTCAAGCCAGGCCTCTCGTCTAGCGTGAGGGGCAAGGATCGTATCCATCCAGCGAGTCACAGTGCTCCCGCTGAAGAGCTGGATGGCACCGATTAACCCAAACCGCCCGCTGAACTTGAAGCTCTTGACTCTGGCATCGATGCCCTCCGCCTCCAGCCAGTCCTGCGCCAAACCTCGGCTGCTGTGAAAAAAATAAAAGGCCAAGTGCGTAGTCAGTAAGGTTATCAAGCAGACTCCGTCCCAGCCTTTTTGGGCGGCCACGAATGACATGGCCGCAAGTTGGAATAGGTGGGCAAACCAGAACCAAGTCGCAGCAAATTTTATACGGGGTCCACTGGGGACGATGAACATTTGCTTATTGAGCAGCGAATCCACGATTGCACGGTCTCCAATGTAAAGATGCCATTCTGTAGCGTTTTCGTGTGCGGCGACAAGCATACACGCGTCGTGGTGTTCACTGTTCTTCAAGTATGTCGGAGAACGAAGCATTTTGACGTTGTGTGCTACAATCTCGGATATAGTAGAACACACGACGATGGCACATGTCCCATAACATCCGAATAGGAGAAAGAACACCGCAAGACCCATGAGCAGAACCCACGATGCAACTTGGACAGGGAGCACATGCAAGAATTGTCTGAATCTTTGACCCAGGGAGCTTCTTTTTTGACTGCGATGAAACTCGTATACATGCAGAGTTTGGAATCGTCGGATCGAGCCTTGCTCTTTAGGATTAGAGCCGCCGCTATAAGACATATATGCAGGAGTAGAAGATGGATCATCTTTGATAGACGATTTCTCCGAATTCTGTCTTGCTGTTTGGTGGGACGGCGTTTCGGGCATGCATGTCGGGGACTCCTTATTGCGACTCAGAAGATACGCTGAAATCGCACCGATGGCTGCACCATTGGCACAGGGAAAGACGCTTCCCCATTTGACATCCCAGACGGTGCGACTGGAGCCGCCTTTTGTGCTTGCAAAATCAAGATATTCTGTTCCTCTCTCCAACAACCTCGATATCCCAGACAGCGTCCCCAGGCGAGGAAACAAGCCTATAGAAAGTTTCCCCTGGAGCGCCACATCTCCTGTAGTGACATAATCGTCACGCTGAGAGGCGAGATGACATATGAGCGGCAGGATCGCGGCCCATTCTGTAATAATGAGGGGTAAGGGTGGGCATGGAATCAGAGGAACAATGCCCAGGGATCCAAGAGCTGCATTTATTGAAGAACTAGACATGATACGATCTATCAATGAACCAAATGGAACAGAGTTGAGAATGGTATCAAAAGTAAAAGTGAAACGCATGGCGAAAATATATACAACGGATGTCACTTTTGAATATGGTGCACTGATGTCGTATCGATTACTGCCTTTTGAAATGGTGACTGAGTGGCGTACATTTGTCCTTTTTATTTGCCGACCAGCATCCCGTGACTGATGGCCTGTAAATGTGACTAATAATCTACATATGTGAACGATTGTGCCTCACTTCAAGGCAGATGCATTGGCTCATTTGTGGTAAACTGCATCTGGACATGTAAGTCATCATGAAGAAGTGGAAACCCACTCTGTTCGCCTAGGTAACACCACGTCCGGTTTACCAAGAAGAATAGCCGTCTTAGACTGTATCAAGTGGTAGCTGGTGAGGGGAATTTAAGGCGTCCAGAAAGGCAATCAAGATGGAAGGCGGTCGTATATGCACGCGTGACTAAGCTGACCATCAACGATGAAAACAGCAGTCACCTGCCTAACAACCTGGACTTTCCACCGTTGTGATCAGTTAGGCATTTGTCAAGCTTCAGGTGACAGTCGGCAAAGCCACCGTTTTAGGCACTGATTCTTGGAGCTGCTTCTATCTTAGTCTGCCTGAGCCTGCCATCATGCGGATCTTGAAAACGAGACAGTATGAGCTTGTTGAAGCAAAGGACATCCCCGATCCATTTCCGCCTTACGCCATCCTGTCACACATGTGGTTATCGCCAAAGGAGGAAATCACCTATCAAGACTTCAAGAGCCGAAAAGAAGACATTGAAAATGACGTCTATAAGCAGACGGGATGGGCAAAGCTGAAGAGATACTGCGATCGTGCGGCCAGGGATGGGTGGGATTGGGCTTGGATGGATACCTGCTGCATTGATAAAACGAATCCCGCAGACACTCAGGAAGCTATCAACGCCATGTTTCGGTGGTACCAGAATGCTAGCATTTGCTACGCGTACCTTGGCGATGTGGATGCCTATGGTAGCCTTGAGGAGGCTGGCTTGATCGACCAGGATCATCCTATGAATGAGGATCTTGATGAGATGCCCGGTATGATTCCCGTTCCTGGAGCGGCTACGAATCATATGCGCACGGCAGTGGGCCGCTCACTGGTCAACGCCAAGTGGTTTACGCGAGGCTGGACCTTACAAGAGCTCCTGGCCCCTCGCTACCTTGTTTTCATGGACAAAAGCTGGCATCGCATCGGGACTCGAGAGAGCTGGGCTGCGGAGATTAATGAAGCCAGCCGCATTGAGCCAAAGCATCTAACCACGTTCAAGCCAACTGATTTCACCTCGTGCTCTATTGCAATGAGGATGTCCTGGGCCTCTTCTAGATATACAACCGTCGAGGAAGACGAGACTTATTCATTACTGGGCCTCTTTGGAATCAGCTTGCCACTTATCTACGGCGAGGGGCGCTGGCGGGCTTTCGATCGACTGCAGCGTGAACTCATTATGGTATACACCGACGACTCTATTTTTGCATGGAAATTGAGCGAAACGAATCAAGGGTTTATTCGCCTACAAAGACAGGGTAAGTGGGTTTCTACCATGATCATAGCAGAGGCAAAGATTGATAGTTGATCAGGGCAAAAACCTGGACTGGGGATTCTGGCCCCTTCGATTCGAGAGTTTCGAGATGCTTCACAGATACAAAGTTTTGGCTACTATGGCCATAAGTTCGAAATGAGCAACCTAGGTCTGAAAACAAATGCCCGGCGTTGGAAATGTCACAATGATCACACTAAGCTTCTCATTCGTCTCAACTGCGGTCCTGAGCCAAAGGCACACACAGGCATCATGCTTCGGTACGCTGGTGAGGTCTTCGAAAGAATTATGGATAGCGAGCTCCATGACACGAGAAATTTCGAACGCAGTAGAGATTGGATAGGGGTACAAGAGAAGGAGGGAAAGGATATTATTATCCGTGCGGGCAATTTCCGTGGCCCATTGACAGGTCCGTCAATCTTTACACTCAGGCATCCAGATGAAATTACCGTCGGCTTGAAATATTTCATGGACTTCAATGTTCCTCTTATGAGTAGGAAACTGGAGCTTCTCGATGAAGTAAGCCTTCTTGGGCGTCTGCAATTACAGAGAAACGAGCTTCTTCTCCAGCCAAATCAGTTGATGTTTGCTAACATTGAACTACAAACTGGGGAGCATCAATCAAGGTGGAATGTTCTTATAAATATCAACGAGAATGGGTTTCCCTCTGTAGGTATGGCAAGTCAAGAAGATAGAGGGAAGCAATTGGGAGATCCAATGAGTGAGGCCAAACGGAAGTACGAGAATTTGGCGGAAGACTTCCACGATCAAGCACAGTCAGAAGGCTGCCTTCCATTGATCGTGGAAACCAAGCAAGGTATCAGTGTAAATGTCCATCTTTTTCCAAGACCACCGCGAGAACGCTCATCCGAGACAACTAGAGACGGTGAGGTGTATATTGAAATGAGAGAGTATACTCTCAAAATTATTGTGAGCCAGAATAGGCAACAAAGAACCGTTCTATCTAATGAGCATAGGGGAAAGAGAAGAAAGACTTAAATGGATCTAAACAACCTCAATCGTCCTCATAGCTTCAAACAATTTGTATGTCTTTCATGATGTAATAGACTTCTTGAACTCTGACTGGGGTAAGTCCTGGTTGCTACCCAAGACCGCTGATCATGCCCTGGTTGTTCCTTGTAAAGGCGAGAAGTAACTGTTAATGATGAACACAGTCGACCATACACCTGCCTCCCTGATCCTCTCGCGATTTGGGTGGAAAACCAGACGAATATCTACCCCAATACTGCAGACGATGCGATCAATTTGTGATGTCATTGATGAAAGATTCTCGATGTTTACCATCCTGGCAGGTCCTGCGTAAGTTGAAGCTTTGGCGACTCCTGTAAAGACCAAAGTTGTCATTTAGGTTCACAGAAGATCCCTCTGGCCGTTGATGGAGTCGATACTTAGGCGTGAGATTGGAGTATGCCGCAAGTAATCTTCAACTTTTACCTTAGCCAAGCTGATCAAATCAAGTGGCGAGGAAAGCTAGAGTATTCTTTGTATGATCGCCCTGGCCAACCAGCCGGCAGCGCCTCCTAATTCCTGTCAGATACTTTGGTAAATTATTACTAACTCCGTCTCTGTAAAGATGCAGAGTGTGGTCACCTATCCCGTGACCTGGCCGCCATGGTAAAGCATTAAGCGTCTTGCAGAGACTTTGCCTGGTACTGCGTACTCATCGGCGCCGTCTGTCGAGAAAAATGCATACAGTCGTGAAGGCATCGACAACCGAGCCCAGCCATGCCCGTAGCTATTTTCAAACAGCCCGCGGTGGGTTAGTTGGGAGTGATGGGCCGTGATGGTGTTCATGTCCTTTGAAATACCACTCGTGGCATTTGCGGTTCCAGGGGGTTCAAGGCTCCGTAGGACAGCTTCGATCCTTTGAGCATATCTGGGACAGTAGACCAGAGGCATCCCGTGGGCCCATCAGTGTGTCCGCAGATAGATCTAGCTGTGGTAGAGAAGCAGGGGCCTAATCGTCCCTGGCCGTGGTGCAAGACACCAGAGGTTATAGATGCTGCGCTTGTTGTCTCACGGAGACGTCCTATGAGAAGACGAAGGGCCTCCAGTCTATGTAGGGATGGTTCAGTTAGATCGTCGCACAAGAGTTAGAATATTTAAAATAGTCACTCACCGTTTTTGCAGCGAGTCTAGTTCAGTCAACATAGTTTCACGTCTCTGGAAACAAAAAAAAAGGATGTATTCCGGTGGCAAGCGCAGAGATGTGAACGCCGGAAATGATAACAAGTCAGTAAAAAGTGAGCACAAAAACAAACTCTGTTGGGCCAGAGGATATGTGTTATTGACCGATTGGCCCGAGAGAAGCTGAGCTAGTGGAGCTTCGGCAAGATCATCACTGTCCGTCTCGCTCATCGTTATATGATCTTGGTTGGGATTAGAAAGTAAAAAAATGTCAGAGGAGCCTTGTCGTTGATCGGATAGGAAGGTGAGTGATGGAGAATCTATGGAAACTAGGAGGGGCCATGGGCCGTGATGTAGCAAAAATGGTACATGTTTTGTTTGCACCAGAGGCGGGATATGACGTACGACGAGACCGTTTGTGGCTTTAGTTCAGCTGTGAAGTACAGTGATAACAGTATCTCATGATGACGCAAAATACCGATTGAATCATTGGTCTTTGTTCAAGGTGAGACGAGAAGTTTGCTCACACGCGTTGGCCATCTCTTAATTGCTAGCTTGGGTTTAAGCACGGGCTGTGTTTCAAAGGAAAGGTTGAAACACGCCCAAAACATATGCAGCTAGCAAATTCGTGCTTGCTGTTCAAGAAACAAGTGCTATATCGAATGATTGGTGGGAGAGAAACCGGAATACAAACGTCCGAGCAAAACGGACAACTCTACCCCAAGCCTTCGACAACTGAGATAAGCTTAGCATCTGTCGGGCATTTCTGCAAGAGGCTTCTAACCATCACTCGCAAGTTTTTGCTTCCTGGCGCACCAAGACATTTTCTCAAGATCACCTGTGCTTCTTGTCGGTCGACTTCATCAGGAAGATAGTGCAAATGCCGAACGGCAATGTGTGTAGGTGCAGAGGCAACATGCATGCGGTATAGGCCAACAGCTGGTTCGAACAATATGGGTAAGGTGGCCATTAGATTCTTGAAACACGGTCGGGCATCCGTGAGATATCCGTTTCGTGATGTATTTTCCTCTCTCGTAATATTGTAGAAATCCTGTTGAACTTGAGCCAGCGCAAGGCAAGTAGCCCAGAATAGCGTCATCAAATGCGTAGCTGCCAGCTCATGAAATGTGAGAGTTGGTGCTGTTGCGTTAGACAGGTGAGCATCTAGGTCTGACGACCTGATGGCGAGCCGACGTATTGCTTCCGGTGCAAATTCCAACTCCCACGCGGCAAGCCTCTTATCAATCAACTGACATGCAGAGGCAATGCTGCTCAACTTGTCATCGACCCCGGGCGTATCTGTTGTAAGACAAAGCCCCAGATCATCGGTCTCACTGATAATCTCAGTGAGGCTAGCCAAAATATCCAACAGAAGGTCTCGAGATGTTTTGCTGTGTTTCGTCCAGGGTACAGTTAGCCACTCTGGTGAAGCGAGTGGCGTAGGCTTCCTAGCGGCCAAGGCCGAAAAGATCTTAGGCACGCGAGATCAGCTTGAGTTTTGAAACGACCCTCAAGGACAAGACTTACCAAGTGAAACCTACCATCTACAAATAACCGGTGAGCATCTCCCTCAATAAACGACGACGGCGAACGTGCAATCATCAAAGACATGTCCCCCTTGATGTGCGTCAGCCAATTCTCAGCTTGCGTCAGCGAACCAAAACTTGAGCTGTTTGGGCCTTCCAAGTTGAACTGCGCCCCATAATGAGACTAGAATCGCATAACTTAGCAACAACCTCTTTGTCAAATCATGAACATAGAACATACCTCATACAAGGTGAAGAGACGGACAGCAGCTAAAAAGCTATTGCTCTTAGCTCTCTTGGGCAATTGGAACACGGCCGACGCCTCTGCCAAGGCGTCATTGTATAGGCGCAACCCAAGTTCTCGAGCGCTCGGCATGTCCTCCCAACATCCCCTGGTTGCCAGTGCCAGTGCTAATAAGATACCACGTAGTACAGAGTCTTCGGATCGGTAAAGGGATTGGACCGCGTGAACCCAACCCCCGGTGATACTATGCGCAACATCGCACGGGATCTCTCGTCCATTCGGCAGATATTGACGCCAGAAAAGATCAACATGCCCCGTCTCAGTTGCTTTCACTGCCAAAGTATCATTGGAAGCCATGGCCCACGCATGTCTAACCGGAGACGCCGTGGGCTTCTTTCGAGGCGCTCGATGATGATGAACAGTATTCGCCCGCTTGATGGTTGTTTGGGTTGCATCGACGAAAGATAGACTGGATCGGTCTGGATAGCCCTCGCACGCTATGCATGCTTTGCGACACTGGCTGCAAGCTGGACGTTGTTGATCGCACTGAAATTGTCACCAACGATGAGTCAAAGGCGTTTAAGTAAAAAGGCAATGCGTCTTACTCCTTTGCGACGACGCAAGCATGTGGTGCAAGCACCAGACCGGCCGCGGAGTTTTGCCATGTTGGCTTTGATCCGGCAATTTTCAGTCCAGTTTAGCTGGCAATGAACACTCTGCTACAAAGTTGGACGCCTAAGAGTAAGTAGTAGGTATATAGGCCGGATGAGGAAGCAGAGGTGATGCTTTTAATCACAGATCTTGCAGGCGTAGCCAGTTTGGTTAGTTGGGCGAGCTAAAACAGGCCTGTCATCATCAAGCCCTTGGATCACATTGGTGGACTTAAAGAGAAATGGGGCCAGTGAATGGAATTCCGTGATCACATTAGTGAGCGAAAGAATGACGACTTTTTGCCCCTTTTTTAGGTGATTTGCCATTTACGGCAAGCCCTCAAGTTCAAACGGGTTATAAGACAACCACAGTCTTGAAACAAAGTGTTAAAGGCGTGGGGAATACGAATATCATCGGACCTAAACTTAATACATGCGCACGTGTGTCATTTTACAGAGTATATGAATTGCTACCCATCGAGTTGATGACGTCTTGCTGTACTGAAAAAATAATCAGTCTACTTCCTAACAATGTGACTACCCTATAGCCTGCTTGTTAGATAGCTCTATTTTCCGACTTAAACCAACTTCCTAGACAACTTTTGAACATGTAAGTGCTTGTTATCTCATTTTGATAGGCGCATAACCTAAAGGTGGCCGCCCTCTCATGATTGTGGACTAAAGTAGTGACTATTTCAACCATCCGACATATGTGATGGAGACGACTGCAAGATCTTCTTCCCCTTCACAAATCACCTTGCTACCTTTTGGTTAGTGCCCACAATGCCTCCATTCCCAAGGCGCTCCGCAGCCAGGTCATCTTTGCACGACCCCGTAAAGACCCCAGTTTCGCGACGCTTTTGATCCTCTTCTATCTCGTCCAACGGATAAAAGTCGGGGTCTGACTCGAACATGGCATCAAATTTGTTCTTGATATCAACTGGAAGCTGCGGAGTGTGCTCGCTATCAGTGAGCCAGACACGCAGAAGATGTCGGGGATTTGAAATGTCTTCAGTGAAGCCACGACGAGCGTGCTGATGATGCAGATTGTTGACCCTACACTGTTAGTAAAGAATGATGGGCATGGCGGTCAGAAATCTCAACTTACCACTCGATATCACCAACCTCGAGTTGTGTCTTTAGGCTGTACTGTTCAGCAACCCACTGCCATCCACCAAAAGCTTCTCTCTCCTCAAATGTGAGAAGTGGATAGTCACGGTCGCGATCAGGCAGCTATACCAGCATCAGTTAGAGTATCGGATAACGAAACAGGGAAATCTTACTTCTCCATAACCAATAAACGTGCGCGTGGAGAAGTTCAAGAACACTTTGTTGTCTTGATTATGAATCAGGCGAACTCCATCCTCTGGAATCCCATTTCTGAGATTCATGCAAGTCAGCCGTGTATTATTCATTTCAACTGGAGACCGTCATGTGTAGGGATTTGTTACTCACGCTCGCCAACGGAACTTTCTCTCAGCCAGTAACCGTGCAATATCGGGACGATGTTCAGCAAGATGATTGTATACCTGGCCAGCGCTGGCCACGGTGGAGATACCCCCTGTACCAGTAAGACTGACCGCCATCAAGCCAACTATATCACCGCCAGCATCGCTATGATACATCTGAGCATTCGTGTCTTGGGCGGAAACATAGATTTTGCCGCGTTGAGAGGGATCAAGGTGTGTGATGCTCTGAAAAATGGGTTAGTATATAAGAAATGACTGAATTGGAGCAGAGCGAACTGACTTTGATATGGCAAACTCCTCGACCGGCTCCTTGATTGAGCCGACGGTCTCCGATCCAAGAGTTGATGCCTAAAAATGCAATGACTTGCTCCTCCTTGTCATATCTCTGGATGGGAAACCCCCTCAGAATTTGAACGCCTACACCATTATAAATGTTGTCTGAAAGTTGGCGCAGAATGGGCCCAACCGTGGGAAGTTTGAAGTTGGATCTATCGATAGATGAGACTGGAAGATTGAGCTGTCTCCAAGCCTATCGTCATATTAATCCTGCGTTTCCATTCATATTAACTAAGAGATTTACCTTGATTGCGCTGTCAATCTCACTGATTTCGCCATGACTTAGAGTCTTGATGTACAAGTCCGCTGAAACAAATTAGCATATGGCCAAGCGGTTTAACATAGAATTTACGACGTACGGTGCTTTTCAAGAAAATCACCAGTCCAAACATCGGGACCGGTAAACTTGACTGGCCAGCCTTGAGGTTGTTTTCCAAAATCAAATGTCTCGGGATGTGCGGAATTTGCTTCTTCCCACTCTGGCTTATTCAACAAGAAGCCAGGGGCGTCGCTGTACAACTCGTATGGTTGAATGGTGGCAGTAGCCATAGCTCTAGACTGTATCGACTGAAGATGGGGATGTTGCTAAAAGCAAAGTAACATAACATTGGCAAGTGAACTGACATTTAAATAGTAGTTTACCTCTACCTTAGCTAAGATGAAGAGTTTATATCGGTGCTTCAGGACCGAGGCCGGAACCGAATGAGGTTGGCTGTCCCTTGTTGTTTCCGAGGCTCATTAACTGTATCCGCTTGACTGGCCTTGACATCACTTGGACCAGATATTGCACCATCAGTCAGTCCCCACCTCCGGCCGTATAAAACAGCTAATGCAGGTGGCGCGAATGGATTCCGTATTTGGTTTGGTTCCAACCTCGAATTCCGTCCCCAGTCGATCAAATCAACATCATTATTGCTTCTCTTCATGATTGTGTTACGCATCATTGGTAAATACTCTTGCGCAATTAGCTACAGCTCACTCACCAGCCAAGTTAATCCCTCAGCACCGAGATCAAATATTGGCATCTCAGTCCCCACCATCGTTCTCCAGCAAGCAATGGACGCAGAAAAACTTGACAAGATGTGACCCCGGTAGACTCCACATAACACGATGTCTAGGCTCCGCAACGACTCGGTCAAAGCCTAGATCGCAGAGTTGGTGTTGCCGCTTATCTCTATTACCAGCATGCCGGGTGGAAAGCGTGCCTCTAAACTGATGTCGCCATCCAATGCCCGCAACCTTGGGTCATATATATACCAAAGCGCGGTCGGTACCAACCATCGTCTGAATTATCGCTCTTACTCTTCAGCAAGTTAAGACAATGTCTCAAATTATAAAGACACCAAGCCCTCAAGTCATTGCAGTCGCCGAGGCTGACAAAGGCCAATCCGACATCCTGTCTGCAGATGTAGAGACAGCGGCTCCGGAAAAGAAGTCGTGGTGGAACACCTCGGCGAGAACAGGAGAAAGAAAACTTTTGTTGAAGTTGGACCTCTTCATATTGTAAGTTGACCGAACATTGTTTCTGCATAACCAGATGGCTGATGAAGGCTAGATCGTGGGCATGCTTTGGCTATTTCCTACGACTATTGGATGCTTCGAATATACGTACGTTCAACCTTCCAACAATGTGGCTATGGCCTGTCTTTGCAGCGCACTTCTCACTGACAACGTACAGGCAATGCTTATGTGTCGGGAATGAAAGAGGTTTGTGCACTCCTTAGTTGAACAATGCGAATGGAACAGATATGCTTACGATCACAGGACCTCGAACTCTTGGGTGACCAGTACAACTACTTTCAAACTCTTTGGACCATAGGATATACAGTCGGTATGATTCCCAGCCAGGTGATCCTCACGTACATCCGCCCTTCCCTGTGGTTGCCTTCTGTTGAAATCAGCTGGGCCATAATCACATTCTGCTTTGCTGCAGTCAAAAATTACAAACACGTCTATGTCCTGCGTTTACTGCTTGGACTTGCCGAATCGCCCTTCTATGTCGGAGGAATGACATTGCTTGGGAGCTGGTATACACCTAAAGGTAGTCCTCTTGAATTTCGCCAGTCCTTGTAGCTGCTAACGGGTCTTCCCATCCAGAGCTCGCGACTCGAGCGGCCATCTTCTACTCTGCCGCCTTCGCTGCGCAAATGTTCTCAGGGTACCTCCAAGCAGCAGTATACACCGGACTCGATGGGGTGCACGGACTACCTGGTTGGCGATGGCTATTTATAATCTGCGGCTGTATCAACATTCCTGGTGCACTCTGGGGTTACTTCGCGGTGCCGGACAGCCCTTACAATACCAGAGTCTTCTATCTTAGCGAAGAAGAACGAGCCCTTGCCAAGTCTAGAGTTGAGGAGGTCGGCCGAAAGCCCTTTGAGGGCGTAACGTTGAAAACGTTCAAGAGCGCGCTCTCCCGCCCCTTTGTTTGGGTTTTTGTCTTAAACTATATGCAAGTCCCACGTCTCTGCACCCGACAGGTTCGATTACTGACCGCAATCGTTTTAGATTCTTTTGCACCGCCACATATGGAGCAGACTTCTTCGGTATCTACCTCAAGACTCTGAATGAGTATACAGTCCAGCAGGTCAACATGTAAGACACCCCGATTTTCTCGAAGAACGCATCCCACTAAGTATCCTAGTATTCCAACCGCAGCATATGCAGTCGGCCTCGTAGGAGCGATCCTGTTTGGTTTTATCTCTGACAGGCTACGCGACCGCGTCTCTGTCGCTTTCGTTATTGTGCTCTTGAACTTCACAACTTGTGTGGTGCTTGCCACCAATCCTTCCAAGGCCGGAGTCTTCTTCGGCTACCTGGTAAACCCCGCCACAAACTCTTATGGGCCACTCATTATTGTAAGTCATTTCTGTAGAGTTTCAGCGGTTAGATATAAGCTAACTCTCTAAACTTGCTAGTCTCTCCTCGGAGAAACGTTTACCTCTCTAGCGGACGAACGTGCTTTGATCTTGGGAATGGCTCAAACGATGGGCGCCACTTTCAATGCCTGGCTTCCTCTCCTAATCTTCAACACCGGAACACAACTGCCGTATTTCCGCGCCGGTTGGATCACCTCGTCAGCTTGTGCAGCAGCTCAGGCAGTTGGGGTTCTGCTTCTCGGGTATCTTGGGAAAAGGATTGTGCGAGATACGGCTGATCAGAAGCTTTGAGTCAGCCTTTCTAAACTGGTAGATTAATTGGTGACATCTAACACGGAACTTGCTGCTGAATTAATCCATTCGGCACTTGAAATCTTGAGTTTTCACCTCTAGGAATTAATCGAGTTGCACGATTTTGATATGTACCCAACAAAGCTATCATCTTCGGATACTGGATATATAAACAAAATAAAATATTTTACATATCCTGTACGTGAAGGACTCAGACCGAATTAATATAAATTTTGGCCCCGGATTAGACATCACAAATGGTAGAGTACAAGATTTTGATATAGGACTATATTGGTATGCTAAAATGGCTTTACTGCTCGTGCTCTACGGCAGACGAGACTGATATTCACCCCATTGCATTAAGGTAAATCCGCACCGAGTTTCATCATGCTGAAAGCTATGAAGCGTAGTGGTAGATGTTGAATGTGGCAGGCTGATGGCCGACATCGGGTTGAGGGGTTAGAAATGAGAAGCTGAGAAGAAAATGTCCAAAGTCTTTTGAATAAAGTCCCATATTTGGAACCAATAGTTCATATTGCGTGATCAAACGGAAGTATAACATCATCGGAGACGTAATAAGCAAAACTCTTTTTCCTTTTCATATTTGCTCGTTCTCGGCAGCGCACCAGACATTTGAAGTTGCATTTTCTAGGACTTTTTGCATTCTATCACTAATTTAACCTACGGATTCTCGCAATTTTGGCATAAATTCTGTTGGAACTCCATTCTTAAAGCCACTCGTCTACACAGTTCTTCATTGTCGCTCTTTTTTGGTCAAAAATGACACCTACAGCCATTGTGAAAAGCTTACCATTTGGCCCCAATATCAGAGTTGCCGTCATCGGTGCTGGCATAAGCGGCATCTCTACAGCAGCTCACCTCCTACGACAAGGCGTAAATGTCACGGTTTTTGAAAGATCCGGGGAGCCAGGCGGGATTTGGAATTACAAGGAAACCCCTTCGCCAGGTCCAAGCTACCCAAGCGTCCTCCCGTCTATCGACAATTATGGTAGCTTAGCCCCTGTTCATGAAAAGAATGGGAAGGCCGAGTTCTCCGACGGCCAGGCTGCCCTTCCCAATGCTCATGGGTTGCAAAACGGAGAGCCGTTCTTTGCACCGTCTAGTGCCTGCTATGCGGGTCTATACACAAACATTCCTACCAGTCTCATGTATCCTAGTCTCAAATCTTGGCCAGAAGATACTCCCAATCTAGTCCCGCATTCGGCCGTCAAAAGCTTTCTACAAGAACTGAGCTCTGAATCTAATGTGGCTCAAGCCACGGAATATTGGACTAGAGTGGAGAGTGCAGTCAAAAATGAGGATGGGAAGGGCTGGGCTTTGAGGACAAAAACTTTAGTTGCGGACGGAGCCTCAAGTGAGACTGTTGAGAAGAGTTGGAACTTTGACGCGGTGGTGGTAGCTTCTGGGCACTACAATCTTCCCCGCGTTCCCGACATTCCAGGACTCGCAGAGCTGAAAGGCCTTTATCCGGATCGTGTCATACACTCAAAGCAGTACAGACGACCCGAGGCTTATCAAGGCAGTGCTATTTTAATTGTGGGAGGTGGAGTCTCTGCGATGGACATCAGTCGAGAACTGTCGCACACCGCCGCAAACGTTACTCAAAGCACCCGTGGTGGTGATTTTGATCTTCCCGAAAGATTGATTCCCAAGTCTGTTAAGCGCGTTGCGGGCATCGCTAAGTTTTCCTCGGCAACAGACTTGGTTGAGTCAGGCCAGAGGCATCAAAGCGGTGCTATCAATGTTACGCTGAGCGATGGATCCGAACTGCGAGGTTTTGATCATGTCATCCTGGCAACAGGCTACCTCTTCTCGTTTCCCTTTCTGTCCCAATTCCACTCGGATAAAACTCCAGCAGCGGCTGTCGACGAATCGACACTCGTCGGGGCAGAGGGCGACATGGTTCACAACTTATACAAAGACATGTTCTACATCGAGGATCCAACGTTGGTTTTTGTCGGTCTTCCGTACCACGTTGTCACTTTTTCCACGTTTGATTACCAGGCGCAAGTTGTTGCACGGATCCTTTCCGGACTGTCATCCTTGCCTAGCGGTGCAGATATGCGGTTGGAGTACGACCGACGAGTCAAAGCGAGCGGTTTTGGCCTCCGATTCCATAGCCAGGGCGAGGGGGATGCTGAGCTGAGATATGTAAGAGAACTCATAGAATTGACATCTCCAGAGTACGAAGGGTCAGGTGAACCTCTTTTGGAACCTACTGACAAGTGGCTTAAGAACTATGCTGCATTCAAGGCGGGGTTAAAGGGTTAGGTTTGGCTAGCAAATCAAACCATTCTCAAATCAAATACATTACCACGATTGACATTATTGACTAGTCTCGATAATATATGATAGTTCTTATATTATAGATGCTTTTTGAGTTGGGTAAAGAGATGCGGCCTAGAGTCTGTGTAAAACCTTTGTTTTTTTCTTTACGAAAAAACTAACAATCTGGATACTGCAACCACGATGAAGCCTTGTCTTCACTACCATCTATCTAGGAATTTGTGTATGTCACAATTTATCACAAGCTCAATTATTAGGTATTATAACGTCAGCAAATGCCCTGTCAATCATATTCTTAAGATCCATCTTCCGGCCTTCTGAACACCAACTACCCTCGACGGAATTCCTTGCAATGTCTTTCCAGTCTGCCATTGAAAGGTCAAATGCCTCCTGAATTGCACAGTAGTTGTCGAGAAGACTGCCGCCAAAATAGGCGGGATCATCACTGTTAATGCTGAATCTAACGCCTAAATCCAGAAAATGCCGAATGGGGAGATTCATGATATCCTGAACCCCTTTAAGCATGACATTTGATATCGGACAGACTGTTAGCATGATCTTGGCATCAACAAGCCGTCGGAATAGCGATTGATCCTCGATGGCTCGACGCCCGTGGTCTATCCGCTTCACGCCGAGGTCCGACATCGCCGCCGCGACATATTCTGGAGGACCCTCTTCACCATAATGGGCTGTGAGATTCTCGACATCAGCTTCACGCAGAGTTGCGTACACTGATGAGTACAACGAGGGGTATCTCCCAACTTCCGTGCTCGACATGCCGAATCCGATCAATATGCCATCCTCAAAGTGGCCGTGGCTGAGCATCTCGGAGACTAAGTCGTGTGCTGAGGAAGCTGGCAGATGTCGCACGAGACAGGGGATGAACGGCGACACTCATCTGAGGGAAGTCGCGAGCAGCTCTTTCTCTGGCAGTATTCATACCGCTAAGCAATGTTTGATATGATACCCCTAGAGCAATATGAGCCTGCGGATCAAAGAAGACCTCGGTGTGGCGGACGGTCTGGGCGTAGGCATTCTTAACATGCTCGTAAGTCAAGAACTCAAAATCAGACGCGGTAAGTAGAACCTCAAACCCGATGAGATAGTAGCGTAAAAAATCGTCGAGTGACGTAAAGTTCTGATATTGAAGACAGAGAGAGTCAAGTGAAGCAAAGGCTGGGTCATCTGATGGCAATTCAATCCTGTTCTTTGCGGCCAAAGAGAAGAGCATCTCTGGGCTGAGGGTGCCCTCGATGTGGACATGGTGTTCGCACTTAGGGATAGCTTGAAAAAATAATGGAGTGTAGATTTGCACATCTTGGCGAAGAGATCGGTTAGAGCAAGACTGATGAAAGATGATGATCAGAGAAAAGGGTTGTCTCAAGCTTGCTATTCCAAGGTATGCCGACGAAACAATGGGGTAAGGATATAGAGCATACAGTATGGAACAAGAAAAGATACAAGTAGTAGCAAGATGGCTGTACTTTTGACCCTCTTGGAAGGCAACAGAAGCTGCTTATACGTGCGAGAACTATCTAGATAAAAGCTATGGAAAAGTGCTCCGTGTAATCCATCCATGTGAATCGTGTGAGTGATGCTGCTCTATCCCCTGGCGGCCCACCACCTCTCCGGCTACTTGTTTAGCACGGCGGATTACTCGCCGGAACTAGCCTCTAAATGGAAAGTGTAGACCACGCAGTTCTGATTGGCCCAATGTTAAGTTCCAACTCTCGCCACGCTAGATGATAGCAGCAGTGACATACCCCAAAGAATTCCTATAAATTGTCATAGCTCTTGTTTGGTATTATTCTCTACTTTCTGGGCTCATTACTCTTTCTACAATTTCTCATAAGCCAATAGCAACCATGCCTCCAAAGAACCGTGTCATTATCGACACTGATCCAGGTAGGCTTGTATCACACTCATCAGTCTTCCATACACTAATAAAGTTTAAATAAGGCGTCGACGATGTCTTGGCTCTAATTCTAGCCTTATCCTCGCTACCAGAAGAGCTGGAAGTTCTACTCATCTCGGTGACCTATGGAAATGTCCCAGTCAAAAGGTGAGTAAGAGCACGGACTGACGCTGAGCCGGACTATGCTAAAACAAGCCAGTTGCCTCAAGAATGTCGCCGCCTTGTTTCATATCATTGATTTGGAAATAAAATGGCGTGAGGCTCAAAGCAAGCCAGTAGGCTTCTCGTCCTTGTTGGGTCGTAGACCAGTTGTCGCGATAGGCGCCGATCATCCGTTGGAAGAGGAAGTGCTTGCTGCTGATCATTTCCGTGAGACTTCCCAATATCACCGGCTTCAAGCAGATACTGACATCAGGAGCAGATGGCGCGGATGGCCTTCACGGCGTCCACGACTCACTGCCACATCTAGCCCCGGCCCAGATGTGGGACAAGGTCTTCCAGGAGGGTGCTGATGAAACGTCTTCTTTGTTCTCTGCATCCAAGGTCCCCGCTCACAAGGAGATCCTGCGAATTCTGCGAGAGAATCCCCCAGACACTATAACCATTGCAGTGCTCGGGCCAATGACCAACATTGCGCTGGCGGCAAGCGAGGATCCAGAGACCTTCGTCAAGGTCAAGGAGCTTGTCGTCATGGGCGGTGCCGTTGATGTACCCGGCAATATCACCCCCGTTGCCGAGTTCAACACCTATGCAGATCCCATCGCGGCGGCGCGGGTTTATGCGTTGACTTCCCCAAGCCCACAGTCCACCCTGCCGCCCTCGTCTCTCCCCGCATATCCGCCCAAGCTTCCACGAAGAGTCCAACTCAAGCTGTTCCCCTTAGATCTAACCTCACCTCATCGCCTCTCGAAATCTCAGTTTAATGAGAGATCAAAACCCCTGGCCGAGGGCGGCAGTCCACTCGCACAGTGGACGACACACTTCATGTCCAGGACGTTTGAAAAGATCAATTCTATGAAGCCTCCCGGGTCCACTAGCGACCCAGCCTTGCAGCTTCACGACCCCATGGTGCTGTGGTATATCCTCACGCCCGAGGACAAAGGCTGGAAGCACAGCGCTCGAGGTGAAGATATTAGAGTCGAGGCTGTAGGCCAATGGAGTCGCGGAGAGTTAATCACCGATAAGAGGGGCATGGCGAAACCGCTCGACCATGACGATGACGAACTGACTCTTGATGAGGTCCCTGGAGACACAGATGGGTGGTTCACTCCTGGTAAAGGCAATAGGGTCACGCGCATGCTTCAATCTCCTGGGGAGACACGGTTCGCTCACGTTCTGCTAGACGCCATTTTCCCTCGTACGTAGTTTCATAGCTTTCAAGGGATGTGGTTGTTGGGACCAGTCATAGCCCTCTGACGTAGCTCAAACCACCTCAATGTATTAAATTGTCATTCTAGCTTTTCACATCATGCTTGTACGTTTACTGTCACCACTCTGTTAGCGCGCGTTCCCTGAAAGAATCCGTTCGGTTCCTAAAACCGACATGGAGTAACCACGTACCTATTGTGTGAGTCATCTCCACGATGCAACATTTGAATAGCATAACATGTAGAATTAACTCTTATCAAGCTCGTCCAGGATGACTCCGAGGGCAGAAATGATAAACGGGTCCCAACCGTTTGATGCTGCGCTCACATGTCGTTGGTGCTCGTCGATTGGTTCCGTTATGAAGAGTGGTCTAAAGTTTCCTAATTCGGACTGGTGTGCCAATTGCTCGAGTCAGTCTTTTGCAAGATCTGACATCCATCAACATGAACTCAGCCCGGTCGACTGGTCCTTGTGAACATTAGACCATGCTATCGGTCCGTTTTCACAAGGCTCCTATGACACAATGTGTTCCTAAAAGCTTTTAAAGGGGACGAAAGCCTGTTTCCTGAGTCCAGTAGACTACGCCTCTCCTCTATCCAACAAGTTTGTCCAATTATAAACCTCGACTGCCCAAAATGCCAGCCTCTTCCTCTCAGAAGAATACTCAGGCACCTGTGATATGCGTCTTGTAAGTTCCACCAAAGACATCCCACCAATGCTCCCTTGCTGATAGAAATAGCTGCGGCGCGTCGGCTGGATCTAATCCAGTATACTTGAAAGCCGCACGCGACCTTGCACAGCACTTTCACGACAATGGCATCCGGCTTGTGTACGGTGGAGGGACCTCTGGTTTGATGGGGCAGTTGGCCAGAGAACTAGTTTCTCTCTCAGGTCCCCAGGCCGTGCATGGCATCATCCCTAAGGCACTCCTTCGCATTGAGAAAGGTTATCAAGCCGACAACAATGATCTCAGCTCTTCTCTGCACGATGAAGCGGGCAAGGTCGAGCGGGTCATCGGTAGCGGGGGACCAGAGGCATCTCTCGAATACGGCTCAGTCACTGTAGTCCCTGATATGCACACGCGCAAGCGTTTGATGGCGGAAGAAGTCCGCAATGGCGGCCCGGGATCCGGATTCGTAGGGCTCCCTGGAGGGTTTGGCACCATTGAGGAAATCATGGAAATGACTACCTGGAACCAGCTGGGAATCCAACGCGCGGGTGTTGTCCTGTTGAACATCAATGGATACTGGGACGGCCTCTTGCTTTGGGTCCAGGCGGCAGTAACGGAGGGATTCCTATCTCGGGGGGATGCTAGGATCCTTGTACAAATCAAGCAGCCCAACCAAGTACATGCGACGCTGAGCCAGTACAGACTCAGCGAGGATAGGTTGCACCTGGCTTGGGGCGATGAATGAACATGCGCGACTTCTATTAGGGGGTGATCTTTTGTAAGACCGGTTGGATAAACCGGTATTCACGTATATAGGCCTTCAGTTATCAATAGAGAATAATATCGATGTTTTCCGCTGTTGCAGTTAGTTTTCCAGCATAGTGCCAAGGGCGATTCAAGCGGACATACCGGCAAGGTTTTCCCAGGAAGCGTTAGTGTGGTCCTCACCATAGCAATCCCGATGTGCCCAAAGAGCCTCCAGAAGACTGAGACCTTGGCGGATATTCATGAAACCCATTACTGAGACCATACTGTTAAGCAAGTCCCGTACCTGCTGCCGTTGACTATGATTGGCCGCGCCTGTACCAGCGGAGAACGCCGGGTAGAAAAGGAGAACGCCGAATCCCGGGCCCGGATGAATCTCGAAGGCTGACAGGAGAGCCAATATGTTATTAACGAGCCGTTGGATTTCCATAGAAGATGGAAGAAGGCCTCTAATACGTTGATGGATCTGTAATATCGTCGCTTGTCGAAATAACTCATTGATATGCCTCTGATTCTTACTAGTCGAACTGGCTGCAGCGGAAGCTGTTACTGTCATATTGTCCAGTCGGTTGAGCAAATGGAGAGAGCGCTCTTCTATTCTCGCGACTGTATTCGTGCCGCAATATTCAGCAACTTGCTGGCGATCTCGAATCAGCCAGCCAAGCTCGAAGAGAACCGACATCAGCTCGGATGAGTATGCGGTGAAGTTGTCTATGTACGGGCGTGGCCCATCTTGGCTAACCATGGCGAGGGCTCGCTCGGAGACGGCACCTGACGGAGGAAGACCTGACACGTTGGCGAGAGCGACAAGAGACACAAAGCATTGACAGATGAACGCTCTCGTATGATCTGAGGAATGAATGGTCCATGTAGGCCAACGCGCCGCAAAGAGAGAACCGGCGCCCTCCAGATGTAGCCTCCAGGACGAGCCGTTGCCACCTCCAGATATCACCTCGGTATAGCATAGCAATAAAGCAGCTGCCATCAGAGGTTCATCCGCAGATGTTGACAAGCCCATGCGCAGTTGCTTAACAGCCGAAAGGTGCAGAACGCCCAGCTCTTGTTTGTCCTGCTCTAAGCCAATATTCACCCGATGCGCAGCGGCTAGAGCAAGAATCGCCGCCATCAGCGGGTCGTTGTTGGCTGCCATCTGGATGAAGGTTCCACAGAACTGGTCTTTTACTTCATCATCGCAGGAAAACGAATCTGCAGCGTGGACAAAGTAGTCGAGAAGGACTTTGCCAGGGGATGATAGTCTCGGAAAGAGGGATATGTAATCAAACGGTAGGGGTGTGGTCTTCTTGGAGGATGTCATTAAAGCATGGGCATTCGGTTTAACCGTGCCATAGATGAATGGGGGCTTCGCTTGACCAGCACCATCGCCTTGTGAATGCAGAATATGGACCTGGTCCACGGCTCCGCGTCTTGACTCTTCCGAAGTCATCAACTGGCCAAATGATGAACGGTCAAAGGCCCGACCACCCCATGAGATCCGTTGGCCATACGTGCATCCTTGTCTGAGACTGCAACATCGGCCACACGTAGGCCGACTCTCATCACATTTTCGATGATCCCGGCGACACTCAAAGCATCCTTTCCGAGACCGTTGAGTGAACCGTTTCTTCCGCCCAGCGGGTTCCATGCTGTGGTGTTGTTGCTTCACACAGGACTTGATTGAATTGTAGAAATCGGTGGAGAAACCGCCAATGTATGAAAAAAATATCCACTTGTACCCTTAGTCATCACAACTTATCAGCAGGAGGTAGATCTTTACATTGAGACAGGCCAAGAATTGGTGACTACCCTATAGTCAAAACACTCAATCTACATGTAGGCGACAACACAACAGTACTGCCAGACATTAAGAGGCACTTTCTCAGATTCCTCTCTTCTGAAACATCTGAGATGAAAGTTCTGCTGATGCTCAAGGTAGCATCATCATCTGCAGCTAAGTATTCAACTGCTGAAGCGAGGTCGTTGGTCGCATTGTAAGGAGAAGGCAAAGAGGTCTCAACAAGCTGGTTTTTCGATCACATGTCTTTAGGTGTTAACATCCAGCCCAAACTCCACGTCTCATGCTTCTCGTATTTTTGTCGAACTACCCGGCCTACATGCATTCGACTTGAACTAGGCCAAGGCCCCCCAACTTATGTAGTGTTCAAATGTCTCAAAATTGCTGCAGGCTACCTCTGGGCATGGTAATATTGTGACAAATTGTGCAGAAGTTAAACTATAACGGCTCATCACCCACTAATTTCGTGGCATGTGCACATCTTGCCAAGAAAACCCTCTTCCGATTAGCCTTGGCTGATTGTCAGTCACCCGCCGATGTGGCATCGGAGGGTCGGGCTATGCGACTTGTTCAGACCCCGAAGATAAATGCGGGTTTTCGGGTCGCTTTGAAAACTAATCAATTAATCACACGCCGATACTGCTACGGATGGTGCCACAATATCCGGGTTGCGAGGGGGAGTTGCTAGAATTTTGTAGTCATAGTAAAGAGTGCTCTCAAATATATATCGTGGGCGTTTCCGTGCGAAATTCAAACAATCAGTACAAGCGACTTAACTCAGCACACAGAAACACACACAAGGAAATCACCGACATACAACAATATGCGTTCTATAACCCTTCTGTCTGGACTTTTTCTTGCCCTCGCGCGGCAGGGGATCTGTCAAAATCAAACCTTTGACGGGCTTGCCAAGGTCTACCACGAATCTTCACTCCTACGTGTGCAAAATAACCCGTACCGGCGCGATGGGCAACCTGCTTGCACTGAAGAAAACATCCGCGTTCGAAGGTCATGGTTCGTACCATCTTCAATGTGATGAAACCTAACGTCCTAATCAACCGCTAATGTGAGTAGGGTTAACCTTACTTTCGACGAACGTGCCGAGTACATCGCGGCCGTCAAGTGTCTTTATGAAACGCCGCCATTGTCTCCAGAGTCGTTTGCCCCTGGTGCCAGGCATCATGCAGATGACTTCACTGCCTGTCACTACAACCAGACTGAATACATTCACTTCTCTGTCAGTATTCCTGACCCCTGAAGCGTGTCTCATAACACCATGGCTGACTCCAAAGAAGGGATGGTTGATCCCCTGGCACAGGTACTTTGTCTGGTCATACGAGAGCTCTTTGCGTGATTTCTGTGGCTATACTGGTGCTCTACCTTATTGGGATTGGACTGAGCAATACGAAAGCCACACCCAGCATCCTCTTTTCGACGGCTCCGAGTACTCCCTTGGTGGAAATGGCGAGTATGTCCCGCACGAGCCGCAAAACCTCACCATACCTGTCCCGAGTAAGCCCCTGGTCTTTTTCCCTGCAGGTTCTGGTGGTGGCTGTATAACAGACGGACCTTTCGTCAACGTTACCTCAAATCTTGGACCCCATTTCCCAGTGCAAGAGACGACCGGTCTTGAGTATAACCCCCACTGCCTGAAGAGGGATTTCTTTGAGACCTTATCCCAGCAATTCTTAACCACAGCAAGTGTTGAGAACCTCATGTCTCAGAATAGTATCGGAGATTTCCGCCAGGTTCTTGATGCCGGCATCCATTTTGCAGGCCACGGCACCGTTCTCGGCGGCATGTCCGACCTCTGGATGTCTCCTGAGGATCCCGTGTTTTTCTTTCATCATGGCCAAATCGATCGCCTGTGGTCCATCTGGCAAGAGCAAGACCTGGCAGCCCGCATGAACCAAACTTCTGATACGCAAACATGGGATAATGGTAAGACAAATCACTTTATGAGAAGATTTCCTCTCTTTCTAACAGTTTGCTATAGTTCCCGCATCTCCAAATGCGACCGTCTTCGACATTTTGGACTATGGGGTAATTGGTGACGGACGAGTGGAAATGGTTGATATTGTGGACACAATGGGCGGGTTCTTGTGTTACCGCTATGAGTAGGTTGGCTCATCTCATTAATTATGTGATTCGCAGATAGAACAACACAAGGTATCTCAGAACAACTCACAGATAGACCTACAACCTACAGGGCTCCCATTGGAGCGGCAGCAAAGAAGGCATCGTCTTTCATCAGAAGTAGCAGCTCAAATAACTGAAGAAATGGTCGGATGGTTTTCTTTCATATATCAAGCAAGACGTATTAGTGAGACCTATTCTTAAGATTCAGGCTCCGAGTCGAAAGTCATAATCGATTGCTTTTTTAAGAATAAGTAGAGACTCTGTGAGATATAAAGTGACATTAAGAGAACGATGTAATTGCTAACGAGCGAGAAAATGACTTTTAAGGTTACCCTTCTATGTGCGATAGCTGGGTGATTGCAACACGAACAGTTCGGCTATCCCAAAAACAGAATACCTCCCTCTGCGGTGGAATCGAACACATGAGAGGATTATATAACCTTCCGCAAGCGACTTAAACCGGATACCGATATGAGATATGGTATCTCCCCAAAACAAAGAGATTTTATGGCTATAGCATGAGTGGTTCCCCATTCACCGTCTCGAGGCTTGTGTAACCACGAGTTGAATGCCTGGGGAAGTGACTATAAATAGTTCCTCGTGGACAGCAGCCGATTGCCGCTTAGTCATCGCGCGCGCGGTTGTGCCCCACAAAAAACTAGCGGAAACAAGCATCGGCCCGTGTCCGTCTTCATGTTCCGAAGTTGCGGGTTGATCAAGGACTTCATTCAGTGGTATTGATTCATACTACCAACTTTGACAACAATGGTTGAGCTTCAACTCAATTGAAGGCCTCACTTTATCTCACGTTCTAGAATTTCAAATTCCAAATTGTCCAATTTACTAATATACAGGGTAATTTATATTCTGTTTTGTCTTATAGGAATTTTTGAGAAGTCTTTCATTCGCTTCAAACAAAAACCTCCAAGCTCTAGGGTAATCTAGCCAGCTAGAGATGAACACAACAAGTGCGCCTTTTGTGTACTTTATGCAATCGAAGTCAGGGAAGGAATACGATCCCTGAAACTGTCTGGCTATTTCCGAAGTTTTATCTCCACTCGCTGTGGGGAGTAGTCAAGGGAAATTACCCTTTCTCACAACAATATTGAAGCGTATTCGCTGCTCGCGTTTGACTTGGGCATGTCCTAGTCGCAATGAGTTGTGGGTGTGTGAGCCGCCATTTAATTGCCACCAGTCTTCCCGGCAGGGTTACAGACTTCCAGTGCCGATCGCAGCCCAGATCTTGTTTATAGCCCGGCGGATCCGTCGTCTTCTGCTGCCTTCGGTTGCATTAGATTTAGTCGCTTATCTGGGCTGCGCGATATGGATCAACGGCGAAGAAGCAGTCGACCGAAGCCACAGGTGTCTTGCACAATATGTAAATCGAAAAAGTGAGGACCTCAGTTTGAGATCTGCAACGCATTCTAACCATGTTCAAAGGTTGAGATGTGACCGGAAACTACCATGTGCGAACTGCCGGAGGCGACCTCCTGGAAGTTGCGTGTATGTGTCCAAGGGAATCAAGGGTAGTTCGTCTGCATCGCTCACCTTTCAACGACAAGATGGCGATGACCACACTGCCTGTTCGCGATCAGGACATTCTAAAGAACCTGCCACTAGGCTACCGGATGGAGATACTAATACTGGCGGCCCTACAAGAGAAATTGATAGTCCCCTTCTGATTGACTCTGACCACGATGCTGGACCCAGCTCAAATTCCAGCCGCCGACTGTCAGCTAATGGCCTGGAAACACGTTTCCTTGACACTGCAAATTGGGAGGCTCTTATCCGAAATGCAGGTTTTCTTAAAGTTAATGAGTGCTTCAATCTTCTAATGACGCTTAGATCAATCTTCACGCGCTGCAGACGAGTACCAGGCAGGAAATTTCACATCAACCCTCTTTTGCTTCTGGAGGAACTCTGCGACCGTCGCTTCTGTTCGAGACCTCCCAAGACCAGTCATACGAAGAATTAGTCAACTGTCTACCGGCAAAGCCCGTAGTCGACCAACTGGTGAATTTATTCGTCAATGGTTTGGACATACCGACACTTCCAATTCATTTACCAGTGTTCCTGAAGGACTATCAACTTTTCTGGGACAATCCTGGCCGCGTGTCTCTACCGTGGCTTTCGATTCTGTTTTCTATCATCTCCCTAGGCTTGCAATATGTCCTGAGATCTGGATCGGCAATCGATGGAATTCCTTACACAGAGCCTGCATGCCGAAAGTTTGCCTCCAAGGCAGCAGAATGTTTGAGGACGTTCGATTATGCTAAGCCCGCACCGCGAACTGTCGAAGCTATGGTGTGTGCCATGTATTGAGCTAAATTAGTCCGGCGTCTTTCTTCTAACTTGATGAATAGATCATGTACATGCTTTGTGAACACATTTGGTTGGGGGAATATCGTTTTAGGGCTTCCCTTATTCTCAGCTTGACCATACGACTGGCCATGCGGGCCGGTTATCATAGGGACCCTTCGCACTACAGTCAAATATCTACGTTTGAAGGTGAGGTGCGAAGAAGGTCGTGGTCGTATCTGGTGCAGCTCGACATCTTATTTGCCTCGTATCTGGGCCTCCCACGCCATATAAGTGACCGGCGAACCGACACGGCACTACCATCAAATATTGCAGATGAAGATCTGCAGCCTGATATAACGTCTCTACCTTCTATCCGAAATCCCGCAGAACCTTCAGCCATATCATTCCTAAACTACAGGGAGCAACTTTGCAAGATACTTGATCAGATCACAGACTGCACTACTTCGTTCGAAGACCTCCCTTACGACAAGGTCCTCAGATTAGATCTGGCTCTTGATAGGCAGATTGACGCCTGTCCAGCTTGGTTGGATCCGTCACCACGTTTTGAGGTACGCATAATGAATGATCCCGCAACTATGAACCAGGCAATAGAGGTCGATATACTGGCGCAGCGAGCGCGCATCATCCTCCACCGAAGATTGCTTATTCCTGCTCATGGCAACCCGCAGTATTTACCCTCACGCAACAAGTGTGTCGCAGCTGCAGCGCGGATACTCCAGCATCAAATCACGGTTTCTCAAATCTCATTTAATGTGGATGGCATGACCGTGCCAAATTGGAGAGCTCTCTCCCTCATGCACGAAGACTTTCTTCTAGCATCCATAATCTTATGCCTCCACATCAACCAAGATATACGTCATGGGAAGGTATCGCGAGATCTAGAAGATTCCCCTAGCAAGGAAGTTGAGCTACAAGAGCACCTGGGGCTGTTAGGATCATGTCGAAAGATTCTGCTCGATGCTGAAAAGCCTAATCGTGATGCGCAGAGAGCTGCACAGGTGATAGAGGTTGTACTTCTGCAAGCATCCAAAGCTCGAAATGCCAACCCAGACAAGGACGAAGATACTAATGATGCGATCACTGGCGTCTGCCCGGCTAGCTCAGAGCCTGGTCCGGCCGATTTTGTACCAGTTGGACTTGAGGATGGATATTTTGGAGACCCTTATTGGTTTGGAAATCAGGTGCCGATGTTTTCTGATTTGGATCACGCGTTTGCCAGCTTTCCATCAGATGAACAGTTTCCTTTCTTGGCTGGCTCGGATTTGGATGATATACTATCGTTGGGCTTGTAGACCCTCGGCCTTCAGATGAGAATGATAGGGGCTGGCCATTACTTGTTGTAAAATTAGTAGATTGTTGTTATTCTCACATTTAGATGTCTCCTAACGGGTCGGATCACGCTTTGCGCAGTGGATGAGATGAATCTAGACTAATAATCTAGATGTATGACTTGATGGCCCGTGAATTCAAAACTGCCTTCTACGAGCTAATACTACTTCGTTGTGAGTCTTCGCTTCGCATTTTCTAAGGCTCGGTGACTATGAGCTTTATACGATCAGAGATGCGCAATATTAGAAGGCTACTTGAAGAAAAGAGAAGATACCGTGAAGTGGAATGATAATGGTTCGAATTTCCGGTACGCTATAGAAAACTATGGCCAACGCAGTGATATAGAAAAGAGTGCCTTTACAAATGACAGATACAACATGTAAGGTTCACTAGTTTGAGCTTGGCCCATATATCTGGCCTGTGAGCATGGAGCGTGCCATTACTCCTTGGGGTACCCAAGCTTGTCCTGGAACCAAAATCGTAGCCTCTCCACTCGCTGACGATCTCCCATCCAGTCCTGAAAGTGAATAGGGTCTGTGTTTACTGTGTCGAAGATGCGTGAATACCCAGTTGGAGCAGCATCATCTTTACGGACGCTCCAAGAACCTGTTATTTGTTGATATTCGGAACTGACGACGTAGTTTTGAAGGAGCTTGGCGCCTTCGGGGTGAGGTGCATCCTTGAGAATTGCAGAGCGCTGTGCCCACGATGTGAATGGCGCACCGCTGCTTGGGTAAACAACTGTGAACGGGTCCTGTGATTGCAAGCCAATCGTCGTAGTAAAAGTCACAGCATAGGTGTTGTTCGGTTGAGCGATTAGGGTTGGCGGTATATTAGCTCCGGGTACCCATCTGATGTCCTGCTCGAGGAGTTTATCAAAGAACTCTAGCCCGTGTACTTCCATGCTGCATGGGCTTTTGTTAGCAGTAACCATGAAACAGAGTTACGTTGTTTTCTTACATGAGATCGAAGGTATGAAGAATAGCATCATCTTCGTTAGGATAAGTCAGAACAATTTTGTTCTTGAATTCTGGCTTCAAAAAATCTAGAAATGTCTTAGGAGGAGTTGCGCCCCCCAACTTGCTTTTGTCGTACAGAATACTCCATCCGTTGACCGCTGAGGAGACCCATGCACCATTCGTATCCTTGAAGGCGTTGTAAACTTTGTCAAAATCTAGGGGCTTGTAGTAGAGTAGAACGCCATTGTTCTTCCATCGGGGGTAATCCTGAGCAGTTTGTAACATGATGTTGTCGACCTGGGCGTTTCCCATCGCTAGCTGCCGATCCAAGTCTGGCCCGAGATAGCTCGAGCTCTTGACTGTCACATTGAGCGTCATGCCGGGAAACCTTTTCTCAAAGGCTTCCTTCATCGGATCCTGCTGGTCCGGACTGCCTCCACCGTGCCATAATGTGACTGTTCCGCCTTCAGCTAGTGCGGCCTGATGAATTTCGTCAAGCTTCCGGGACTCTACGAGTGCATTAGAGTTCCAGGCAAAAGTTTGGTCAAAGCAGTACGCTACGCGGAGGTAGGAGAGAAAAAACGAGCTTAGAGTAAAGTGGCGCATTCTGCGTGGTGTTGGAAGGTTGATGATGATGGGTAAACTGAGAAAGGTGGGTTCAGAAGAAGTAGGATAGCTCGAATAAGCTTATTCCGGACACTTAAATAACCATGGCAGGATCTTATTGAAATGATCCGGGAGTTCCTGTTGCTTCGCATGCATTACATCCGAGGTGGATTCGGAAGGTCGGCTTTGCCGTGTACGACTTATTGCTGACGTGACATGTACGGCTTGCCGACGTGGATGGACTAGGGACTCTGCCCATCCTCAATTATCTCTGATGCGTCCAGTCTGGGCGTGTTGGCTTTGCCATGTACGTCGTCAAATGACCGACCGAAATCTGTTCGGATGATCGGTTGTGTCACTCCCCGGTCCGGCCCAAGGTGAGACAGAGACCTTCACCCATTTCTGCATAGTTAGTTGGATATGCGCTGATCATTGTGAACACTTTGGGTTTAATCTATAATAAAACTAGCTTGTCTGCTTTAGGAATGCCCGACACGCCGCCAATTTATCTAAAAGAAACCGTTGAGTCTAAACTGCTACTGATAGTATAGCTCTTTGCAGCGATTTGTAACTGTTTAACATTCACTGCGTACCCTCTTTCGTAAGATAGGACTTATCAAATCGTAAAAGAACACGGTTCTGTAGTTTGATCGTCTAAAGGCCGAATAATCCTCTCTAATTCTCTGAAATCGCGATTTCTTATTGCCATCCCCTTTAACCTCCCAAGACCTTCTGCATGCATCGGGATCTTAATATTTCGCCCGTATACTTGCACCCCGCTTATAGTAATGTCACCTGACCGGTGTTTTGGAGAAATTTGCTCTAATAGCCCCGGATTTACAGGATGCAACCTCTTCCGTCACTATTACATCAGCTGCTCACCTTGCTTCACTATTTATTGGACGATATCCGCAAAGGGAGAGTCGTCTTTTGGTGGGACAAAGAGCAAGAAAACTTGATCATAGAATGGCAGATGATAACCCTAAACGGCACGAAGACAGCAGAGCCGATGATCGAGGAGCAGACAAGGAGTGGAAACACCGCGCGCCATATCGAGTTCGTCCAACTACTGAGAAGTTTGAGGTAAAATGGCGTGGTCGCTGTCATTGTGGAAAGGTGCAATACCAACTGAGCCGGGACAAGCCTCTTGCTAGCAAATATTGCCACTGCCGAACATGCCAGAGGCTACATGGAGTACGTTGCTATGTACAACCGTTCCGAGTAACTTGCTAATTATTTCTCTGGCGACCAAGTAGGCGCCCTTTCAATGGGCTGCAATCTTTGAAAAAGAAGATATCAACTTCACCGACGGTTGCCATGGATTGAGCTGGTTTAACTCATCCTCAAACAAAGCAGAGCATCAACTTCCTTGCAAGGTACACTGCAGCTATTGCAAGACTCCAATCATGGATGAAGGGAGGAACATGATACTCATATTTCCATCACTTATTGAGGACATCCATGCCAAAATCGGCCTGGAAGCATTCAAGCCTAAGATGCATATATTTTACTCGCAGCGAGTAGTTGATTTGCCAAATGATGGGCTTCCCAAGTGGAGCGAACATGAGAACAGCCATCTTATAGATCCGCCGGAGGAGGACTAGGTATCAAATATGGCCGTTAGAATCATCTGTGTGCGGCGGATATTAATGTTAAGCCTGTTTAACAGCGCGAGCAACCCGTCATGTGCTGGAAACTAACTGCCAAAGTGAACAAAGGGAGCCCAGGATATTGGTTCGTCGCTACAGCTAATAATATCCCTGCCCTCTCTCAATGTATTGCCATTATCTGCCTCTGCCGCTGTTGTCAGAAAGAGGCTCTGGCTGTGCTTGTTGGGTTCTTGCTTTGCCCTACCACCTCGCATTTCGTCTTCCTGTTCATTGCCGACTACCCACTGACCCCGGAGCATTCTGATAGCATGATGAAGTCCTTCACCGACAGATTCATTGCTCAACCTGGAGTTCTTCATCCACTCGTAGGTCATGTTTGCTACCTGAACACAGACACCGTCATCGACCCTTCGCAGCGTCCCAACCACGTTCCTAAAGCCAGCCATCTGGCACGCGCCTATCAAATGGAGCCCTTCATCAACAAGTTCCTCGTCCTCGCTGCGGCCAGTACTGCATGCTGAGAGGTATGCAAGAAATGGTGCCTTGTCGTGGAGCTTGATGTTGAAGAGATCCTGCACAGTTAGGGGCTCATCGCTCATTTTCAGCGAGCTCTTGGATGGATCAAGAGGATGAGACATCCCGTGGCCTGCGAAATGAAAAACTTCACACTCTGGTAGGAAATCAAGGACTGCATTGCGTTGGGGCTCTAATATTACCGTTTTCAAGTGCATCCCCGCGCATAGCTTCTGAATCTGGCTGATCTCCTCTGGCGCGTAACGAAGCTCCTGGACGCCGACCAAGAGGGCTTTCTTGTTCTGCCATTCCTTGGACGATATCCTGCTTGTTACCTGGCGACCTTGGATGATTGCACCTACGGATGCGCTGTAGGTGGAAATCACACGATCCATGACTGTTTTGGTTGATCCACTGTAGTGGTAACCCGCGCAGTGAATCGGAAAGGACGAGAGAGGGCCGGTGGTTATCCAAAATACACGGGGCCAGGGTGAGTTAGTGGGCATCTCATGATAACCCAAGAACTCCATGATGGGGAGTGTGGTTGTGTCCCAGAGCCATTCAAGGATCTCGCGATCAATGTCTTTAGCTGCATATTCTAGCACTTGGGCATGGTGCAAGTCTGGAAGTGCTAGAGATACGATGTGGTCCGTTCTAACGATGAGAGCATCACACCGTTCACGGTGCACATTGATCATGACTATCGGGCCATTAACTGCGGCTGACTTGATTTGTTTCTCGGATGGTGGCAATAAGAAACGGTCAAACCCGTGCAAGCCTCGAATTTGCTCCAGTAGAGAATCCAACTGGCGGCCAGCATCGTGGCGAGGATTGTCGAAACTACTTGTCGATATCGGGTCACTATTAAGCAACTCTCTCAATTGATGGAGCTTTTCTGACAGATTTGGATGCGAGAATTGCAGTTCAAGTGCGTCCGAACGCAGATCACGTAATGAGCTGGTGATGACCCCTCTTGCAAGTTCAATATGCTGAAGCGCTTCATATGGCTCCTTACCTGCCATGAGGGTGACGGCTCCCACAAGGGTGGATAGGCCAGGGATTCCCTTGAGTAGCTTTTGCTTATCGGAGACAACCAGCGAGCGGGGAGTGAGATGAGAAACCAACGGAAGTGTTTTAGTGGCGACCTGATAGGCAGATGAAATATTTCCTGCGGTCACCAGCCAATGGGCCAAGATATTTCCCGCATTGATCTGGTCCCTTGGAAGCGCACGTACATCTTTGAAAGCCCGATGGTATATCTTCAGCGCTGTATCTAGGTCTTCTGCTTCCCTGAGCCTCTCGAATCGGCTGTGGAACTCCCATCCAAGGGCTTGCAGCCGATGACTCCGGTCTGGATCGTCTTCTGCAGTGCAGTCCACGGCATTCTGCATTTTCCTAATAGAGATTTCGTAGTCCCCTTCTGACCCGGATGCCTCAGCCTTGTCGATATATACGTGGCTAATAGCAAAGAGGTTTTCTGAATACTGGAAATCGTCTTTTGAGAGCGAATTCTCCCAAACTTTGAGATGCTTCATGGCGGCCTCTAAATATGCCAGAGTCTTTGTTTTTTATACTTTGCTAAGTGCACATGGACCATAGTCCGAAGAAGAGGGATACGTTTCCAGTTATTGCTTGGGCCTTGGAGGAAAGACAGAGCCTCCGTGGCCGCGTCGACGGACTCTTTCATGTCCCTCTCTTGCCCCATCTTGTCATACCGCAAGTGCAATACTTCGGCTAGCCCCGCCAAGCTGAAGGTTGCTTGCTCATCGCGATAGGGTTCCAGTTCCCTTGCTTTCCGATATCGCGCAATAGCTTGGTCGAGGTCCGGCAGCTCTCCGGTTCGGACGTATCTTCCTTGATAGCTTGACCCCAAAAGCCTGTTACCTAATGACTGCTGATCCGTGGCAAGTGATGCGAGATCGAGAGCCTTCTGGACTGTCCGAATCGAGATATCAAGGTCTGTTATTGACTCGGCGCTTTGATACCTGGCTTCATAGCCCTCGGCCAACATTATCAGCGATTGAAACCTCTCCAGGGGAGGCGAATGATCTGCAAGGGCGTCCACGGCTGACTTGTACGAGTCTATACATGCTTCGAGATCGCTTGCTTCTTCTAGACGCTTGTATCTTCTTTCGAATGTCTTGCCCGCGATCCGAAACAGTTCTGCCCGCAGTTCGTTCTTTGCATTGCCGTCTGTCCATGTGTCAAGGGCCCTTCGCGAATGCTCGAGCGATGTTTCCAAGAGGCTTACGTCGTCCGTTTCATCAAATTTGAATAGGAATAGCTGAGCCAACTCCGCCAGTGTCGCTCGGCGGGAAATGTCGTTTGGAAAACGGTCCAATATTTGCGTGTGGAGGGAAATGGATCGTTCAACGTCGTCGATACTTTCTAACCTTTGGAGCCATCTGGCTTGATATGCGTCCCCTAGAAGCTTGTGTTGGGTAAGGGTTAAGAGACTTGCCGAGCCTAGTTGTCCAACACATTCTTCCAATAAACGGATACACTCGTCGAAATGGAGTTTCTCTTCCGAGTTGAGGCCCCGTGTGCAGAAAGCACGGGCTTTGTCAGCTGTCCTGTCTATTCGTGACGGGTCGTCAAGAGGGGTAAGGTCTAAGGACGCTTGGTGATTTTTAAATGATTCATCAGAGTCAGATACGGCATCACTTATTATATATCTTTCATTGTAAATGCATCCGAGGGTGTGATGGAGTGATGCCAAGGTCGATACGTCTGTAGTGAACTCAAGACCGCTTTCGAGGTGCTCAATTGCAAGCTTAAGATCGGCAGCTTCGCCCGTGTCTTCGAACCGAGAAGCCAAGGAGATTCCCATTCCAAGAGGATCACATAATGCAAAATACTCTGCATCGATACTGTCGTCCGTGCCTCGTCTGCGTCTTTTTCCGGTCGAGGCTTGTCGGTCCATTGCCAATTTAGTATCTTCGAGCGGCATAATCTGTGCTGCGTAAGGTCTAAAAGTTGGACCCTGACGTAATAAATTCGGCCTGCTTTGGTTTGTTGAATTGATGCCCAATGCAACGTCAGGCCTCGGCATAAGTTGCTTACAGCGCTGATCTGGACGTATTCTGGTGTAAGCGCAAACGAGACCAGTCCTTTTCCCTGAGGACGGCTCGCGTCAACCTGAAATGTCTCATCATTGACCTACAGTTGAATTTTCTTAGTGTTTTGTAAACGCGCCAGTGCCTTCATCGCCATTCTCAAGCGAAATGCCCAAATACGACCCTCCAGTGATGCACCATGTCCTGTGAGATAGTTTGTGCTTTTACGCCTTAATACGTTTCCTTGCTCTCTTTCGGTTAGTAGGGACAAAAAAAATACCGAGGACTGTTTTGCGCTTGGCAATCACAACTTCACAAGTCAGCTGGGTTTGGAATGTGTAACATTTCCAAGGTGGTTTCAAAGTGCAAATCGATCAGATGCCATGGAAATATATTATATACACCGAGCTGATAAATTCGCAAGAACTACTAGAAGACATATTTATAAGACATTGGCCCTTGGATACCCACAACCACTTGGATCTTTTCGCACCCCCAAGCCCAGCAAGGCGTCTACTTCATCGTTATCGCGACGCACAAAGATCAACCAGTTGTGGTCAGGCCAATGATGCTGCCGTCCGACTTTCCTTGCTCTTTCAAGATTTGCGCGATGCGGTGAAATACGAGCTCATGGAAACCGCTGAAATCTGGATATACCGTTAGCAACTGAGACTTTGTAGAGCGGAATGCCATGAACCTACCAAACACATCACCGAAACAAGACCAGGTCGACCAGAGGAAGAATGAGTAATCACCAACTTGTCTCAGCTCCTCGTAGCTCCAGAAACCACCGACAGTCGCCTCCTCGCCATTTGGTCGCGTGTAGTGAAAGGGGAGGTTGCCCATGTCCCAGGTCATGTTAAATCCCCCATTGTCAGGGTACTCGTTGTAGGTAGTCAGCACTTCCGTAACGGAAATGGGCTCAATTGAAGCGTCCCAATCAAGCGTGAAGGTGCGAGAGGACCCAATCTCGAAGCCTTGACCGGTGCTGTTTGTGACGTTGAGGCCAATGTAGCTCAGGTCACTGAAAGATGATGCTGTGATGCTTTGAACATCTTTGGCGGTGGCAGGATAGAATCCATAAGTGGATACGGATGAGTAAATGTTCCCTTCAGGACATTGGCATGACTGGACAACCGGTCCGCAAACTGGCAAGGCACTAGATGTTGAAGAATCCTGCTTGACGTTGGAAGGATAGGAATGGCCAGGGCTGACCAGTGCGAGAGTTGACAAGACAGCAACGAAATTTAAAGAAAACATCGTGGCGAAGTTGATATAAAGTCAGCTTGATCGAAATTGGGAAACAGATGATTGATGACTTGATGTGATGGTTTAATGATTTGATGGTGAGTGAGTGGGATGGAATTTGAAATAGAGATGCCAGGAACCTTTATAAGGGTTTCGATTATTGTTTGATATATGCACGGTCCATTTTGGTCGGGAAGAATATTCTCGAGAACTTTCCTATGGTAGTCTGTTCCTGCTTTGACAAAGTGGTAGTTGGGATGCCTTCATGGTTCGCACTCGGACCAATCAACCAGGGTCATCTTGCTTACTGAAACTAGGCAAACTTCGGTAGGTGAAGCGGATTTAACCCTCCAAGTCCGAAACAAAAGGCACAAGCGGCCTCCACCTTGGACGAGCTAGAGCTGCACCTGTCATCAATTCTCGAGCCCCGTTTTCACCTGCAACTGTCATCAACAATTCTCAAGGATTTGCCTCATCTGCAGCCGTCATCATTTCATCTCGGCCCAACCTCTATCTAAACCGGATCTATCTAAATCGGAATTATGGTGGTAATGGGCCAACAATCGCTCCGGATAGCCCTGGACTCGTTGCCGGCGCACGTAGTTGAATTAGATGACTGGAAGGGAGTCAAGGCGCGGGAAGAGAGGCGACGGATTCAGAATCGCGTGAACCAGAGGGCTGCGAGTAGGAAATCCAGCATGTACCACACTATTTGACTTGATAGACTCACAGAAAATTGCAGGAAATCGCAAGCGGGCTGGCGCAAAACATGAGCAACTAGAGTCTTCTCAGCGCGGCCTCAAGTCTTTCAGCAACCAAATGCCCTCGAGGGCTGTAATCAGAGCAGAATCGAGCCCTGCCGTGCTCAAGCACCAAGGACCTAATTTCTGGCAAATGTTCTACGCCGCCATGAAATCAGTCCCTACTGACCGCTCCAGGCTCATCAACTTTACTCAACACATTGTATTTCACTCGGAGGATATCCAGAAAGATGTCAGAAATTTCGAAAACTGGATGTATCTATTAATTGGCTCACCTGGCAGAGACTGCCTGTTCACCTTGGTACAATTCAACGTCTTCCGATCCATGGTGAGCAATGAGAGAGACCTGGGCCTCCCGGAAGCATGCGCGCTGGACGATGACTCCATATCGCCAATTTCAGATGCAAGCTACGTAGCGCAGGACATGCCGCCCTCATTGCGGCCGACCCTGCTACAGAGGACGGTGACTCATCATCCTTGGATCGACCTTTTGCCGTTCCCCAACATGCGGGACAACCTGCTCCTGGCGGATGATCAATATGATGAATTGGCGCTCTGTACGGCAATCCTGGGCTGCAACGCGGACTCGGGTGGGAAAACCGGGATGATTGTCTGGGGGGAGGCCTGGAATCCCGCGGGATGGGAATTCACTGAGGAATTCATCCGTGAGTGGGCGTGGACCCTGGAAGGGTGCGACGAGTTCTTGGCGTCGACGAATTCCTGGCGTCACCGGAGGGGCAAAGGGGCTCTAAAGTTGTGAAGTTGTGAATAAAAAGGAGTCAGACATGTAATCATCTGCCCGTTGTGTCCGACTTAACTCCAGACAAGACCGCCTGGTGTAGATACGCGAGAACTGGCTGACACTTGCATGAGACGGCTGGTTTTTCAAGATTCATCTTGCTGACACCTGCATGATTCGTACCCGTTAGAGTATAGCTGGCTTAGATGAGCCCTGTAGAGTAGACGAGGAGTGGCTCCGTCTGATATCCACCACGAATGCTACCACGCTGACACTTGCATTAGCGCACGATCTGTGCGTATGAATTTGTGCTCTATGGCGGATTGACGGTGGCTTCCAAGCAAACGCAAGGAGTAGAGACGAATTGTGGTGTTTGGCTTCCTTGGGCGATGAAATGTGTATATAATGGCTTTCACCTCTCCGACAAACCAAAGACTTTGACACCACTCACTCACGAACATTTCAACAATTCATTCACATCAACATCTCAATACCTAGAACCCTTCGCAACCAAGATCCACCCAACTACATTCACCAAACATGGCCACAAGATACGCTCAAGTCCACCAGTCCCCCAAGGGGGCGGGTGATGCGCGACCCACCGCTCTACAGATTATCAAAGATGAACAACTCGAGAACAAGTTTGTCGGCAAGAATATTCTCATCACTGGATGTTCATCTGGTATCGGACTGGAGACAGCCCGAGCTCTTTTCGCAACAGGAGCCACATTGTACCTCACGGCCCGAGACGTCCCCAAGGCAGAATCAGAACTCTCTAGCCTGAAAGCCTCTGGTCGGGTTCACTTCCTCGAGCTTGATCTCAATTCTCTAGATAGCGTTCGCGCGTGTGCTAGCAAATTCCTCTCCCAGACTGATCACCTGCACTTATTCATCGCCAATGCCGGAGTCATGGCTTGTCCAGAAGGCCGTACCAAGGACGGATTTGAGACTCAGTTTGGGGTGAACCACCTTGCGCACTTCTTGCTCTTCAACCTGCTCAAGGATGCCCTCCTCCGCTCTGCCACACCTGAACTGAACTCTCGTGCCGTCTTCCTGACCAGCGTGGGTCATCGCATGGCAACCGTCAACTTTGACAACCTCAACCTCGAGGGCGCCTACCATGAATGGGCCGCCTATGGACAGAGCAAGACGGCCGTGATCTGGACCGCCAACGAGATCGACCGCCAATTCAAGTCCAAGGGGCTCCGCGCCACGTCTGTCATGCCAGGAGGCATCGACACCGGATTGCAGAAGCACATGTCCGCCGAGGCACTGCAGATGTTTGCACCCGACGATGTGCAGGCAGGTTGGAAGACCCCGGAACAGGGTGCTGCAACCACTGTGTGGGCGGCCACGGCAAAGGCACTTGAGAATGAGGGCGGAATATATTTGGAAAACTGTCAGATCGGACAGCCATGGGAAGAGAAGAATGGGCAGTTGGGAGATGGGTATGTGCCATGGGCCTATGACGAGGCTAATGAAGCCAAGTTGTGGAAGGTCTCGCTTGGATTGGTTGGTTTGGAGAGTAAAGAATAAGATGTTGTTAGTAAACGGTATTTGTGTGTATTAAAGCTAGCTGCGTGAAATCGTATGAAGATCAAGTAATTTACATTTCTCTCTCATAACAAGCTCTCTTACTCTGACTTCCCACCAATGTCTTGAAATTCAGCCCCCGCGACCCAGACCCTTGCAAAATCCATAGTGTTGACAATGTCATCCAAAGGATTACTGTTGAGCAGCACCAAGTCCGCCCTTTTCCCATGCTCAATTGCTCCACGATCCTCCAGTCTATGATGCAGGGCTGGTAGCACAGTCGCGGCTCGAAGAGATTCCAGTGGTGAAAGACCAGCAACTACCAAATTCTGGAGTTCCCAATGCAGCGTCAAGCCAAACGGAACACTAATCATCGGCGTAACAACACCAACCGCATCCGTACCAGCAAGCAGTGGTACGCCTGCTTGGTGCAAAAGTCTGACGTTGCTGACTACCGCTTCATATGTAATGTTGCCTGCCCCATTTGGACGAAGAAAATTGAGGATGAGAGGATTTTCAAAAGCTTGCTTGAAGATGTTCAGTGTCGGAGTGACAAATTCTCTATTCTTCAGCATTTGGTCGATAATGCACCGCGAGAGAGGCCCATCAGCGGCCATGTGCTGGAGGCCATCAGTCTTGGCAGCGACGGCCCAGGCAAACGCTTCTCTAGTGGTGGCGTGCGTCATGGCCTGACGACCTAGCTTATGGACTTCATGTATCAATCCATTCAGGACATCTTGAGTGGGACCCTCGTCATTGATCGCAACCTTGAAAACATCGGAACCGTTGTTGAAGACATTGGCGATGATTGTGGATTCGTCCAGATCCGGAAATGGTACTCCTGTCTGTGGCAAGTTGGAGCTAGAGTTCCCAGCTCCCGTGAAGGCAGTGCCGGCGAAGATAATAGAAGTGAGGTCTGTTTGGTTGCGAAAAGTGTGACATGCTTCATAGCTCTGGCAAGACATGTGGACGCCAGTAGTAACTCCATAAGATACCAGAAGCTCCAGATCAGAAACCTTGGAGATATGCAGATGACTGTCGATAAGGCCAGGAATAAGAAACTTCCCTGTGCCGTCAACGGTGACTTCCGGCTCCTCGGGATGGAAAGAGCCAAAAGAAATTGTCTCCCCATGGAATGAGATGTCTTGCGGGTCGGTCATCCGCCATCCATCGAAGATGCGGACGTTTTTAATGACTGTCGAGAGCTTCTTCCCGGGCAACACAGAACGACGCGTGAGATCCGAGGATGGTACCGGCGCGATATCGTGAAGGGAGCAGGCCCGGGTGGTAGCAAGATAGCCACAAAGGCTTATGAGGAATCTGAACGGTAGCATGTCTAAGACTTAAATTATCTTTAAGGTGTTGCCTAAAGTTACTTCTGGATTATAAGGTGAAACGTCGGTTATTTATACTTGATGTTTACCAAAACAAGGAACATGACTGGTTACCAGGATCCCCGAGTTGTGTGCTACAGTTTTTGTTCCCATTTCCAGGATCCTCGTACGCTAATTCTTGAAAGGAAGTTTCAATCTGCGAGTCAATGCTGATGTGGTAAACAAATGCCTTATCATGACTAAATATGAGCGACCATAGGAGGAATCTGCGGGATCTACGGATGTCTGAGGGTTTCACTTGGAGAATTAAAACGTTCCCGGGATAGCATGAGTGGGAGAGAGCAGGGATGGTCGTACACTAACCTAAATCCAGCGAATAGTGTGACATTCCTGATCCAAATATTATTTGTATCTATCTAGCTGACTCTAATCTCCATTGCTCCCCATCTTTCATTCAATCACCAGCCGGTGGCCGAGGGGCAGTTCTATGGCCTGCGTCTATGAACGTCCAGGAAACCCGCACGACACTCAACCCATGATTAATCCTAGGCAATGGCTGGTGGATCGAGAATATCACATGCCAAGACACGAAATGCGTGCGGGAGATGCAAACAGCGGCGAGTTCGCTGCAACGGTCAAGGCCCCATTTGCAATCACTGCCATCGACGCGCAGAATACTGCGACTATCAAGAAAAATCACACCAGGGAGTTGTTTCCGTACCTCTAGGTCGATCTATACCCCCGGCTATCGCTGGCTCCGTTGTCCGTTTCCCCGTGCCGACTACGCTCGGTGTTCCGGGAAGAGCCCTCTGCCTCTTCGACAGCGAACTGCCTCTTTGGAACACCATGTTGCCGCATGAGCTTGCTAACCATATGTTCCTGCGACACATGATGACTTCTCTAAATGCCCTTACCTGTGGCGCCAAGCAGCGGTCATATTTCCACCAGGTCGAGAGCTCGCGTCAGTTTCGCAGAGTCGTCCCCACCCTTACAGAAACCAACTGGCTTGCCTCTATGATCTTCGGGATTGGGCTGATGTCCTTTCATTTTCAAACAGCTCGGACAGCCCAACCCCGATCAGGCAGCACCGATCCCTTCAGAGCGCTGATGGTCCTGCGTTACTCGGCTCCGTTGGCAAAAGCAATCGGACCATGGTTTATGAATAGCATGCTTCCGTCGATTATCCGCCGCAACAACGAAACTCCATTACCCCTTGATGAGAGAGACGACATGGCCATCCTCAACCTCCATACGCTTTTAGACAGGGATATACTTAGCTTATCAACCGAGACGCACGCCCTATGCGAGCATGCTATTCATGCTTTGTATCAGTGGCTGCTTGTTACCTCAGGCCGGCCTCGGACATGGCGCGACTTCATCGAGTGGCCAGCGGCTATTAGCGATGAATTTATAGTTCTCACGCAAGAACAGAAACATCCTGCCGCCGTGATTATCCTCATACACTGGTGTGCCGTGATGAGCAATTCACCTAAAACTTGGTTTATGGATGGTTGGGCTGCCGCGACAGCGTCACAGGCCATGTCATGGCTAGACGAGTCCTGGAGACAGAGCCCGGGTATGGTTTGGGCAAGGGAAAAGTTGATGATCTAGCGAAAAGATAAATGGGAAAGTTTCAAATAGCGGACAAAACTATGCTCAAGTTGTATTAAACCCTCGAGAAACTCCAGTCCGAATCAAGGCTACAAATCAATATATAATCCCACATCATACTCACTCAGTAGTAACATCCCCCACCCCACGGAGAAGATTAACAACCCTTCTCGCTTCACCCTCAAGCTCTTTGCAGAGACGTTCTAAACGGCGAGACTCTTCAGATCGAGAACACCGTCTCTGGTCCGCCGCCAGAGCCTCCAAAAGACGTATGAGTGGCTGGACCAGCTCAAGGTCGGTTTGTGCATCCGGTGAAAGTGGATTTTGGGACAAATGTACAAGAACGCTGGAAGCCGCAGCAAAGAGTGGATGAATAAGAATCCTACAGCATGTCAGAAAATCAATGGCCAATGTCGCTTGGTTAGTGTTGAAGACCCACCAAACACAGTCGTAGCCCGTTGGAGGAGCAAATTCGAGGAAGGACAAAGCCTTGCGGCATTCCCAGATACATGTTCCTTGAGAGCTCGCTGCTACTTCATAAGAGTCCCAAGGTGTGAGTTGTGCTGTGGGAGGCAAATGCGGCTCGACCAACGTCAGGCAATAAACATATGTGAACCGCAGCACAAATCGTTGCATCAGATAATCGCCCCCTTGCTCTTTCCAAAATGATGTAGGCAAATCAAACAGCTCGGCGTCGATTGCAGACCTCCAGAAGGACAAAAGCGAACAGAGTTCCTGGGCGGCGGCAGCCCTATGCGAGGCAGATTGCCGAGAGGCATGAATCGAACACAACTTCTTGTAGATTTGCCCCTGTATAACCGCCAGCGAGATCCTGGATTTCAGTATGGATAGGCTACAGCAGCCGTTTGAGAGTTGAAGGTTCTGGGAACCCGTTCCCGTCGGCAGCGGGACATCCATTTCATCGTCGTCTTGAGCAGGTGCTTGTCTCCTTCGGAGGCTTATGTCCTTGTCAAAGATGTAGGCGATCCAGAACACGCGCCTTTGCTGTTCTCGTTGCCTTTCATTGATATTGTCGTTTGGTAAGTAGCCTCTATGCAGGTTCATGCTTTGTGCTAATCGTATGGCTGCAGATATGAGGACCAGGGATGGGCCAGCGTTCGGCGTGCCTTGCAGTACGATGGCTATCCCGACAAGGCCCTGGACGGCAGAGAGGCTGCCAGAAGTGATGCTCAGCTGCGAAACAACACTGAGTGCATTGTGAATATAACCACAAGCCCGCATGTTGTCATAGGATGGATCTAAACTGCGCCGGCCACGAAAACGATGCGACAGTATAAGCACAACATTGATACAGGCCCACCAGGTAGGGTCATCTGGGCTCGATCTCAAATACTTCTCGTCGAACTCATTCATAAATTCTTCCTCGTCAAATAAAGGGAATATCGGGTTGAAGTTCTGGAATGTTTCTCTGACCATCTCCAAGGCCATGGGTTTTGGAGGAAGCTCTTGAAGACATGGCATGGAAAACGGCCCGAGGTTGGGGATGAGATACTTGCTATATTGGTCTCTGTTCACTATTTCTTCCGGAATGTGTACCGAGGGATTATCATTCAAGGGAGCCGCGAAGCCGCCCAAAGGTGGTGAAGTATGGAGAAGCCCAGTGCGAGCTTCGGTGTGACCGGGTTGCATCCGCATACTCACGTCTCCGGTAAAGACACTCTCGACACAGCTATCAGAGATCAGGCCCCCAGATGCCGTTATGGGTGCTACAGAATCATCTGATATGCCGAATCCAGCGCTGGGTAGTGTCGTCGATGAGTCGTCGCGCATCAAAAGAGACTCCATCTTCTTGAGCCTTTCTTCCAGCTCGGAGATGTATCTATATCTGCTCCTTATTTAGCAAAGCAAGGCAAGGCTTCCAATAGGGCCAGGAGGTACGGACCCTGCAGGCCTGCGCGGCTTCTTCTTCTCTTTGATAGGCGTGAAGTGGCACTCGGTTGCCAATTTTGTGCATTGCGCGCACCCTTGCTCGGTAGGCACACATTTAATCTTCTTTCTGCGACATCTGTCGCAAGACTTCTTGCCAGTTAGATCAGATCGGTGGACAACGGGGGCGCTCGGTTAGCTCACTCCCAGTATCACACTACGCTCCCTCTGCTCTCCGCTCGTTTGTGCTGAAGATGAAATTGCACTTGGGTTCATTATTAGTGAATCTGAAGGGGAAGTTGTACGGAGCGATTTATGATATGACGTCGTAGTGATCAGTGGTCCAGGCATTCATAGGTACTGCCAGCAACGACCTTGAAATCAATTCCTCCTGCTCCTATTTCCTGAGTTTGAACGGAGTCAACGGCGTGGGTTGATTGTGATCGCGTAAGCTCCTTGAATCACGTGACACCCGATATCTATTACTTCATGACGATGTTGTTCAACGCCCATACAGCAATGACATAAAATGATATAGCACGGATATTTGAGCGGCTAAAAATATTCATGAATAGAATGATAAATAGTTTCTTTCGAATCTGACTTCTCAACCATGACCAAATAACTGTGTAATTGGGAAGATCTTTGGTCTCTGTGTCAAGCACACGCAACAATCCGATCGCACTTCCATTGCTTAAGTTAAGAAGCGGAAAAACTTTGCGGCACGACATTGAATTCACAAATAGAGAATCTAGAGCAGCACATCTGTATGTATGCCATAATTACTAAATATATATGGTTCTAGAAAGACGACTCAAGAAGAAGTAATGGTGTAGGGTAGGAGGATGAGCTCGGCAAAGGACGGCCCCACTCGAAACGGACCGTTCGGACCTTCCGAATGGTCCGAGACTGTTCACCGTCTCATGTAAGCAACCATGGCGTCACTCTAGAAGACATCCCGGATAGATAAGATGCATTTACATAGGAACTTATTGGATCAGGATTCATTTGAAGCGAATGGGTAAAAATGTATAAAGCAAATAAAACGCCAACAGTATACTATATCGATGAACATCGGGTCTCCCAGAAAAAGTTCCATGATCCTCTGTAAACCAAGCGGACAAGGGCTAGCTCCTGGTTCAGTAGGGTCATAGCTCCTGTCTGAAGATATCTACCTAATGGCCACGAGCACAAGATTCAAGGCCATCTTGGAGTGAAATCCAACCAGAAGTTCCAAAATATTCTTTGAGCAGCGCTTCAGCCCGTGGAGCAGGAACCACCTCAGTTAAATCATGGCCTTCGTTCTGCGGCGGATCGGGAATCTTCTTGTTTTCAGGGTACATAGCTCGGAATCTCTTAATAACCTCGGTGAGATTGAATGCTGTAGCGAATGCAAATATCCTCTGGTTCTCGACGGCAGGTGCGAGAAGTGTAATCACATGCAAGCGAGCCACGTCTGTGACACTCACATAATATTCTGCATTATCACACGTCAGCGCGGATCTATCATATCATTATTGAAAGATCTCTCCGGTTCACTAACGAGGAATGAAAATAGAAAATATGTCCCTTTGGCCATCGAGCAACTTTCGAGTCCAGCCGCTGGTCGATCCTGGTATTTCAGGGCTCAAGTTCTCCCCGATCTGGATGGGTCATGAGGGTTAGTCTGACGAGTCTCTTCACAAAGGCTCGACGAACACTTACTGTAAAGTTAGGCAACACTGTATTGAAGGTAAATTCGGGCTTGTTTTTCTCCACCCACTTCCAAGCTGCTCGCTCAGACTCTGTCTTCGACGCAGCATATATAGCATATCCTTTCCCTTCTTCAGGAGTTTGAGGGTCCCAAGCTGCCTTGACGGCTTCGTCGTTCCAAGTATTCTCATCCACGCGGACACCGGTTTGATTGGACTTTGGTATGATGGCGGCTGAGCTCGATGAAGTCAACACGAAACGTTTGACGGAATCGTGCCGCTTGACAACCGCTAGAATGGTCTCGATGAATTTAACCGCTCTGCCGATGACGGCTGCAGGATCGAGCCCGAAACTGACATCACTGGCCTGAGATAAAGGCGTCTGATTAGCTCAAACTCCACCATAATTCCATGTTTTATGCTCCAAACTCACGACATGAACCACACCAGATACACCTTGCATGGCGGCATCAATGGGGCCCTCCTCCTCCAGAGATGGGATGACCACGCTTTCGAAGGCGTTAGGCTCATATCTCTGTTGAAACAGATCGTCCAGCCACGGTTTTTTTGTTCGAATTGTGGCTCTCACTCTGAAACCTAGTTGGAGCAGGAGGTCGATGATGTGAGTCGCAATGAAGCCATTTCCGCCTGTAACGAGGATAAGTGAGCCCTTTGGAAGTGCGTTCAGTTTTACATTTGGGTCTGCCATTGTTGATCAGTTGATTTGTTTGTTCGTTGAGAATAGGATTTGAGAGAGGTGATAGAACCTGCTCCTACTGCATGAAGGGTAGTCTTAAATACTCTTGAGATGCTATCTGGTTAATTAGACTGGCATGTGCTGTGGATGTAAATTTGTGGTACTGCTTGCTAATCTGGGTGCAATGTAATGCACTCAGAGTTGAATCAAATCATTTCCAATCCTCATATTGCTTCATACCGGCACGCTAAGAAATATCAAGGTCCGGTCGACTCGCATGGCTTTGGAATGAAAACGGCGAGTTGGTAAGCGGCAGCACGCCCCAATTTAATCACCCCTTTATCATTTGGCAAGGCGGCTCCCTAATAATCTGGTTAATTAGCTTTTCGAGTTCTAACCATCGGAGCTGTGCCGAGACTCCGCTTACGTGACGCGGAGCATTCGGATGGACCGTGGCAGCCGGTCCGGACACTCATCGCCAAGGAGTGGACCGGCGATTTGATACATAAGCTGATCATAACGAACTAACTTTTGCGCATGATAGAGGGGATGAATGGGCCGATCTTGTGTGTGAATGTTCCTTTTTACAGGAGATCAATAAATGGAAGATACTGGAGCCCTATATTTCAGCACAATGAATACGTCTGCTACAGGATATTCCGCTACTTTAGTCATTAGTAAACTATTTACCTACACTCAATGTCTGGGTAGTTTGAGTCGCAACACCTTCAGTTGAGTTTCCAAATGTCCATTCCTGTCCTCCGGGGAGAGAGTGACGTTTCCTTGGCCCACCACAGATTTCCACACCACCATCCACCGACCAAGTGCCGTCTTTGAACCAACGCACGATGGAATATGTTGTATTTCTGCACTCTCGCAGTGCATCACGTGAATATCCCCCGACTGACCAATCAATATCCAAGCCGCGCCTCTCAGCCTGCGCGTACAGAAACCTACGAACGTCTGCATGGGTGTAGTCCATGTAATGCTCCCTCTCTACAGATCCCCCCCTGGGAGAAACATCTTCGTCATGACTTTCATCATATAATTTCAGCTCGCCAAGAAGCCTCTCAATTGCAGCGCGGGCCGTTTCAGCAGTATCCTCGCGCACATTCTGTAGATGAAGAAGACGAAATGTGGTCTCGTTCAGTGAGATGCAGACTAACATGTCTCGGTCGCGTGTTTCGAACCTGAGTTTTTGTCGGCCAGTGCCGAACGTCAGTGTGTAAGAGATGCACAGAAACGGCCCAACATCATTATCATGATAGTGACTTGGGGCTTCTTCGGATGAGCTTTCGGCGGCCATTATAGGCGATACGGTGACAGTCTAATCATGAACACGGTAAGAATTTTGAATTGAACTATGAAAAATTGGTAGAGGAAGGGTAATATGAGTGTTTTACATATTGAGTGTCGTGGATTGATTCCGAGCGGTGGAATTTATACGTGAGGTCCTGGCTTAGGAATTTGAGTGTAGAGGGGGAAGCTATGTTGGTTTGCGTCGTCAATTTTTGAGACTTTTCAAAAGCGCAGCTGAGTAAGCTAGTAATGATCCCCAAGAGTTGACTGTATAATTTCGTTTTATTCATCTGGCGCTTATGCAGTTGGTGATGTTTCTAACCGCTAGTTGAAGAAAGGATAACCCACATCACGACCACAATTAAAAGCCCTCTAAAGCCAAGAAAAAAAATGGTGCCAATCAACGAAATACAACAGAAATTTCCATTTTATTGATTCATTAAAATCAACCATACATCTCCAAATTCTCTATAGCCTCTTACCCAAGCATCTCAATATGAAAGTCGCGGTCAAAGAAATCTATAAGTGCAACATATTGAAAAATGCGAACCAGAGAGAACCCCGATAGACGGGATAACCGGGTTCATGCCCTTTTAGAGAGGTTTAGACCTCCACGCTGAGTAGGAAATCCCCGTTGTTGACTTGATGACGACCTCACCACCCTTCTTGAGCACAATCGTTACCGGGGAGTTGCGATCGTCATCCCGCAAGATATGCTGCTTGAAGCCGCAAGTCTCAGCCTTGTTCAACAACGGCTTCAATAACTCTTTCGTGACTTGCTTGACAAGCTTGCTGGCGCCTGGAATCTTCAGCTGGGCCTTTGCGATGGCAGCGGCAATTTTGGGGAGGATCTTGGTGGCTGCCTGCTCCAACTGGTCGATCCAGCATCGACCGTTGTTGGGGTCCGTGTAGAGCACCGACTTTCCATCGTCGCCAAGCCAAGTGACAAGCCACCAGTCTCTGCCGGTCGTCAAGTCCCCGGTGTGGTAGTTGACCGTGACGGAGGGGTTTGACGTTTCGCCGTGTGCCAGCTCGGGCCAATCTTCGCTGTTAACATAGTTGTCGCTGTACTTGTGCACGAGCCCGACGCCGTAAATGGTCTTTCCAGTTTGATTCTCGACCACGGCTTGAGCAGTGCGCTTGTTAACAGTCCACGGCCATCTGACCTCGATAACTGGGGCAACACTGGCAACGTTGGAAACAGCCCTTGTGCCAGTAACGAGAGCTGTAGCGCTCTGAGAAACCGCAAGAAGAAGCGTGGAAAGATACTTGGCGTGCATGTTGAGTGAGTTAAGTTGAGGGTTTTTTGTAATGGGATAAGATGCTTGCTGTTGGTTGTATTGTCGGATTTCTACCGTAGATGAAGGTTTGTCTGGACATCTTTATACTGCGTCGTGAAGAACCTGAATTTGAGACCGTGCTAAGCCTTGCCAAGAGTATCCATATTTTAGAGGGCTGAACCTTGTCGGGCTGGACATCGGTGATTCCGTTCGATTTGGCGGCATGCAACGTTGGAATAAGCTGCATGCTGTTTTGGCGAATAGGCGAGGTTCATGTGGGTTGAAATCTCGCGATGTCCCAATTGGGACGTCTGAGGTCGGCGACGTCGGTTAAAGTCTGACCCTGGTTATACCAACTGTAGCAGTCCGTACGCTCGGCACTTCAAGTCGGCGATTACCTCAGCCCGCAGTCACCTCCTGCGTGGATCTTATAGGCGCATGACGGCCGACTATGAATTACGCCAGTCAAAGTGCGCTGAGCTCGAAATTTGATTAGCCAAGTCTGGATGCAACATGGCTTAGACCCAAAGCTTCATCAGCTCTGAGCTACGTGAAGCGAGCTATGGATAGTAACAAGACCTTCTGATGCCGACAACGGCTGTGCCATCAATACTATGTACCGCTTCTAGTGCCGCGGGTTTTATCAATTAAGGAAGTCATGCAGAGTTTCACCTGGGACTTGGCTACGAGGCTAAGCGCTCTAGTGGTAGTGGTGAGCGGAAGGCCATTGCCATTCCCATGAGAAGAAAATTTCTTCGTACAAAATGCAATGTCGGAAAGCAGTTGAAGATGGCCTGGAGACGTGAACTGAGTTTGGTGAGAAGAGTTGAGAGCGACTCCTCGAGGAATGCAACGCCCCCTTCTCTCCCGAATGCCCCCAAAATCAATACGCCCAGGTGCCTTGATGCTGGCTGATGGGTGTTTAACACCTGGTAGTATATTTCAAACGAATCTCAGTCGCAGGGTTTCATGATATATGTAGGAGCCTCCACGCCGAAAGGATCACTAAAGAACAGATATCGAACAAGCACAGAAATTTGTCAGGGCGGCGGTTTTCATCAGACGGGGGGGACGATGATGAGGATAACACGCAGAAAGAAGAGAAACAAGACCTAGCAACACTCGACTAGGCTCCCTTTGTATTATGTAGAAGCTAATTGGAAGAAACAAGAGGCTTTTAATGGATACTGATAGAGGGTGCTTCCTATACATACATGAGTTAATATGGAGCCCTCGCCTAAGAAAACAGGCAATCTCTTAAACAGTTTAGTACCTGCGTTCAGAGACTGGCCACTTACAGCCTCACAGAGAACCGTCGTTGATCTCAATACCTGCGAAATTCTTCGGCTTACCTTGGTGTTGGTGAAGGCCAATGATCTGAATACGCACGTGGGAGAATTCTCCGAAATTTTAAGCCCAAACTTTGTATCCTCCCAAATGCTGTTTTAGGAGGAATGGCAAGCTACAGTTGTCCCATTATAAAAACCTCCCAGCTTCTTGCGGAATCATCCTCTAGTCTTAAGTAGCGGCTAAGTGCAGATTTATACATTGGTCCAAGATCATAGGGATGAACATGGTAACATAGCGGTCAATAACAGTAGTCGTAGACGTCACTGGCCGCTCTATACTTGCTATCGTTTGCCACAAGTGAAATTACCGTCTAATATTGATCCATTTCTAGGCCGGACCAAGCATGATCTATTGGGATCTGCACACTCCGGTTTGCGCTTCCACTGAGCTAGTGGAACAAGCGCCGCCCTACCGTGGTAGATCTTGGCCGATCCAGCATTCCAGACTGCTAAATCTTACTGAAAGCTAGTGCTGCATGAGTGTCATGCTGGCGTTGTTCTTTTCGCTATGGCTATTTAATAACTTGGACGTTCACCGCGATGCTGAAAGCCTGACTGTCTTCAGCCAATCCTTAACAATATCGACAAAAATGTTGGTTCGGGGCCTGTGTCTCCTCTCCTTGTACGTCGAGCTCGGCGTCTACGTCCAAGCCCAGGGCTCGATTTGCTCGAGCGGCATCTTTCCAGCCCTCAAGCAAACTCTAGGCTCGCATCCTGAAGTTTTGGCCTACTGCGAGGCTCATTTCCCAGTAGCCCCAGCGACTCTTTTCAAACGCAATGCCAAATCCAAATGCCCGCCGAGGCCCAACCCATCAACTACCACCGCACCACAACAGCCGGGTTCGACAACAACAAGCAGGCCTGGCAATAAGCTGGATGAACTTCTTGCACTGGCTCCACATTTGATCGAAACTGCATGCTCCTGTATTCAAGGACAAGCCACTGTGAACGTAAGCTACTCACATATTCATAGTTGGCATGGTCTATTCTAACTCCCTTAGGTGCGAACATCGACGGCTGTACCGTCTATAACAAGTTCGACCTCAGTACCATCAACGGAATCCTCTTCTCTATCGACCAGTTCCGCCCAGTCTACAACAATCTCGACCTCAGTATCATCCACGGAATCCTCTTCTTCATCGACAACTACCGCCCCATTTTCAACTACAGAAATGAGCATATCCTCCACTTCGACTTCAGCTGCGCCCCCTGCGCACACTGTGGCTGCTCCACGTTGCAACAGTTCGGTGTACACCAACGGAGGCTGTAACGATGCATGTGTTTGCCAGAGTGACGTTGACGGAACAGAATACTGCTCATCCCAATTTAGCTTCGAGGACTCATCAATACAGTGCACTTCTAGCGTTGATTGTCCGCAAGGTGACTTTTGCGAGGACCTGGACCAAGGGTTCGCTCGTTGCGCGACAGGGACTCAACCAGGCAACGAATGTTCTTTCTCGGAGCGAACTGATGTGTTACCCTTTAGAAGAAGCTTGCAGAGGTCGTTTAGGTTTGAGCGTAAATAGCATCGGATGAGAAAACTATGACAGCTTGGTTGCTCTACTGCAAACGTTCATTTTCAACCTGATCTGTGGTGTTGACGGGATTGTTAATGTTAAAAGAGACACAATTGTGACAATCCATTCCTTGAAGGACTTTTCTACACACAAGGATACTGCTATTAATGGCGCCTGCGTGGCCTATTTGAACTTATCATAAAGTATATCTGAACAGCGGGCTCCGGTCTCCCATCTCAGTCAGGGTGACTTCTCCATGCTTCTCCGTGACGCCATCTGGACCGCCGTTTTCATCAACATATCGCTCGCGCTTCTTATTGATTGAGGAAAGCGTAAAATTCATAACAACGGCAGCAATGATGGCACAAGAGAGGAAAGCGAGCGATATGCCGTAGCCAATACGGTATGCCGGCTTTTCCCGGGCTAGGTAAATGTTGGACCCGATCAGTCCACCAGTATTACCGAGGGCTACGCATCCAAATTAGCATGCTGCCTCTCAACAGAGAGTGAAGATTGGGGTTTGACTAACTGATCTGTAGAGACATGGCGATTGCCCGCTTATAAGGTCCCGCCAGGTTGTTGGCAAGCCACGAGATGACACCAGGGAAAGCAGGGAAGAAGCCACAACAAGCGAGGAAGCAGCCGGCGTATGTCACGCTCGCTAGATGAGGACTCGAGGATGTAGAAATCGCCATGATGAACCCCACGACTGCCAGAGCCAAGGCCCCGAGGATGAAATAACTGCGTTGCTTGTACTTGTCGGAAAAGTGAGCAACACCAAGAGTGAGAATGCAAGCTGTCACGTATGGAGGGATGGTCATGAGCTGGGCAGCTCGGTTGGTGTATCCCTACCGCTGGTCAGTTGATAAGAAGAAACCCATATGCTGAGCGACTCTTACCAGTGTTGATATAATAGTGGGCAGGCCGAAGACGAGGCCGTATGTCGAGACTGAGATGCCCAAAAACATGATCACGCTGACATAGACCTGCCAGTCAGAGAACGCATCCTTGATGTATGTGCGTTTCGATCCATCCTCTTGCAATCCCCTTCCCGCGCGGTTGCCATCATACGCCAACTTATACCTGAGGTACTGCTTCTCCTCCTCGGTTAGCCATGACACGGACTCAGGTCCATTGTAAATGAAGAAAATGGAGGCCACGCCGCCAAGGACAGTAAGAAGACCTTCCAGTATAAAGATCCATTGCCATCCTGCAAGTCCTCCGATGCCGTCCATCAGCGTGATTGCGTATGCTAGCAGTCCGGAGAACGCGCCTCTGTCATGTAACTTAGTCCTGCACACTTGGTGAAAGTTGGGCTGCTTACGCCAAAGACGCCGTAGCGTAGAAGAGTGCGGTCCTGTACATGGCCTCATGTCTAGTATACCAAATGGTAATGTAGAAAGCGGCGGCAGGAAAGATGCCAGCCTCGGGAACACCGAGGAAGAAGCGGGCCGCCAAGAGACCCTTGTAGCTACTGACGATGCCCATCAATGTCATGGTGATGCCCCACAAGATGGCAATAAGGGGAACTGGGTAGATTCTTAGCATCGTCTTGTTCACTCATGTTGGAACAATCGCTTACTCCAAACACGCGGCGACAAGTACTTTAAAGCCATGTTCGCAGGCACTTCGAAGACGATGTATGGAACGAAGAATATTGTCAAAGCAATGTTGTACTGATCGCCGGTCATGTTGAGATCGTCCTCGAGTCCCGCCAGTCTTGCATTACCAATGTTGCCCCTTGACAGTATCGATGTTAGCAACTATAGTTCAACAACGTGCAGTATACGCGAGGATTACCGATCCAAATAGGCAAGAAGGTATAGGACGGCGATCTGAACTCGCAACAATCAGCATCTTCATTTCGTTCGTCTGACAGGAATACGTAACCGACTCACAATAGGAATGAGGTGCAAGTCCAACTTGCGCATAAGCCTCTTGTACTTGTCACCAGAAAATTGCTTCATTATCGCAGCCACGTCGGGAGGCATGCCGTCGTCGTTGATTATGGTTGGCTTTTCCGTCCTGGACTCGACGGCAGTTGCCTCGGCCTTTGCACTAACAGCGTCTGACATATTTGAGATGGTTTCAACAGTGGACTTAAGTAGCTCATGTCCTAAGATGGCCGTCGACTTTCCTTCCCCGTGGGGTAGGGCCTTATATGTCTCGCTGTCTCTCGCTTTGGCGCGCCAAGCTGGGGTCAGCAGTACCCCGGACGGATGTTGATAAACTTCCACCGGAAGTTATCCTTCCCCGCAATCCGGGGAGCACTCGACCATAAACTATATCCACCGGAGCTATGGCAATATGCGCAGGCTACTCCCCTTATTCTGGCCATGCACATTGATAAAGAGCAGATAACTGTCGGGCAATTCAAGTCGAGTATATGGATTTCTCAGTCATTCGTACAAGCCTCTCCCTTTTTAATTATTGCATCTCCAGCCTCATAATGGTTTTCCGCGCACCGTCATGGGCCCCCCAGCTCAGAGACGCCGACATCCCGGACGATCAGCCACTTAGTGATTTTCTGTTCGACGATAGACTGCGCCCCAGGAAGTGTGCCGATTGCCCGACGCCATTCATAGATAGCCTTGACGGTAGTGGTTATAGTATTGAGGAAACAAGAAAGAGGATTGAATGGCTGGCGACGGGCATGGCAAGTTACTTGGGTATAACAGACACCTCTGGAGATGTGTGGGATCGCGTGGTGAGCGTCTTCACCGTCAACAATGTGAGAACTCCGTTTGCCCTCGTCAAAGAATCTCATAACATTAACATGCGAGCCTGATAGATTCACACTCCCGTTCTTGCTTGGGCGGTGCATCGCTTGAATGGCGTCGTTGCACCAGCCAATGTCGCCTTTCGGGCATCTGAGTTGGGATATCAGCTAAAAGACTGCAAGGCACGTTGCATCTTTACTGATGTATCACATCTAGACCTTGCTCTTGAGGCGGCCACAACAGCGGGAATTTCTTCCTCCAACATATTTTTGGTCTCGATCCCTGCCGACAACGGTGGTCCAGCAACCAATATCGGATCATTCTCGAATTTAGAAGACCTCGTCGCTATTGGGCGCCGAGTGCCGCCTCTACCATATATGAAATGGGAAAAAGGCCGTGCTGGAAAGCAAGCGGCCTATTTGTGCTATTCCTCTGGGACTTCTGGTCCGCCTAAGGGCGTCATGATTTCCCACCGAAACATAATCGCCAACATTATGCAAATGAACCTCTACGAACTCCCCCTCCGCAATGGCAGGCAGCCAGAAGTCATCCTCGGCATCCTGCCCCAGTCTCACATCTATTCAATTATTCTTACCACGCACTGCTCGGTGTTTCGCGGCGACACAGTGGTAGTGGTGGCCAAATTTGAGCTGATGAGCCTGGTAAAGGCCATAAGGAAATTCAAGATGACTATGCTCTACGTCGTGCCTCCAATCCTCATTGCTCTGATTAAACAAGGGGCCTTGACCAAAAATGCTACAGGATTCGACCTGCCGTCTGTCTGGCGTATTTACTGCGGCGCGGCACCGCTCTCTGAAGAGCTAACCTCGCAGATCAAAGCCCATTATCCTCAAGTTCTCTTGGGCCAAGGATACGGCATGACGGAGTCGGCTACAGTCATGGCCTCGCACCCTCACGAAGTTTACGATGGATCCAGCGGCTGTGTACTCCCTGGCCTAGAAATCCGGCTTGTTGACGCCAGTGGAAATGATGTCGAAGAACACAACCAGCCCGGCGAGATTTGGGCGCGCGGGCCCAACATCACTCTTGGTTATTTCAAGAACAGGGAAGCCACAGCCACCACATATAGCGGGGGGTGGTTGAGGAGCGGAGATGTTGGAGAGTTCCGGCTGCACCCCAAAACTGGAGATGCTCACTTATTCATTGTGGATAGAGTGAAAGAACTTATCAAAGTCTCTGGGTTCCAAGTCGCCCCGGCGGAGCTCGAGGGGCATCTGCTCGGTCACAGTCTGGTGGATGATTGTGCAGTCATTCCGGTGGCCGACGAGAGGTCAGGGGAGGTACCAAAGGCAGTTGTTGTCCTTAGTAGGGATGCCGGCTGTGGTTACCCAACGGCTGAAAGAGAAATCATTCACTGGGTAGCCAAGCACAAGTCAAAGCATAAGCACTTGAAGGGTGGAGTTGAATTTGTGTCGGAGATCCCCAAGAGCCCCAGCGGGAAGATCTTGCGGAGATTCCTCCGGGACCGTGAGAAGGCTCGCCAGGCACAGATCTCGGCCAAGTTGTAATCATCAGCTTCGTTCAGTTTAGGCAAATGACCGGTGTTAGCAGTGTGAGCTGCTGTGCTTCAATCTTAGATTATCTAGACTTCTTGCCTTTGACATACAGACTGGCAGATTGACTCTAATTGATCTTGTCTCCCCCCCGTGACCCCAAGCTCATGTTTTGACCAGAGAGCAACAAACTGTTGAGCCCACTCCGCTTTCATAGAGGAACTTGAGAAAAGAGTGCGGTAATCTTAATCCGGGATAACGTACAGGGATCTGGATCCTACCGGAAGTTGATGCGGAACCCGACTGCCCCATCAAATCAACTGAAAGCTGGAGCTATGCGGGGTTGCCCACCATCTTCATGGACAATCCTAGCGAGACTAGCCGTGAGAGACCAAGTCAAGGCTAATAAACCCTCCACCGGAAGTTGTTCTTACCTCACCCTTGCTCATTCGCTCTTCATGCATACCCCAAATCCTCCATAACCAAACTCCTCAGCTTCCACCGCATGTTGCAACTGTTCCTCCGTGGCTACCTACTACCAAATTATCCGCTGGAACTTTTCATGCATGCCTCTATGGAGATGAACCCAGAAGCAACAAACACAGGTGATGAGGGTCCGCCTCGTTGCCGATCGCCGGCCAGCCGAGTATCTGCTGCTTGTGTTCGATGCCGGCGACAGAAGCTCAAGGTATTTACCCATACAAGTGGTTGTTCTCGGCCAAGCCTTCGGTAGCTGACATGATCAAAGTGCGATGCTTCTAAGCCATGTCTTATGTGCACCCGATCCGGCGTTCAGTGCCAGCCACGGACTGTTGTGACAAGGAAACGGAAGAGCAAATCCAATCACCCAAGTACCACAAAGGGACCGTCTCATCCGGCACAAATATTGGCTGATTCTGATCATATTGAACCCTCGCGGCCGATGGCGGTATCGACTCCGCCTATCCAGGCTTCCGGTGGATCGCCCGAGTTCCAACAATTCGGAGCGAACCGATCGACCATGTCGCTGGCTATGGATATGTACGAGAGCCTCGGCAAGAATGCTCCGAAAACCTCCACTATCCCCGGAGACGCGTCACGGCCTATGTCTCCGACTTTGCCGTTGTGGTCCCTGCAGTCTATGAGCATGCCAAGTTCACCCATCATGCATGCCTTGATCGATGTCTACTTTGAGAGGCTGCACTGGTTTATCTGGATCTTCCATAAGCCTTCATTTCTCGAACAGGCTAAGCTCATTCTTGCCACCACATCATGGAGAAGACGAGATATGAGCAAGGTAGTAGTCTTGTTGACAGTCGCTGCGCTTGGTCTCAAATGTGCTCTGCAAGACACCTCGAAAGAGGGACAAGACATACTAGCATCAATATCACCAGACCCTAGGACCATGGTCAATGAGATGGTGGCGGAGATACGGATTCACTTGCTGGACCTGCTGGATGATAATTGTATCGAAACGGTGCAAGTGTGTCTATTGCTCGGTGCTTACTACATCTTCCACGGATCCCCGAGCTTAGCCTGGGCCACCATTGGACTCGCCGTGAGAACTTCGTACGCGCTTGCTTTACACTGTGGTGCTGAAACTGGCGATGAAATCGCAGATCAAGTTAGGCGTAGATGTTGGAATCATCTCACTGTGGCTGACACGTTTGCATCCCAGATTTATGGTCGTCCTGCATCCCTTGATGCTGCTTTCTCAGACCTTCTGCCTCTGAAGGAGCTTGATGACACTGCCATTGACATATCCAATGAGCCAGACATTCAAGGTCAAGTCGGAGGCGAGGTAATAGCCTTGACCTTCCACTGGCTCAAGTACAAGCTTTACCACATTATAAGAGCCACGCTCTCCAAGTTCCGGCTCTTGCGGCTTCATACCCCAATGACTGTGCAAGAGTTGCAGCACTTAATCGCCGCAGTGGAAGATATTGATGTACAACTAGAAGATTGGCGCAGATCATTGCCTTCCTTACTTGATAGTGAGAACATGTCGGATGATTTCCCCGAGGACACATCACCACGAGCAGCGTCTAGTGGTCAAGGAACAAGACACCGTCGTGACTTGCGCAAGGTGAAATTGCAAGCCTGCCTACTTCAGATCACCCATGACGCTGCAACTATCCTTGCACATCGACCACTACTAGAATACAGGGTGTCTTTTGCATATCGGCAGAACATGTCAAAAAGGATCGCCGAATCCGTCTCTAGGTCATTCGATGTATCTGTCAAAGCTGCTCTCAGGATTTCCCTGATTCCCATCATGGAGTTCAAGAATGAGTTCTGCATGGCTTTCATCTTCATCCATCTCTTCACTGCTGGCGTCATCCTCTGCATCCCCCCAACTAGCCACCCTAACAGTAATACTGCACAAGAAGCTAGAGAAGGTGTGTTTCGCATCATTCGAGGCGCCAAAGCACTACGTCAGCATAGCCAAATCGCTCGGCATACTGAAAAGCTACTGAGTGATCTCTTGAAGCTCAGTCTACATCGTGAAGTTGAGCTATCTTTCAAGGAAGATCGCAAGATAGACCCTCGACCGAGCATGAGGCAGAATGAGAACGGAAATTCAACCGTTGACAATAATCAACTACCGGCGTCGCCGCCAAGACTCGTTAACTTGGCTCAAACTGATGGCAGATATAGCGGGGAGCTATTGGCAACAGATCCTCAGACCGAATTCAATAGTGACATGCAATTGGGGGGATCAGATGTACACTCCAACACATTCGACAATGTGTGTACTGGATCGTATCCAATATTTGACAATCTTATCGACTCTAATGGTTTCGAGATCGAGTCCCTTGACTTGCCGCTTGATGAAGCGTTTGGTCAATTTGGTCAAGGTGAATTTTTTTACCTCAATTCTAGCTATAAATTTACCCATGTGCAGCGCTAACAAAGATCAAAGTAATGTTTAACCTCATGCCTGATGATCCTCTGAATAATTGGGGTTGGGGAAAAGGGAGCATATAAGACAACTATGACCAGTGTTAAAGGATGTTCGCCAAGCTTATTCAACCAAGAGGTCTATAGATTAGAACTATCTCTATGTTCGAAAACTAATGGAAATCCTTTGGGACGAAGCAACGAGATAAATGCTTTTATGAGGTTTTCTTGTTGTTGCATGCTTCAGGATTTGACAGCCTCGAGTAGCCAGTTCTCTCATGTGTGAGCACGTAGGTAGCCTTAGCCGAGCTTCATGCAAGCGTAGCCCGTATTCGATGAACTAAAATGGCTACTTTACAATTCACTTTAATAAAAGTTGGTCTTGGATCTTGATTTAGGTAATTCACATACGGATGATACTGGTTGTGTCAAGGTAGTTTGTACTACCCTATACGAGAAAACAACCCTTGGAAAAAAGGCCAACTTGCCACTCGCCTGCTATGAACTATTAATTACACAGCTATTTATGAGCCAAAGTACCATTATTTGCCTTAAATACGAAAGATTTTGCTTTATGCAGGTTACCAACTAGTCTGTCACAGCTTCTCTATCATGTGGATGGCTCAGCATGAAGCGGTACATCTTCAGTTAGCACAAACTATAAGCTAGGTGCTTGATATTAGGATAAGAGAAACTAGTACTCTTAGGGAATTGAATTAATAGTTAGATGCAAAGGATTTTAATTCACTTTTCATAAAGGACAGATTGCAACGACTAACCTTGACATAATATGCTACATGTTGGCAGAGATTTCACGCGTAAGGCTACTGCACTTTCTCGACAAAGTGCCCTTTGCCTGTTGACACATCTCCACGACATCAACGTCAGAAATGATGCTATTCCTTGCGTTGATCTCGTTCTCAATCTTGGAAAAATCACTTCCCACACCCTCGGCTCTCCACTCATAGCAGTCTCCGATAAACCTGCTGCTCTCAACTAGCCATTGGCCCCTCTCTCGCCTGCATTCATCAAAGACAGCGAAAGCCAGCTCGATGTCAGCGGGCGAGTTAACCGACTCGTGGGATAGCAGTGCAGCTAAGATGGCGCTGTCTTCGATGCAGAATCCGGCCCCAGCGCCGTGATGTGGAGATGTCGCATGTGCGGCGTCACCAGATATACAGACCCTCCCTTGATAGAACGAAGGGACTGGGTTGTCGTAGAGGTCGAAAATGGCCCACTACATGGGAGAAGAAAGATTTAGTTAGCCACTGTCAAGTCTTGAGTGCGACAACCTGTGACCTCGACCTACCACGTTCAACTTGTCGTCCATCAACTGCAAAATCTTGTTAACGTCTTCACCGTAGCCAGCAAAGTCGTGGAGAGCGTCCGCTCGGGTCGCGGTTCGGACGTTTCTTTCACTGTCTTCCCATTCCTCCTCGGATGTGTGGAAAGCCACGACATTCATCACCGTGCCTGACTTTACAGGGAAAGTGAGAACGTGCCCCCCTGGTCCCATCTAAGCGCAATCAGTGGATGTCCTCGACGATTAGAATTCTTGATGACTTTGACACTTACATACATGCATGCGTTTTGCGCATTCTCGTTTCCGACAGCCTCGATCGCCTTGTTCATCGGTATCAAGCCTCTATACGCGTACTTGTGAGAATATGATGGATTAGACGTCGGAAATAGCTCTTGCCGGACTCGGGACTTAATACCATCGCAACCGATAATGGCATCGGCTTCTGCAGTGGTTCCATCAAGGAATTCCATGACCAACTTGCCATTGGCAGCGTCGCTAATGCTCGTGAGAACCTTGTTAAATCTTGCCACATGCTGAGGGATGAGATTGACAAGTTGGTCCAGAAACTCTGCACGATGAACTCCCCTCTGACCCAGGGAGTTGGAGATTGGGAATGAATGGCCAGGGGGAGTGTTGTAACCATCGTGATAATCAAACCAGAGTTTTTGCTTGGATTCCCACTCGTTTCGAGTACAGACTTTCTCAAATGCGGCGTAAATGCCGTCGTGGCAGCATTTCATCGCCTGGACCGCACTCGGAGTGAAAGACACGCCAGCGCCAATCTCACCGAAAGCGGGTGCTTGTTCGTAGAGAGTGAAAGGGACACCGCGGTGATGAAGGGCGATGGCGAGTGTAAGGCCTGCAATACCTCCACCAACAATGGCGATATCGATGTCCTTTTGGGGAGTCATTATTTCGGTACAGGATAGGTGATCAAATCGGAGGAAAAGTTGTCCAAACTCCACGCCAGAACAATCTGCGTCGGGATCTCAAATTGGATGTCCACAACTTCTTGTCGAATTGAACACTGACTTACGATAGCTCCTTTCATATGTTAGGTATGTAATATTTGGGCACCTTGAGGGGAGCTATGCTACCATCTGGCCGCTCGGCAAGCACACAGAGGATGCTGTGAATTAGGTATGCATATGCGGGACCTTGGGAACAATAATTCCGTCATCATTGGCCTGGATTGGCTTTGCAATAAGCCAGCACGTCAATGCGAGTCCCGACAAGATCCTGAGTTCCGCCGTGGAAGTCCATTTCGGAACAGCTCATCTCCCCGAATCGGGATCGAATCGTGGGGGCGGGGTAAGTTTATCTCCCCGAAATGCGGGGACAAGATCGTATAATCTCCCCGTGGTTGAAGGACTCCATATCCGGTTCCGAAAGACAGAGGCCCCAGCCCAGGTCCAGTGGCTTGGGCCTTAAAAACAGGCATTTACAGAACAGTATAAACGTTGATTGTTGCCGTACTGCTATTCAACAACACGAGATTATCGTAGACCTTTCTGCAGGATGGCATTCATGAGCACGCTTTCCTTCGCCGAAGACCCTCGCGTTGACTTTGCAGTCAAAATATGCGCCGGTGGTCTTGTTCTTATTTGCATCCAAACGATTCTTTCCGCAGTCTACTGTTTATTTTTCCACCCACTCAGGAGGTTCCCCGGACCACCCCTTGCTCGTGTCTCGAGACTATGGAGCCGACTTGGAAACTTTCAAGGCCGGAAATCAGAGAGAATTCATGAGGCCCATCGCAAATATGGTTCGTGAGCCTGGTTGGCCCGACACTCGATTTACAAGGCTGACTAGCAGCCATTCAAGGCCCTGTTATTAGGGTTGGGCCAAACGAGTTATCGTTCGCGGATCCTGGAGCCGTCCGTGCCATATATAATTCCGACGTCTTCGTTAAAGAAGAGAGCTTTTACGTAAGTTTTTAACATCGAGTCGATTCATGTAGGTCTTCTTCTAATGAATTTTAGCGAGCCAAACGAATCTTTCACGAGGACTTCCTTCTTAGTTACCGGTAAGAGCCGTCGAATTGTTGAGTTTTTCAGTTGATGTGGGAATGACAGTATGCTCATGGTATGGTAAAGTGATCCAAAGGCACATAAGCAGCGCCGAAAGCTTCTATCTCGGGGCTTTTCCCAGGCTTCTATGAACGAATTCGAGCCAAATATCGATACCAAGATTACCGCTATGTTAGACCACTGGACGACCAAGACGGCGCAGGGAAATGCTATTGATGTCTTTAGCTGGGTGCACTGGCTAGGATTCGATACCGTTTGTAAGTCAAGTTAGGAGCTGGCACTATGATATCCTTGCTTACACATTTTAGACCATCTCATGTTTGATGTCGATCCGGGCTGCGTCAAATATGGGCGATCCCACGAGGTAATGCCATATTTCTATGCCTGGAAGCCGACCTACATGTTTGTAAGCAAAGCCACTCGATCCCAACTCTGGTCATTGTCTCGTGTCATTAACATACTATGCAACAGAAAGAGTTTCTTCCTGTCCTCGAGCGATGGGGAGTTCTTGTTCCGGGTTACGTAGGCAACTGCTTCCGTGACGTCAATAAGTGGAAGAAGGTGAGCAACTTACCAATGGAACATGACGAGCAAATCTTAACATGGCTCCAATGCAGTATGCAATGAACGTTATCCAAGACTGCCGCGCCACGGGAGTCAACACACCTTTCCTGCGCCAAGTTATTTCCAGTCCAACAGGTCCCAAAGACGCTGACCCAGGTGCTTCTCTTACCAACTCTCAAATAGCGGAAGAATGCATGGGTGGAATGTGCGAAAACCCCGATACTCTATAGTCGAGGTTCGTTCTAATTGCTCACGTTTATCTTAGGTTTGGAGGCAGTGGAACGACGGCGACTACATTCATCTACATTCTCTGGGGTTGCTTACAGAAGCCAGAAGTGACCAGGCGGCTTCAGGAGGAACTCAAGGCAGCCTTCCCGGACCGCGACACAGTACCGGACTACCGCGTAAGACTTCCTCTCTCGAAACCATAGCCCTCCCTAACTCATAGACACAGGCATGCACGGGATTACCTTTACTCCAGGCTGTCATCAACGAAACTCTGAGGCGGTACCCGACCATTATTGCAACCCTACCGCGAACGGCAATCCAGGACACCGTAGTTGCGAACGTTGCAGTCCCCAAAGGGGTAAGAATTATCGATGGTAGAGATGGAACCTGCGCTGACATACTCCAGACCATTGTCGGCATCCAAAACTATACTATCCACCTCAACGAAAAGGCCTTTCCCAATGCCGAGGAATGGAACCCGGACCGCTGGCTTGCAACTGACGGAGAAGATCAAAGAAGAGAGGCATGGATTCCATTTTCTGTGGGACCTCGCAAGTGCATCGGAATCAAGTAAGCCGCAGCCACAAGCAGATCATTCAGTGCTTCTAGGCAGCTAACACTTCTTGCCACAGTCTGGCTCAGATGGAGCTCAGCAAGCTCACAGCAGCGTTCTTTCGCCGATTCGATGCGTCGATTGACAGTAGTATGACACAGGATGACATGAGACTGTATGATACTTTCAATGCCAGCCCGGCGAGCAAGAAGCTAGTTCTTCATCTCAAGCAATGTGCGGATTAGAGGCCTAATGAGGCAAAGGATATGAATTTGAGTATTAGCTCGTACAGAACCTACCGCAGAGAATTTTAGCCTAGTATATAGTAGTAGATACATCTTCATACCGGGGGGGGGTTAGAGCATAAAGTTCAAAATTACAACCAAAGACGCCAGACCCGGCATCTCAGCAAAACGAATATACACATCCCCAGCCTGATCTAGAAGAGTTAGCTGGTCCATTTTATCAACGCCTGACTGGAAGTGTAGTCTGAAAGGCCTCTTAGTGTTTTTACCACTCAGGAATCATCATATTAGATTCCGTTGTCCTGAGCTAATCACCTTGGGGACAGTCAGCCAACTCCGGCCAACAGCCATTGGATGTATTCAAACGCGGGAAGAACGAGGCCTCGATCCCAGCCGAATCAGGATTCCAGGCCAAGCAAAGCTAAACAAGGGGCCACACCTCGCTGGGTTAGTGCTGTCCATGGATCCTCTTTTGCCACCGTATCTGCCCCAATTTGCCTTGGTACTGTATGAATTCGCAGCTAGTCATTGAACTGGCCTGCAATGCGGGGTTATCAAGAATGGGGACGTATCTACCCCGGCCCAGATGACTGGAGACGCGCTTATATAGATGGTATGGGCCCGCCAACGATCCGACTGTCGTCCTGGTACATATCCGCCGCCGTCCCGACCAGTCCGTTTACCACTTCGCCATGACTGACGATATGTTCCCGCAGATGCAATCCGATGTTGCCAATACGCGACCAACGACCAAACGTCGCAAGATAGCGCTTGCATGCAACTACTGCCGAGCTCGCAAGACCCGATGCGATGGTCGACAGCCCGCTTGCTCGACGTGTGAAAACAAAGGTGCCGGTTCGACCTGTGTGTATGAGCAGGGGACTCTTAAAACCAGGAGGTAGGTATCAGCATCAACACAGTTCGGCAGCACCAAGACCCGAATGTGCAGCTGACCGTGTTGCAGATATGTCTCAACCTTGGAAGCAAGGGTTCAGGAGTACGAAAGGAGAAGAGTGATGGGTTTGCCTTGGAAATCAAAGACCTCTGGTCGGGCCTGGCTGCTAACAGATTATCATAGAACTAATGGATGACGGGCCAGGAGAAGACACGCGGCAAGCGGCCGTAGTCGCTGTTTCAAGAAGCGACAACTCGCCGATTTCCACTGTCCAGGGCGACTTTTCAACAGGCGAAGGACCGACAGCCAAGTCGCCATGCCACGAGGCCATAGAGACTGACGCCATGGTCATTGTACCTTCTTCCGAAGGAGACGTTACCAACCATCTTGGTGAGTCATCTCCTATGGCGTTCGTTCGATCCATGTTGCGAACAATCGGCAAGAATGACTCGCCCTTGCATGCGACGAACACGAAACCCACCAACGGCTCTCGCCCGGAGAGATCCTATCTCAGTCCGCAATCACAGGATGGCGATCTGGATCTGGACCCCGTCTCACTGCCGACGCGAAGAGTAGCCGACGGCTTGGTCAAGGCCTTCTGGGAGTATTTGCATCCTCTCCTACCTATTCTCCACAAACCTACATTTATGAAGTCCTACCGCTTGCAATGGGTGGGCGAGGACGAAGCATGCCCAAGCCACTCATCGGGAGGTCAAGATGATCCGCCGTTCCTCTCGACCTTGAATATCGTTTTCGCCATCAGTTGCCAGTTCAGTGACCAGATCACAACCACGCGGAAGCGAGTCTTTGCGGATACATTCTACCGGCGATCACGCAGGATATTTGCCGACGAGCTTCTAGATTATCCGACGCTTGCCACCGTGCAGCTTCTCTTGCTCACAGGCGTATATCTCCAATCAACCGCACACGCAAACCGATGCTGGAACATCGTAGGTTCGGCCATCAGAACTGCACAGAGCTTGGGTCTTCACCTTGACCGTACGGCTGGAGCCGAGAATCAGCTGCAGAGGGAAATGGAGCGCAGAGTCTGGCACACATGTATTTTCCTAGACCGGTACGTCCTTCATGCGATGCAATCAATAGCAGATCTAACGAGATACCACGGCTTGTAGTCAACTCGCCGTAACGTTTGGCCGGCCCGCAATGATCTACGGGCGTTCAAAGATTCCTCTGCCCTTGCTGATTGACGATGAATACTTGCTGGAGAACGGTGAGGGCTCCCAGCCGCATAAACCTGCAGAAATATCCAGCTTCGTCTACTCGTGCCAGCTCTTCGACATTCTAAACGAAATTCTCTCCTCTTTTTACTCTGACAAAAGCAACGAGCCTCAACCATCCAACCCTCCCTCTACAACCTACCAAGAGCTGAGCACCGTCATGAGGCTGAACAGTGCCTTGGATGATTTTCAGGACACCCTTCCCAGCTACCTTGTCATCAGTCCCGATTCAGCGAATCCCATCACCCCTGTACACGACAAGGTTGCTCTTGGGGCAAAAATTCTATATTCTAGGTTTGTTTAATTATGGCAAGATTCTGCCTCCGAGGTGTCTTCGGGCTGACCAACGTCGGTTGCAAGGTTCCTGTATATCCGTATCTTCCTGTTGCGGCCGATCCTATTGTTAGTGGCGGAAGTCTCGACAAACCCTCCCGGTGAAAAGAATCCGTACAAGAGTGACAGCCTTGAACAGCAGCTAGCCTTTAAAGCTTGCTCATTATGCGTCTCCACAGTCCAAACCTTAATCGCCCACATTTACAAGAACATGGACAGTTCCTACTGGACCTCCATTTCGCACAAGATTCACTGCAAGACAAGCCTCCCTTACTCCTACTTTCAAGACTGTCTCCTGTGCTGACCCAGTAACACTTCAGATGCATTTTCCTGTGCCATAGTGCTCGTAGCAGCACGTCTTTGCCCAGCCCCCGAGCTGAATTTCGAGACGGGTTCACTCCAGACTTCTTGGTCCCAGTGCATCAAGATATTCGAGCAATATATGCCACACTTCCCCTGCGCATCCCACGTAATACAAATCCTTGAGATGCTGGAACAAAGGATGCCCCATCTCACAGCAGAAGGTAAAGCCTATACAAAGATACAGTCGCATTACACCACAGGGTTAACAGATCTCGGTAGGAGAAACAAATATGCAAGGGCCACGAAATTCCATGGCATCAGTAGACGAGCCCATCTGGCCAAGTTGGGCCATGCTAGACGATCTTCTCCAGTGTGAGCCTATGGGCCAAACTTTTGTCGGCGATAAGTGGCCAGAGGAGATGCTCTCAACTTTTGGTTGGACAGAATCACTTTGACATGCTATATTGGGTAACGATTCAATGGAAAAGATAGACTCACCAGACATTTTCATTGGCTATGCTTCTCCTATTTCGATAAAATAATCTTTCTATTGCATGGAATATTCGAACAACTGCGATAATGAAATCATCAAGTCCGCTTCATATTTCATACTTATCCAAAGAATATAATTCTCTTCGCATTTTTCGACTATATTATTACCTAAGTAGTTCTCTTTCGGGGAGCTATTTGTTTTTAGAATAAACCTATTGAACTTATGTAGCGGTCAACCAAGAAGAGGGGTTATTGCGTACCTAACAACAACACAGCACACAGTCACAAGAAATGGAATATATACACATTAATGACCTAAACAAGCACTTTCCTATCAGCGCATCCGTTAAAATCCAACAATTAGGCCATGGGGCGGGGTATGTGTCATCGGCCACGTGGCCCAATTACATTTAATGATGCTAACAAGCAGAAACCTGCATCGATGAATCCTCACGATCGTCTCATCCCGCCGTGGTCTCAAGTAACTATCTACTGTCAATCCAATTGCCTTAATATTGCGTCACGTTGAGTTCTGATTTTAAAGACAGCTGATTCTTGAGGTTCAGCGGGAAGGGCAATGCACTGAGATGGGTAGTTACCGACCATGGCAAAGCGGGCATTGAGTGAAACGGAAATTAATCAAAAGACGAATCTCAGAGCCGACAAAAAGATAAAGATTCAGGATGAGGAAGCACCAGAACCAAAAACCTCAGGCGTTGCGCTACCGTTGTCAAACAACGACTATACCGTTGGCTGGATTTGCGCGATAACCACAGAATATGTTGCCGCGCAAGCATTCCTTGACGAGACGCACGGGGAGCCGGAACATCTGGCTATTAATGATAATAATATCTATACACTCGGAAAGATAGGAAAGCACAACATCGCTGTTACCGTCTTACCGTATGGAGAGTACGGGACGGCTTCTTCAGCAACAGTTGGAACGCACAAGCGGCATTCGTTCCCAAACATACGGATCGGCCTAATGGTCGGGATCGGGGGAGGGGCTCCTAGTCGCAAGCATGATATCCGTCTGGGCGACATTGTGGTTAGCACTCCTCGCGATGGGAAGGGTGGTGTGATCCAGTATGATTTTGGTAAAACAATACAAGATCAATGCTTTCGCCTGACTGGCTTCTTAGACCAGCCTCCTCTGCTTTTGCGCACAGCGGTTAATGCCCTGAAGGCCAAGTATGAGGTCGATGGCCACCAGATTGAAGATTCAATCGATACTGTCTTTGACCAGAGACCACGGCTACGAAAGAACTACCAGCGGCCGGATCCGAAATCAGACATACTGTATCAAGCTGACGTTGTCCATTCAGCCTCGGATGATGAAAGCTGCGAGCATGTTTGTGGGACCAATGACTCTCCAAAAAGGGTAGTTCTCAGGTCACCACGGGATAAAGAAGAGGACAACCCGGCTATTCACTATGGAATGATTGCGTCGGGCAATCAGCTCATGAAGGATGCTCTGATTCGGGATAAGCTTGCAGCGGAACAGGACATATTATGCTTTGAGATGGAGGCAGCAGGATTAATGAACCACTTTCCATGCCTAGTCATCCGTGGTATATGTGACTACTCGGACTCTCACAAGAACAAGAAATGGCAAGGGTTTGCTGCAATGGCAGCAGCAGCTTATGCGAAGGACCTGCTATATCGAATTCCAGCAAGCAAGATCGACGCGGAAAAGAAAATGGCTGATATTATATCGAGTGAGTTCTGGTTAATTCTAGGCAGTACCAGTTGCTAATATAACACTAGACGTTCAAGAGACGGTCACCGGTGTGTCGAGAGAAGTCAGCACCTTACTTCATCGCCAACACGATGAGGAAGATGAAGAGATACTAGATTGGATTACACCAGTCGACTATGCTCCACAACAAAACGACTTCATTAAGAGGCGACAACCGGGTACTGGCCAATGGCTTCTGGACTCTGAAGAATTTTGTGCATGGGTTGAGGGCAAAGGACAAGGACTGTTCTGCCCAGGAATCCCCGGCGCAGGCAAGACAATTTTGGCGGCAATAGTGGTTGATGATCTCTGTGCAAGATTTCAAAACAAGAGTGAGACATGCGTGGTTTTTGTTTTCTGCAACTTCCGACGCCATCCCGAGCAGAGGTTTGAGGACCTTCTAGCTACTCTGTTGAAGCAAATGATCCAACAGCAGCCCTCTATACCTGATGATATCAAGCAGTTCTATAGCCGCCACAAAAAGCGCCGAACGCGATTCTCTGCTGAAGAGTTGTCTCGAATGTTACAGGCCACCACAAAGCTATTTTCTAGAATTTTCATTGTCATCGATGCGTTGGATGAGTGCCAAAAAACCAACGGATGTCGCAAAAGCTTTATTGACGACATGTTCAACCTGCGAGCAAATCACGGCATCAATCTCTTCACGACCTCTCGGTTTGTACCAGAGATTTTAGATGCCTTCAAGATACATACCAGCCTGGAGATTCGGGCGCATGGGGATGATGTGCGGAGATATTTGAGTGGCTGCATGCCTCAACTACCAGCATTTGTCTACCGAGACCCGAGCCTACAGGATGAGATTAAAGATGGGATCGTGGATTCAGTTGATGGCATGTAAGTTGGAATCATTTAAAATCAGTAGGTGACTATATCTAATCACCTACACAGGTTTCTTCTGGCCCAGCTGTATATGGCGTCTCTCACTGACAAGATGACCAAGAAAGCGATCAAGTCTGCATTGCACCAGTTTCGAAAACAGACTGCGGACCAAGACGAGAATGAAAAATTGCAGGTCCTATCAGAAGCATATGGACAAGCACTGGATAGAATAAAAGCCCAGAAAACGGGCTTTCGCCAGCTCGGGGAGAGAACCCTACTTTGGATAACGTGTGCAAAGAGACCTCTTACAGTCTCGGAGCTCCGACACGCTCTCGCTGTGGAATCTCAGACTAACAAACTTGATTACGATAATATTCCCGAGACCGAGGACATGGTCTCTGCATGTGCTGGCTTGGTCACTGTTGACGAGGAAAACAACATTATCCGTCTAGTACACTACACGATGCAGCAATACTTTTCTCGGAATCGTGATAATATATATGCAGAAGGGGACGAGGAAAGCATGGCAAATACTTGTGTTACATATCTCTCATTCTCGGTCTTCAGCAGCGGACCTTGCAACTCGGATCAAGCGCTGGAAACTCGATTAGAGAAAAATCTTCTCTATGATTACGCCTCACGAAATTGGGGTTACCATGCTCAGAAACCATCAGTGTCCACGAAAGGGCTGATTCTAAAATTCCTTGCAAGTACGAACTCGCTTTCTGCCTCATGCCAAGCGATGTTAGCAGTGAAACTCTTTGCGGGTGACACTGAATACGAACGAACAGTACCAGGGCGAATGACAGCTGTACATGTGGCCGCGCACTTTGGTCTGAGCGATATTATAAGTTCTCTTGCCGGTAGCTATGAAATTGATTCGAGGAACTCTTTCGGGCGAACTCCGTTATGTGTCGCCTCGCAGCATGGACACAATAATGTGGTGAGGTTCTTACTAGAGAAGGAGGAGATCGACGTAAATGTCAAGGATGCGACTCGTTCACGGTCCCCCTCTCTTGGGCCGCGGGAAATGGACACTTCAAAGTATGCCAGTCGCTGCTGGCCAGAGATGGAATAGATCCCGATTCTCGAGACTCAGGGGGACGGACGCCTCTTTCATGGGCCGCAGGTAACGGCCAGGCTGATATAGTCCAGCTTTTACTACTCCAATGCGGAGTGTCACCGAACTCCAAAGCTACATGGTGGAATAGAGGGCGTACACCGTTGTTACAGGCCGCAGCAAATAATCATGAATCAGTAGTCAAGCTTCTGGTGGATTCGGGAAGAGTCGACTGCGACTCACAGGATGATGAAGGACGGACACCGCTATCATATATGGCAGAGCATGGGTGTGAGCTCATCTCGAAACAGCTTCTGTCTAGAGATGATGTAGACCCCGATTGCGTGGATAAATTTGGCATGACTCCACTCTCCTGGGCTGCACGATATGGACAGGATGGTTTGGTCAAGCTGTTACTTGCCAACAAGCAAGTGAACCCGAATGTTTGCGATGGCAACGGCTTCTCTCCTTTGATATGGGCAGCAAAGCAAGGGCGCGAAATGGTGGTGAGGTTGCTACTAGAAAAAGAGGGTATTTCGAGAAATCTTCAGGACGTAGATGGTCGCACACCATTAGCATGGGCTGTGAAAAGCGGCCATCTTCATAATATTGACACTCTACTCTCGAACGAAGAAGTCGACCCCAACATGAAAGACAAATTTGGACAGACACCATTGCTATGGGCTGCGCAAAACATGAGAGAGGGGGCAGCGAACCAACTTCTTGACAAGGACGGGGTAGATCCTGAATCCAGGGATGACCATGGTCGGACTACGCTTTCGTGGGTGGCAGGAAATGGTGACGCGATATTGGCTAAGAGACTTATCGACATACACCGAGTAGATGTCAACTCCAAGGACAAATCCGATCGCACGCCTCTTTCGTGGGCAGCCGAGAATGGACACCGGACAATTATCAAGCTTTTACTTGCCAAGGAATGTATCGACGTCAACTGCAAGGATATTCGGGATCGGACGCCACTCTCTTACGCAATGAAGAACAGGCATAGTAACATTGTGAAACTGTTACTCGCTGATGATCGTACAGCTGTCGAATCTCGCAAAATCATCAGCTCGGCTCCGAGCAAGGAACAGAAAGCAGCTATCAAAGAACCATGGGCTTCAAATTGGCTTCAAACAAGGCGATCCTATGGGGGTCAACCCAGCAAAGTCATGGTATCCGATAGGGCTGGCAGTCGTTCGACCGCCCTCCGTGCAAGAAGCGAGAGTCTGCCCTCGCGAAGGAAACGTGGACTCTCAACCGATGTAGAACATATCGGTCGATCAAGAGTTGAATTATCAGAAAGTCAAACTTGCAAAGCTATGATACTACACCGTGCTAGTGGAAAATACACATTATCCACCTTCGATATACAAAGAACCTTAGGAACTGGAAGTTTTGGCCGAGTATATCTAGCTCAATCGAAGTTCAACCAAAGGTTTTATGCTGTCAAAGTGCTGGAGAAGGCCCGTGCGGTTTATCTCAAACAGGTCAGTCACACCAACGACGAGCGCCGCGTCTTAAGTAGTGTCAAACATCCGTTTCTTGTTTGGCTTTGGGGGACGTGGCAAGATTGGAGGAATATTTACTTTGTGATGGATTTCGTGGAAGGCGGCGAACTCTTTTCGCTACTGAGAAAATCAGGGGTAAGACCTTTTCACCTTCTTTGAGTCTATTAGTCACCATCGTTTGTCGCAGTTCTGCTAACTTAATACAACGATGTAGAGATTTCCGAATCCGGTTGCCAAGTTCTACGCCGCCGAGGTTATACTAGCACTTGAATACCTGCATTCCTTGAACTTTATATATCGAGACTTAAAGCCAGAAAACATTCTTCTTGACAGACATGGAGATATCAAGCTCACCGATTTCGGCTTCGCAAAGCTTGTTCCTGATAAAACATGGACTCTGTGTGGGACCCCCGAGTACTTGGCGCCAGAAGTAGTAGCCAATAAGGGCTACAATAAGTCTGTAGATTGGTAAGTTAATTTTTTAGACGCTTCAGATACATAAACTCTTACCAATCTTCAAGTGGTTCTTTTTTGCGGGTGCCTTGTAGCTAACAAGGTTCAACGTGATGAAGTTGGGCACTAGGCGTTCTCATATACGAGATGCTGTGTGGCTATTCACCGTTCTGGGACCCTAAGAATACCATGGTGATCTACGAGAATATACTCAGGGGAACTGTTAAATATCCTCCCTATCTCACCCAGCCTGCCGTACATCTCATGGAGAATTTAATAACAAGCGATTTGACCAAACGACTGGGAAATTTGCGTGGGGGTTCATCTGATATCAAAGCTCATCCATGGTTCGAGGAGATAAATTGGCAAAGACTGGAAAATAAGAAGTACAGTCCCCCTTACACCCCGCCAATAGTACCTGGGGCAGGAGATGCAAATCAATTTGACAAATATCCCGAAGACAGTGATATATTTGGGTCAGTTGAAGGCAACGACAAGTAAGTCCAAGACGGTTCACCAGCCGAAAAACGCAAGAGCTAATTTAACCTAGTTATCCAACCCTCTTTCCAGATTTTTAATACGAGTATGTTGGCAACCGACTCGACGTTACTGATCTGCGAGCCTCAGATTAAGTCCTCGGTCAATGACGGTTGTTCGTCTTTGTCTTCCGATGGTCTTTGTCTTCCGATGGTCTTTGTCTTCCGATGGTCTTTGTCTTCCGATGTTTCAGAGATCCTTGTGGAAGCGCTTTCACTGATGGCACATGGGCTAAACAACTAACATGCTTCGGTTTGTGCCGCCCGAAGTGCTGTAAGCGATACTTAAATAATCAAGTGCCGGAAGGAGCTCCTCATGAGTTAATTCAGCTTTAGGCTAGGCTATACAGGACTCGGTATCGGCTCTCTCTCAGGTGTGTGGGTGTCGGTTCAACTGTCCAGGTCAAGGTTAAGCTAAGGTATTTACAAGGGTCAAATTTGACTGGGGTAAGGAAAAGGGGTAAGAAGGCCAAGGGGAAGATAGGTTCTATATTAAAGAGTTCTATCCTTGATACCTTTTTGCTACTGACTTTCTAACTTTGCTCTACTTTAGCTTGCTTTCATTCAAGAATGTGAAGCTCGTTTCATATAGTCGACGTTGTTAGTTAGTCTTTCAGCTTATATGAATATGTGAACCATTTGATTAGATACTAACAACGTTATCAACGAACACCGGGATTCTCATAAGAGCTCAAGACTTGACTAATAGTCTACGCAGCCTCAACAAACATCTTCTCTCCACGTCCAACTCCACTTCTGGGTGGCTGAGAGTGTTTGGCCGAGCACTACATCCGTGGTTGACTAACCGGTGAATCTAAAGCTCGGATGGTCGTCGCCAAGATTGTTCCGCTCCTCCTCGGGTAAATCAAGCCTGTCATCACGCCCCCCAGCGTCGCGGATCTTGTTCTCCCTCCTGATCCAAAAGTTGAACACACAGGCGGCCAAGACGCAAAGCCACACGAATCCGAGCCCCAGCCCGTATCCAAGAAGATACCTCGGTGCCTGGGCTGGAAGAAAGATGTTGGAAGCGACGATACCAGAGCAGTTGCCGATCGAAAGCTGGATGGCAGCACCAACGCCTCGCTTGTAGTGGCCGCCAAGGTTATTATTCAACCACACCACAGTGACGGGCTGTGTCAGCCAGCATCCGCATGTGATGAGGTACAGGGCGAAATAGCGTGCCTCAACGGGGACGTACGGCGTCGCAAGCAGGATTCCGTAGCCGATTGTCGTGATGAGGCAGCCAAGGAGGATGAAACCGAACCGGTGTTTGAGGCGATCCGAGAATACCGCCACGGTGAGAGTGATAACGGCGGCTGCGATGTAGATGGGGATTGACATATACTGGGCGCGGAGAGATGTCCAGCCGAGCTGGCTGAGAATGGTTGGGATAAAAAAGGAGGTGCTGTACGTCGTGGTGACGATTCCAAGGTACATGAGGGCACTGCGAACCCGAAAAGGTCAGCGAGGGCTAAGAGGAAAGAGGCACGGAAACTCACCCAAGCCAAATTTTCAAGTCTCCCAAAACCCGTTTAGCAGTGGACTTATTCCAGTGGTTCATGCTCGCGTCCGGAGTGTCCTGGGCCAGCCGAGCCATGACCATTGCCCTCTCTTCCTCGGTCAGGAACTTGGCAGTTTGGGGCCAGTCGGGCGTCACGAAGTACGCGAAAACACCAATGAGAAAAGTTGCAATTCCTAGAACGGGCAGGCATGTCTTGTTAGCCATCGCTGCGGGAACGAAACCATCACGGATGCCTACCCTCGATTATAAAGATCCACCTCCACCCTCCATAGCCCGCAACCCCCGACATGTGAGCGATGGCGTAGGCCAAGAGACCTGAGAAGGCACCCGCGAGGATGGACGCCGCGTAGAACAAATTGATGCGCCATTGGAGCTCGTGACGCTTGTAGTACATCGAGATCAAGTACACGCACCCCGGAACGAATCCGGCCTCGAGGAAACCAATCAGAACCCGACATACGACGAGGCCACCGAAGGACTGGGTGACACCTTGGCCGACTGTGACAATGCCACACCCTACGACGATGAAGCTGAGGATCACGGAAGGCCTGGCCCGCTTGAGGTACATGTTGGAGGGAACCTCGAAGAGAATGTATGTTATGAAGAAGGTGAACAGCGCGATGTTATAGTCGCTTCCTACCATGGCAAGGTCCTTCTCGAGTCCTTGAATTCGAGCATTGCCGATGTTGATGCTTAGTTTCCTGTTAGTCATGAAGAGTATTGTCGTTGAATCTTGAATCATACCGACTATAAACGCCTCGAGTTAGCAATTGCATTCAGGATATAACAAAAACATCAGCATCAATCAATTGACTTTGCCGCCAAGGATGCTTTACACTTATTGACAGAGTGAACCGCAGAAAATACGTACTATTAGACTAAAGTTAGCAGCTGATAAAACACAATGGTGTGTATTGTATGAAATTATACTAACCTCTAAAAATGTACAGAGCAAAAGTAGGCAAAGGATTGGAATGAGGTGCGAGTCGATCTTGCGGACAAGCTTCTTTTCCTTGTCGGGATCAATCTCGGTTGGTAAGACCTCTCCAGCCTTCTCGTCAAGGTGGCGGATCTCCTCGTGGGAGGCTTTCTGCTTCTCAGTAATCATTTTCTTTAGGATGAGTTCAGCGTTCGAGTTCTCGGATTGTACTGCGAATAGCTACTCTCAATGCCAGATTTCCAAAACTAAATCTGGAGAACGGAGGATAATGTATGCAAGCTCTCTTCTCATATACTCTGTGGGTCAGTGCTTGCACATGTTCCGAGACTACCCCGTGGGGTTAAATCTGGAGAAGGTAGTATTCGCATCTCGTGATGGGTAGAGATCAGATCGGGAAACATGAGGCAGACGAACCAGATTCGTCTCCGTCGTCCCCTCCGCCTCTGTTCCGATCTCCCCGCAACCCCGCACGCAGCGCATTTCTACGCAAACAAGACTAGGGATATCTAACGTGCAATACCTAGAGTGGAGGAAGCGGAACAGATCCCTAGCCACGTACCGGTGGCCAGATTTTTTCGGGATGTAAAACTGACCCTTGTACAGTCTCCGAAGCCGCTTCTTTTCCGCCCCATTGCAATCCTAATGCATCCCGCCCCGTATGAAGCAGTGCCGCTTGAGAGTCATAGACTGCGGCTAGATAGGAGGAAAGCTTTATAAGCCTTTGTACTAATAGGCCTCTTTTTACTAAAACAAGCTGATCGTCTATTTAGCCTACCTCTGTTGAACAGATGCTAGCTCGGTTCAATCTTGGGATGAAATTTTGACATGTGACAACGGTAAAGTTTGATAGCGATGCTATTTTGCTTTCAAGGAGTGTGTTTAGTCTTAAATGAAGACATGATCTCGTACTGGAGGTTAGAGCTGTAAATGATTCAATAAGGAGAATAGGTTCTATTTTTGTATTCCAAGACGTAAAATGTTGAACATAAGAGTGTTCTAAATATATACTCAACCTGAATCTGAACAGGGCTACCAAGGAAATAACAAAAATGAATGATGTATCTTGCATTGCCCTTGGCGACGCCGCTGCAGCATAAGATCGCCAACAGGGAACTTTAAATCCCTCAAATAACTGAGTTCTAATGGCCTTAGGCATAAACTCAAATTTATCTGGAGATCTCTGGAAATAAGACATTGCTCCATCAACAAACCCATTAGGAAAAACAAAGACACAATGCCACCATCCCGATCCAACGGTCGTAGGCCAGCACGAAGGCAGCAACCGACATCTTGCGACTTTTGTCGGCGAAGAAAACTGCGGTGCGATCAGCAGAATCCCTGTTCTAATTGCCAATCAAGGCATGTCGAGTGTCAGTATAGCCACTCATCACCGCCGCGGCGAAGAAGCTCCCGACGACGTCAAGCTTCAGCTTTGGCAACAGCTGACGCAGAAATATCACTTGCAACTCCGTCTTTGGATTCCGCTCCGCAGCATGATTCAAGCGCACCTGTGCACCCTTCTAATGTCACTACAACTCCAAACGCCCAGGGCTTTTCCCATACGCAGCGTTTGGGGGCCAAGAATGATCTCCAATGGCTCAGAGATACAGGCACTTTTCGAAACCCTTCAGTCAGCAAAAGAATCCTGTGCATAAATCTTTACATTCCTTGTCAAACCTAACCTTTGCAGCTGTCAACTTTGACCCATGTTCAAATCATTTCAAGCAGCGAATTTTCTCTACAGAATAAGGTGCAGCTCCCACAGGCGCCCACAATTCTTCCTTTGAGACAGCTTGCGGAACAGCTCTTAATCGAGTATTTCGAAAACATCGACTCTATTCAACACTTGATCCATGTCCCAAGTACAGTCATTTTATTCGAGAGCCTGTACGCTTCTGCCGACCTAGGCGAGCCAGTCTCGCCGGGCCATGTAGCATTGGTTCTCTCAATATGTGCAACTGCTGCTTGGTTCCGATCAGCCTCTGGGCTCCTACACATTTCATCTACTGATGTCTCAAGTTGCACCCATCTAATGCATTGCTGGCTCGAATATGCCTGGGCGGTATTTGAGGCTGCACGCCAGGTCGAGTTTGAAGGGATAGAAATTGTGCAGGCCATGTGTATCATCCACCTTCTATACAACAAACTATAAGGATTCTCTTTCCGTGTTCGCCATTTGCATGCAGGTACTGTTCTGTTGGCCCGACGCAAGGGTTTGCACATAACCGATGCGGCCAACTCTGGAACAGACAAAGAATCTAGCGAACAGCTTGAACTCGAGATGAGAAGGCGCGTCTGGTGGTACATTGCTGCGACAGACTGGAATATGGCTGCCAGCGACGGTCCTGGAGAAGGGGCCTACTCGATCCATCCACACCAACAAGCTGTCGAGATGCCGCACAACATCAATGATGATAACCTGGACATGCAGTCGCGGGAATTCGAGAGGCCCTCAACCGAGCTGACTTCTGTGTCGTGTTTTCTCATTCGGCTTCGTGTATCCGAGGTGTGTCGTGACATTGTCGATCTGCAATGGGCCTCCCGACTGTCTGGGCTGGCCCAATATTCCAACCACCACAGAGTTCATCTCATTGACAAGAAGATTCTGGGAATCATCCGCAATCTTTCCCCCGAGCTCGGGCTCGATCAAGGGGATACACCAGAGCTGCAACAGCAGCCAGTTACAGTTCACGTGCAAAGACTTTTGCTAAATTCGATGATTTATGCTCGCAGATGCAAACTCCATCTTCCATTCCTGTTCAACACGCAACAGGACACAAGAAGTGCTCCTTTACGCTTGATTTGCCTATCAGCTGCTCGAAAGGTAGTAGATATCTTCAGCGAAATGTGGCACCAAGGAAGCAAGCTTGATATAGGACATAAGCTTCACTGTGGGTGCCTGGACTTCCTCTACTTCGCCACCGTGGTCTTGCTGGCAGACTTCTGTCTCAATGTGAGCGATGAAGAGCGCCATACTCTCATGGGAAAGATCGAAGCTGCAGTAAAGGTTTTGCAGAGAGCTAGGGTAGAATCCTCCATGGTTGAGATATATCTGGCTTCCTTGTCGACTATTGCGCGCCGCCACAACATCCATCTACCGCAGCCTATCAAGTCGCAACCTCTCGCCCCCCAGGACTTGCTTATCCAACAAGCTACATTGGTTCCTGAGTTCGTTTCACAGATGCTGCCACCTACGGGTTCATCTGTTGACAACGGTTCTGCTATGCTATATGAGACTAATAATGATTCGTCACAGTTTCTGTCTTACTTTCGTGGCCTGGATGACATGGACTGGGATGTACTCCTATCTGATATAGACAACTTCATACATTAACGACTCGCAAAGGGCTGGTATAAAACGGTGCCTAAAGTCGTAACTTGAGTTTTTGTATATAGTTTGTTTCAAGTCCTCTTGAATGCCAAAGGGTGATATAGTTCTATTCGAGCAGTAATTCTAAACTTCCATGAGGGAGAGCTTTGTCCTTTCTAATCATATCTGCCCTTTACCTCCTCCAAAGTCAACACACTTTTCCTCGTCACATGTTTCAAGTTCCTTTCCCGCCAACCGTTGAGCTTTTCAGGATATAGGGGTATGCACCCATCAATCTCTGCATCGTGAGCAAGCACAACTAGGACTTCAGGGTTTGAGTGCAATATCTGAGTCTTGGAAATGGTAACTCTAGCATCCTCCGGGTATTTATGGAATCCTGCCTGGCCCCCGGGACCGACACTGACGCTAATGTCGCGGGAAAATCCTTCTAGAAAATTTCGGTGGTGGCAGCAATCTCCTCCCATGGCAACCCACTCTTGGGCTCCAGTACGAGCCAATGCTATTTGGTGTCCTTGCATATGGCCTGGCGCGTCAAGGATGTATAGCGTGCCGTCTCCAAAGAAGTCAATCCCCTTGTCGAATGGGAAGTCTTTTGGTGCGCTACCTGGTGGCAGAGGCTGATATTGAGATTTCTCGAACTCTCTGACTCGAGCGTGGGCGAAGATGGTGCCGTCGAAAGGCGATTCATCCACGGTTGGATATCCAGGAGCTGCGACAAATGTGCTTCCAGGTCCAAGTAGCACCTGTGCCTCTGGGTACTGGGAAACATTCCCAGTATGGTCAAAGTGCAGGTGGCTCAGGATGATGTAGTTGATATCATCAGGTTTCAACGAGGCTTCGGAAAGCAAGTCGGAAGCATCCTTTGGAACGTAGGGTTCTATAATGTCAAACTCTTTCTTGGCCACGCGAGGGAGGTTATGTAAGTCCTATAAAAGTATCAGTCATATTTCATAGCCAGGTAATGCATTCAGAGTCACCTTTCTCAGGCCCAAGTCAAATAGAACATTCTTCCCGGATGAATGGCGAATGAGAAAACTGAAGTCTGGGCAGAGGTGCTTGACCCGAGGATCCCCGTCCGCAAACATCCATTCATCTGGAAGCCACAAATAGCCTGTTGGCAAGACGAACACTTCGACAATAGGATGATCCGGCATTTTGGGGTCTCTTGGCTAAATAATAAGGTATGTCATGAAGTGAAAAGCTATGCATTATACTCGGCCGAAAAGTCCCAGTTACTGTGGCTTTTCTTAGGCTATTTATATTCGTGCGACAACTAATTGCTCCCTCTACGCTTTCATCCAGTTGATGAAGTTCGGATCGGATCTTGCTTGGGTGGATTAATGCCCAGCTCCTTCTCTTCAAACTTCCGCGGATCATTGCAAAGGTCCGCGGTACATTTGTAAAATCGCATAGCCGTTGACAAATAAATTACAGAACATAAAATTGCTTCCTAAATACCGAGTTTACTACTAATACATTCACACCATACTATATTATGTAGATATAGTAGGATAAAAAAGAGAATCGGCAGAAGGGACGCGGTACGTATAATTAAAACCTTCACTGGATTTGCTGGGGTATAACTTGACTATTGTAAGTTACGGCCTGTAAGCGTCTGTTCTTAGGCTGCCAATTTCTAATTACTATCTATAAAAAAAAGACAACGATAATTATCGGGCGGAGCTCCCTGATTTCAGGAGGAACTAAACCTCCGCGGAGCGTCAGTAATCCACCGAAAATCCGCTGTTGCTGGATGTTGTGTCTTTGACAGGGGCATCTCTCGCACCGCGATCCATGCTACTTACTTGTGGAGAAATTCAAGGTACTTGTATCACGTTAGGAGAAGCCTGGGTGGTACTTGTTGCTGATGAAAAGCGTCCATGGAGCTTAAGGGCCCGTGGAGGTTACTACGCTATGAGGTTGAGCTTCAGGCAGTCTGCTGATTTGAACAATTTGTATTAGATCCTTGGTCTTAACTCATAGAGGATGTCCAAAGATGTTGTAAAAGTTCAACTAAGATCAGCAGTCGACATCTCATTGTTACATGGCAGTACGGAGTATACCTTCCTATCGAGATCGAGTAAGCCGCACGGTCCACGAGCATTTTCATTTGAACCAACGGAAACCTTGACTATTGTCAGATTGTTTCATCGGTGCGCCTAAGTAATTTGGACATGAAACACAAATAGTTCCGAAATGTGCGATCCATGAACTACTGCCGTAGGTTGCCGTTGTCGATCAATAAATAAAGTGCCGAGCATTCACGAGCTCTTTTCTGGATGACTCCATTAGCTTTTGTTGCTTCGAGACTTTAACTGAGCCATGTACCAGTACGCATTTCTTTTCGCCCTTTTTCTGGGGCCCATCACAGCTCACGCAGCTAGAAGCTGCAAGCCAGCCGTGACTGTTACGGAGTATGTGACGGTAACTGGAGCCTCGACACCCGTCTCCAGCCTCTCTACGCCCCTGACGACCTCGACCTCCATCGTATCAGTGACCAAGGCTAGCTCAGCTCTGGAGCAACAACCGTCCAGTGCTGAGACCAAGAGCCAGTCATCAGCTCAGGTTAACGACTCATTGCCGAGTTCCACCGCCTCCTCCCCATACGCAGATGCTACAGAGGTGAACGTCAACATCGCAGCGAAAGAGCAATGCGGGAACGACGATCGTCTCATCATGCCAGGCATGCCCTGGACGGTCGCCAACTCAATGTATAATTCCAACCGAATGGTCGGGACGCAATGCACCAACTACAACAAGGTTCTGCAAACATCCGACAAGACGTACCTGGTTGATTGGACCAGCACCACGAACATCGAGAACGTTGCCGACACAAATGACATCTGCAAGGGCTACTCAAACATTGGCATTGGAAAGAACCTGAAGAAGCGTCTCTCCGAGGTCAAGTCTATTCCTACTTACTACAAGTGGTCGCGTACGATTGACGGAGAGTTTAAGGGTAAGACCAACTCGAATATGTTGTCTGAGTCTCTGCGATGCTGACCGTGACCCTCTTGCAGGTGCCAATATCTACGACTTCATCACGTCCCCCGTCCTCGGAGCAGGCGAAGAACCAAGCAGCAATGAGTTCATGCTCTTCCTGAAGATCTGGGGCGGGCAGGTTCCAATCGGCTATGCTGACGGCCCTGCCGCCACCTTTGACATGTATGGCACGACATGGAAGATGTACCAAGGAAAGAACACTGGCTCCGGCCAGACTGTGCGAAGTATGATCCCCGACACGCCATTTGAGGGCGAGTTTAGTGGAGATTTGAAGGTCTGGCTAGACGCTATGGTGGAGAAGGGCTATGCCGGCAAGGACGAGTACCTCAACATAGGCAACTGTGGTGTAGAGGTCTTCTATGGCAATTCTCACATGGACGCTACTGTTGCCCTGGATATCCAAGTCTAAAGCAATGGGAGTTTTGTAGCGCCAAACATTATTAGAATATCAGTGGACGATCCATGGATGGAGTCAAGATTTATATGAAGTAAGGATAGGGGGGAATTTAGTGAGGTGATCAACTGCCAGTAGCAACAGGGCACCGCATGGAAATACACCTATTCTAACGCATTAATTTTGGAGAATAAATCAACTGCTGTCTGATTAATTACAGATACTATTCATTGTGACGTGAACCCTTTTACAGTGGTAACAGTTGATGCCCCGTTTGCATATATGGCTATAGGGTAGCCATCTCCCAAGCTGACGCGCCAATTGAGGACAGGCGGCATTTACTCCGTACACATAAACATGCTGCGACGCGTCGACCGCGTTCTATTTTTATTTTCATTTTCCCTCTGCCCAGAATCGTTCCAGCGCGTCCTGGCGAACCTCATAGGCCCAGTGGTGGCATGTCTGGTGCACTACAGGGCTCAAATCACCAACGCCATCGTCGTCATCGTCATCGGCGAACACGCTGCGTATTCCCAATGCCACGTACTTCTTGAGCAGAGTCCGTCGCCAGCGGCCCGTCTGCCCTACGCACTTCTTCCAGCGACTGATCTGTCGCCCGTCATCGGCGCAACGGCGGCCCATCCAGAAGCGACAGTACCATTGGAACCAGCCGCGGACATCGTGTTCATGGGCGATCCAACCGGCTGCCTCCCATTCCTCAATGCTTTGCCCACATGAGACGCCGTACTTGTTCACCTCGGGGCTGTACGCGGCGCTGGTGAGATACGTATCCACGTCCAGCCCGGCTGTCCATGATGCTGGCAGTTCCCTCCAATCGTCCTGCACCGTGATGCGCAGTCGCTTTGAGAATAGCGGCCGCCAGTAGGAGCCACCGAAGCTTCCCTCGCGGATGATCTCCTCGGGCGATTTGTTGGGGCGAAAATCGGGGTGTGACTCGAAATGAAACGTACCGGCGTCATCACGGGAAGGCTCCCCGGCTTCAGGTGTCCACGCAGTCCATCCAGCTATGATTGCCTTGACATCCTTGGACGATCCGGTATCTGACCCAGGGCCTGAATCCGATGCTGAGGGAGCTCGTTTGGTGTTGCCAGGCCGGCTAGTCTTTGCATTCCCGCGCGGCGTAGATGTCCCAACTTGCTGATCGTCGTTGTAAACTGGCTTTGCGCTTGCTGTGGCTATGCGTTTGGACTGTCTCGTAGGGGCACGACTTGAATTGGCCTTCCGTTTGATGCTTTTGGTGCTAGTGTTGGGCTCAGAAGCTCGAGGTTCAATATTGGTCAGTGGTAGTATTTGGTCGAGAAGAAGCTCGTTTTGTTTGATATTATGTCGTCGACGCGCTGTAAAGTCTGCCATTGAGACGACCGCGAGTGATAGCTGCGAGCAAAAGGGCAAACAAAGCAGATTGTATTCATCTGAAGAAGCAAGTGACTACCTGATGCACTCGACGACGTCATAGCGCCAAGACACTGAGATGAACGAGGACATACACGATCACGTGATTACCCGGAAGCTCGCCTGTATTAGTGACAACCTCGTGTCTTACCTATTCATCATCCTCCATGGTCCGCCCCTTTTTCACCATTGCCTCGACGCGCTCGACTTCGCTGGCAACCCAGTCGCGGAAGCTGTACCAGACATCATCAGAACATAGCCAAGAGGCCCAATGCCAGTAAGGATATTCTCCATCCTTGAAATTCTCGCCATTGCTCGGGTTACGCCAATTCCCTGGCGAGACCATGAAATGCATGTATCCATCGGACTCTGTTGCGGGCGAGAGGGCAATGACTTTAGAATAAACATCCTCGTCTAGGTCAAGGTTCATGGACCACATGAAGTTCTCCACATCATCATCGGCCAGATCAATGTCCTCAAGACCGTTGATGCCGCCGCCGAGGAAGTGCCAGCCTCCATAGAAACTGGAGAGGGTCAGCGAGCCCAGACTTGCAGATCGGGGGATGTTGAGACAGTGACGACTTACCCATTTGCGACGCGGACCATCTCCTTGAAATCGGGTGGTAGTTCGCCAACCTTGGCCTCTGCTTCTGCGATTTCCTCTTCCGTCGCTGGGGGATGCAGAATGTCTTCGGCGCAGGTGAGTCCTTGCTCTTCATACTCTGTGCGGTTCACTGCCCATGCCCCCTTAGAAAGTCTGTCTAGCAACTCTTTCCAGCCAACCTTTTCCGGCGCGAGTGACCATTGCCGTCCATCTCGTGCACGTAACTCCAGGGCTGCCTTGACCTCTTTGACTATGGCATCAGCGTCCTCTTTTTCAATGTAAAAAGGACTGCCTTCTTTTCCCCTCTTGGCCAAGAGAGGTAGGACGTCGTAAATTCCCGGCAGAACTAGATACCGGTCTAACTGGCCCCCATCAAAATCGTTGAAACCATCGAGCCTGAGTCCCATAGACAGGATATCGGCAGCAGTCTCAAGCTCCCCAAGCCTGATGGCTAGCTCCACCACCAGCCTTCGATAGAGCAGGTAAGAGTGTCTCCTGACAGTCTTGTTTCGGTCCCGATTGGATCTCCACTCCGTGATTGGAACCTGAGGATGTGCGTATAGCTTGTTTGCCGCATCGAGAGCTTCCCGCATTCTTTGTTCGCTGGGGTACTGGCCCGGCGTCTTGTCCTTGGCCAGCAGCCGCGCGCACATTGCAATCATGGGCTCGTCGTCCGTCTCCCGCCATGTGTGTGGGTCTGCCGGCTCGGGCAAGTTGCAGTGCTCGAGCATCCAGCCAGTGCGGGTGCATTCGCGGTACTCGTGCCACTGTTGGTTTTTCCTCCGAGCGGACGCGGCGTCCGGATTCTCGGGCTTCTCTGGCGCCTTTCCGGGATAGGGGTATGTCGGGCAGGCCTCCCAGAAATGGCTAAACGGCCGAGTTGCCATCTGCAACGCATGGTTGCTCAAGGATGACGGCGAGAGTATGGCCTCCTGATGCTCATGCAAGGCACAGAGGAGGGCATAAGCTTGGTCAAGTTGGTTAGACAGTAGAAGGAGTTGGGCCAGGCGGCTGATTTTGCGCAAACCCTCGGTGGCATCGACAGGCTCCAACAATGACGACACTAAATCGGAGATGTTGTGCCGTATAAAGTAGCCACTCTCGCCTTGGTCGGCTTGGTCAATGTATGATAGTGTGGCCATTTTGTCGTCTCCGGAAAGTATAGTCGTCTGTGAAATTGTGAAGAGCGTGAATCTCTTTTAGACCCGCTTCAAGAGGCGGATGCCGGAAAAGCAACCACGTGACATAAGACACTCAAAGAAATACGGTGAAACTAGGCACCATAAATCAAAGTGGAACAGGAGGATGCTTCACTACTAGGCGCGGCTTCGATAGAAACTTTCTTACGATGACCGTTGCGAGTTGGAGCTTAGAGCTTCATGTTGTGAGTTGAGTAGCGTGATTATTAGCAAGTTGCTGGTTGAACTATTATATGAAGTTTGCACGTAGAATTCCTAGGCGTTTTCAGGAATGCGACTTGGAGGACCAATGGTGGAGCATTTTGTAAGTCCGAGGTGCTCGGATCTCAGGTACTATTATTCAATGTGCCCTTTCCCGGATCCACCTCCATTTCCACTGAGTCTTTGAGGGGGAGCTGGAACTTACTTGCCAATAGGCAAAGCAGTAAGAGACTGAGAAAGGGGACCCAGTCCTTCTCCCTCAGCGGCGATTGCAACCCTCTCAGTTACAGAGGATTCGAAGCTGGTTCAAATGGTGACATTCCACTGCTTGAACAACTAAGCCAAAATTAACTATCAACGACATAGGAAGGATTGAGGGGTGAAGAGGTTCAGTCAGATCACGGCCAGATCGCGACTAGTGCTGACTATTGTCTGTAGGGCAGTGGGGGCGGTAATGCAACGTGCCAAGAATATCGAACCAGCCCTGTCCAATGTCGTCCAAGAGGGTCAACTATATAAGAGGGGTAGTCACAAGCTTTTTTATCCATCGTCCTGCTCAAGATACACCTGAGTCTTTCTACACCATCATGGCTAATCAGTCACCTTCTCTCAAGAGTCTGGCGGAGACTATCTCCCAAACCGCGAACGCTCTCGCTGCTAAGCTTGAGCAGGATGGTTTCCCCGCGCCCTCGTTCGCCGAGGATGGCCTTGCCGACTACCCCAAGATGCCAGAACTAATGGGAATCCGTATGACACTCCTTGACGCCGTGGCCGACTTGCAGCGGCTTGCCTTGGGACCAATGGACTCAAACTTCTTGGTTCCCATTTTGGTTGGTGACCGTGCTCCTGTTTTTCCTCTTTCAAAACATTAGCTGACCTTTGAGATAGCTAAACTACGATGCTACCGCTATTGATATCCTGAATCAGTTCAACTTCTGGGACGCTATTCCTCTGGGAGGCTCGGCGACTTACGCCGAAGTCGCCACCAAAGTAAACCTGCCAGAGAGCCTGGTTCGCCGTATCCTCAAGTACGCCACCACCAACCGCATCTTCGCTCCCGCGCCTGGCAAGCCGGACAGCGTTGTGCACACGTCCATCTCAGCCGCGCCCGCCAAGAACCCTCTCCTCAGGTCTTGGATTCGGCACAACTTTGAGGAAGCTCGACCCGGTGCTGTTCACATGCCCGAGTCCTTCCGCAAGTTCAGCGCCGGCAAGGAGCACCCTAGCGAGGAGCCTGCAGAGAGTGGGTTTAGTACAGCCAATGTGGACCATCTTGACAAACCTGAGAACTTTTGGGACTACATGGCTCGTGATGTCGAGGGCAAGCCCAAAGGCTGGAGAGCTGATGAGTTTTCTGCGAGCATGAAGGCTGCTGCTTCTGCATCGGCCATAAAGGTTGAGGATTTGTTGAAGACTGGCTATGACTGGCCTAAGCTTGGAGACGTGACGGTTGTTGATGTGAGTCAATCTCCTCCTGCTATGTATGAGATCATGCTAACATTCACAGATCGGTGGCTCGGGTGGCCACGACGCTCTTGTCCTCACTGAAGCTTTCCCCAACTTGAAAAAGTATGTGGTGCAGGACCTCCCTGAAGTGGAGGCCTCGTTCACGGAGCGCATTCCGGAGGACAAACGGAACCGAATCACTTTTGAGCCGCACGATTTCTTCAAGCCCCAGGAGACCAAGGGCGACGTTTACATACTAAAGACCATTCTGCACGATTGGCCTGACAAGTACGCGGCGCAGATCCTGAAGCACTTGGTCACACACCTCGAGTCTGGCTCACGCCTCCTCCTTGTGGAAGCCATTGCGCCGCCGGATATTACCCAGCTTCCCTTCAACACGCTTGCGCGTATGATGGGTGCGGCTGACTTCCAGATGCTGAATGCCTTCAACTCGCTGGAGCGTAGCATTGACGACTGGAAGACGCTCTTGGCAAAGGTTGACGAAAGGTTGGAGATTACATATACTTCACTGGTTCCAGGGTCGCTGCATAACTTTATTGAGATCCAGATCCGTGCCTAAGTACCTATTTGCGAGCAACACCTGAGGATACATGGACTGGGTACATGTTTGGCTGGTTCCATATATTTACGAGTTTCGCAAATTGATATGGTATTTACCTTATTGAGCAGATTCTGTGTAGGGAATAAACCGCCTACACCAAGTTGATTTTGGACACAGGCCATGCCCGTATAAATAGTGCATATGTACTTTAGTATGTATATACTGTAACACTCTACAATATAAGTTTCGCTTCAAAAGGGTATCGATTTGGGCCTCGTCCTGGTCAACTAACTTGAGAGTTGCATAATTAAAGTAGAAAGACAATAATGACAGCCTTTTTTTTTTTTTTTTTCTTTTTTTTTTTGGCCTGGAGAATAGTATTTAGGGAACTACAGCTCATAATGGATATATAATATCTAATATAGTTGCTGTTCCTAGTCGCAGAGCTCAATACCTCTAGATACCTTCTACTATATTTTGACAGCTTAAAAGTATTCCCCTAATCCCTTCTTCTCTTTGTATTATATTAATACTACTATAGGACATCCTACTTATTCTTCCTTTTAGCTATAGGTAAGGTACTAAGAATATCTACTATTTTAATCTCTTCCTTCTCTTTTATATAAGATAATATCCATATTCATAGAATATCAAGATATAACTAAAATATCTTAATTGAAATAAAAATAGTTAGAAGCTATTCTATTAATAGTTTTCTAGATTAGAGATTTCTGGTTTGGCATCTTCCATTGCTGATTTTTGCTTTGTACTAAACCCTCATCCGTATATGTTACATCTCCGTATTATTAGGTGCCACTGAGACGAGGCTTTGAGAGCTCAGCGGGGATCTCTCGCCGCCTGCTCCCCAACTAGCGGCTACGTGCCGACTGTTTAGAAGAAATCTCGACTGGGTTCGACAGGTTTAAGCAAGTCGACCATAATGCTGGAATGAAAAGACAGCCAATTCAAACAATCGTGATTATACTTTTCATGATCAAAATTCTTGCCAATATCTGTTGCAGCATTGTCAATTTGTAGAAGATTGCAAGCGAGATATCTGTAGCTAGGAATTACGACACGTGTGCAAGACGGAGGAGCTATCGATAGAGGCTAGAGTTCTTAATTGGTTTGTAAACTAGTGGGTTAACATGCCCTTTCATTGTCCTTGCCGTATTCAGCACGGTTAGTCTATGCGCCGGTGCTATAGCCGTTGGATGGATGATGGTAGTTGTATATAGTGGGTTATAGATCGGTGAGCGGGCAAGTTTCGCTGGCTAGCGTTAACAAAGGTCGTTCTGGATCTGCTTTAACTTGGCCCAATAAATTGCCATGCTATGGGCAAAGACTCTAACGTCTGTAAAACCGGCATCGCCACGAACCTTGCGTGCTCTAGTCCTGCGCTAATGATTTTCATAATAACGGCGACAAGTTATGAAAGATGCCAATGGCCGCGCCATATCACGCAGAAGCCGCTTTATTAAATTCATTTCATAGCCACGCTGTAAGTAAAAAAAAATTACTTCTATCACCCTTTGAGGGCTTACATAAATCGTGTATTAAAGGAAGAGGGAGGTATCTTCTCTGCTGAAGATTAATGAAAGGATATGTTGAAAGAGGGGGAATTGGTTAGTTTGCAATCCCCGAGGAGGGCTGTACAAAGGTGAGCTTGTCGGTGTTACGGATTGCCTGGCTCATGCGGTCATCATGACAGAGCTGGCTGCCTCAAGGGAGGAGCACCCTCAATGTCTCTGTAAGACTGCATCATCGCGGACGAAATACTCCACGTCCGTGCTCTAATGCCTGCCCAGACTTGGTTTATGACCCGCCCTGCCGGAAGACCGAATTGCTTGGCGGATATCTAAAACAAACCAAGTACAACCGGCCCTGCCAGCAGCTATTTGATTGGCCAATGCCCCCGATGAATGCTGACTAGCCAAGACCAATCGTGGATATGCTTTTGGATGACGACATGGAAATCGTGATCGGCTGCGTATACGTCGTCTGTCCATGTTTGCCAAACGCCCAAACCTGCTTGGAATTACGTCAAGTGGTGTGCTCATAATAGAGCTTGGACAGGATAATGGTTATTAAATGCATCGGATAAACCGTGAAAAGTATATTCGCAATTGCAGTCAGCACCACCATCCAGTGAATCTCATTCAACAGGGGCAACTTTGACCACATACACCACGTCCCCAATTCAATCGGGATCACCGCAATCATGGCTAATCTAGCAAATACTGCGTTCCCCGTGGAGCCCAAAGATTTCCCTTCGGTGGATAGCAAGGCTTCTGATGGTGAGCCGATTACACACGCAGCCAACGCAATTGCATTTGCTGACTTGATACTCCAGTCACCTCGACTCCCGCCCAGGCCCAGGCATTTTCTACCCAGTCCCAGTCTTTCTCCGTGCCCCGAAAGGCAGTGCACAATGTACCTGGAGAGGAGAAATATGTCGATCACCAACGCACAAGCACATTGAAACAAATGGGTACGCAGAACTCAGCTCAATGACATGACAATTGAGGCAAATGTACTAATCGTTCCAGGAACAGTCAATCCAGACAGCCTCTACAAGTACACCAGCGTGAGATATCCCAACAACTTACCGTTTAGTTCACCGCATTAGCTTACGATTCATACCAGTGGGAAGATCCAGTCCGCACCCTCGGTTCATACGTTGGTATTATGAGCCTCCTCTGCGGAGCTCACTACATGCCCCTTACTCAAACAGCTCTCAAGGCGGGAGCTACGGTTCTTGGAGGTATGCATCAATTGGCCAATAATTAAATCGAAAGGAGTGTACACTGACCATGTTGCATCCAGTGGCCGCGACCGTCGAGTACGCCCATCGCTCATTCACTCGCAACACAATTCTGGCCCGTCTCCGCCCAGCCGAGTACAAGAAGATCCCAGAGCCAGTCCTCAACGACACACTCAAAGATGTCCACGATCTTGTGCAATACCTTGTTGTCGAGGCCCAGAGAATCGTTCTTGGCGAAAACTTGGGAAGAACCTTTGGGGTACGTTTGCTTGATTGTCGGTGAATTGAGCATTATCTAATTGACACGCAGGCTTTCGTTACTCTGGCCACTTTGTACTGGCTCGTGAAAATCGTCTCGCCATTCGGATTGGTCCTCTTGGGCGTCACCGCGCTCTACGCAGCCCCCCTTCTTACATCTCGCCAGGGCCGCGAAGTCCTCGAAGCTGCCAAGGCTCGCACTGCAGACATGAGCAACGCCGCTTTGGAGAGCTCCCAAGCACTCGCCCAAGCTGGAAAGGACAAGGCTGTTGAGCTCTCAACCGTGACCCAGCAGAGTGCCGCAGATGCCAAGCGACGTGCCGGAGAGCTTGTGCAGGGCGGAACCAGTCCATCCAAAGTTACAGACGAGAATGCCGACGCCTTGATGGAGGCGGCCAAGAATACCGTTGGAAAACCCTCTGATAAGACAAGTCGCGCTGTTGGTCAAAATCTTGACCAAAAGACTCGCCCTAGCCATGACACCGCCGCCATCCCTTCGCAAAAAGATACAGGAAAGATGACTACCTCCGACAAGGCAAGCTTTCCTATTGGTCTAGACACCCAGAAGACTCGTCCCAGCCATGATATTCCCACCGTTCATTCGCACAAAGATGCAGGGAACATGAATATCTCCGGCAGCAAGTCTGCGGGTGTGGGCAAACTTACCGACCCATTGTCCAACCCTTCGACTGCAACTGGCGGGATCGCAAAGGAGCACACTCACAAATATGCGGAGCCTGCACGTCAACTCCCCACTTATCAAGAATCGAACCTGGCCAACATTGGCCTCGGCTCGGCTGGAAATCCGTCTGTTGATACCGGCGACAGCCATTACGAGCTCAAAAACACCTCGCAAGGTTTGAGAGACGTGGCACAATCGACTCCTAGGCACGATGCCAGTACCACCATATCAGCCACCAGTGCAGCACCTGGCCTTGCCCAAGACGCGGAACAGGAACAGGCTGACAGCGGCATCCTCAACCGACCTCGTGCCATTCCTCCTCTGGCCAACCTCGACCAGACGTCCCCAGCATTTGGCAAACACTAAGCCAATCGACTTGTATAATTATTTGAGTAATGTGGATTTATAGCATTGTTTTTGGAGGTTCTCATAATGTTGGAGGATATGGGTATTACGAATTTGGACGCTTCCGCGAGGTCAATGGATTCCGGTAAGGTCATGAGTTTGCTACATGGAGTATTAGCAGGAAATTGTACAATTACGCTCCAAAATAAGTTTGATAAATGATCATACTTCAAATCCTTCCCACAGTTGTAAAGTGCCTTGTGACCCTACTTTAAGATGGACACGCTCATTTGCTATGGCTGGCCTGTTTCAAGATATTGAGAAAATGTATTGAATATTATTTGCTACCTTATTATTAAGTGCAGAGTGCTATTTTGGGGTGGCAGTGTGCAGGGCTCCAAAAGTTCATGCTCTTTAGGGGCCCATCAACCAGCACGCCAGGCTTCCAGGCGGTTCATCTGTGGAATCAGTAAGATAGACTCCAGATGAGGCTATGATGCAGGTACATGTAATGGAGAAAATCTGCCTAATCAACTACTACCAGCATCATCGCAACATAATACTACTCTAGCCATGACACGTACGTAGGTCGGCTTAATTTGGGGACAAATGCAAGTCATGCATAAGAAGGCAAAACTAACTGTGACTACATATTCTCATGTAATTGGAACTTGATACCCCAAACCATTCCTTTGTCGGTTCATATGGTTTCTCCAAACTAATGCACCGGGCAGTTAGCCCGAGCGAGTATCTACAGATCAATCGCCATCGATTGATACCATCATTTCCTGCCGTGCTTGTCTGCGGGAACATTTAGGGAGTAAGATTCGTTGGTCAAAAGCGGCTATTCCTACGTTGGTTTCAACAAAACTAGCGTTGCAACGGCCCAGACGTAGATATGTTAAAACCAACCTGAGCTTTTTCTCGCTATATGTTGGGTATGTCTGTTTTCTTGGAGCCGGGATGCAAAAGAAATAGCAACTTGAGTCTTTTCACTGCTTGATTGCATCAGTTAACTTGCTGACTAGTCCGGTATATCTGGCATTTTCACGTCCATCGGGGGCTTAGTCACTCATAAAGTTGAAGGGTTGAGCGTGGTCTCAAGGACCTAATGAACATTGATCAACGGCTCATCTCGGACGCAGCTATCGACTAGTGAAGAGAATTTATGAACGAAAATGTATAGTATGAAATAATGTTTTAATAATACAATAACTTTCAATAAATACATCTCGATCTAACTCGAACTACTCTACCGGATTCTAAATCTCGAGCACTTAGGATCGGACGTTGTTCTCAATCGGACGCATCATCATCAATGTCTTCTTAGTTCTCAGGGTCAGAACCAGCCCCAACATCCATGTCAGGCGATTTTAACATGTCAAGTTCTTTCTCATGAGACATCATAGTCTCGTCCGCAAAGCCTATACATCTGCTGCGTGCATACGCTGCCAGCGTTGCTCTTAGTAGTTGCGCCTAGCCCCAGTCCAGCAAGCGCCAATCCCTTGTCGTCCCTTCGGCCATCAACGCCATCTGCCAGAGCTAATACCTGGCCAATGGCGAACGGCAGCTGCCATTCCTGCTGTATATAGTCTGACCCAAAACTGGTTCGGAGTATGGGATCCCAAACCTTCTTGTAGGCAGTCAAATGCCCCCAGTTTATCCTGTGCATGAACAGATAGGGAAAGGAAAGCTTGTAGACCTCCGAGTTCAGCGCGATCGCAAGAGCTGCAAGCAACTTGTGTGGTGAGGTTAGGAGGGTTTCTGATTGCACTCGTTTCTTACCATATTTCTCAAGACTGAGGATCTCATTAACATACTCTGGTGTCCAGTTCATCTGTTTTGCGTTGTTGTTGTTGTACCGGTCATGGAAGTGGCCATGAGATGTTGCTCGCGTAGTGAGGAACCTCGTACCGGCTTTTGAAAAGTCATCGATCCCAATCTTCTTGGAACGACGGTGTACGTTTACAAGTGTAGATGCCGAGGCGCCAACTTGCAACATGAATCGGCTGACATAGGCGGATGTGTTGTCAGGCTTGCCTCCAACAAAGAACTGCTCCTCTCCAAAAATACCCATCAACGTCTCCATATCGGGCCAGAGTGTCTGGCAATGGCCCTCTTTCAACACGGCATTGTACAGGTGTGCCGGCAGGATAATAGAACCCCACTGATTGGTGACGAGCAGGCCAGCCTCGTGCACGTCTGCGCGATGGTAATGCAAGGCGAGCCCCGCCATGACAGGTGACCTCCTCAAGAGCCGCCACTTCTTTATTCCCCTAACTATTTGTTGTCCCTTTGGGTCACCACGTACGGCAAGTATCCTGACCTCATGCATGGGATCTTTGAGGAACCATTCGAAGCCCTCCAAGCTCTGCTCCAGGCATCGTTGGTTGCGAGATGACCAGTGGGGATTTCTGACACCCTTGTGGAAATTTACGCTTGATCGAAGGAATGCTTCCATACTAGTTAGTCGTTTGAGAAGAGTGTCGATCGAGGTTTCGGCATAATCGCCAACGGCATGATGTATGTCAAGATTGACTTGAGATGCAAAAACAAGACTAAATGGAATCTGCCTGGTTTCTTTGAACTGCTCCACCCCTCGAACAAACTCATCTGTAAAGGGATAGTCCGGGACATTATGAACAAGCGTCAAGGCTTCAAAGTAGAGCTCTGTGGTGATAAGGAGGTCTTGGTTGATCTTTTGGTCCACGGTTTTAGACTTCCAGTCTGTGTTGGGATTCAATGTTCCAAAGGCACCTTCCGGATAAATGAACGGCGCCCCTCGCCAAGGCACTTCAGCAAGTTTGTCCAAGACGTTGCACTCCAAAAAGTAGGACTTGGAGAGTATATTGTAGAACCTTTCCGCCGACTCTGAGCCCTTGTCCCAGCTTTCGAAATCGTAAATGGACTGGTTTCCTGTCACTGGAATGAGTGACAGATAGCTATTCATTACTGTCCGAATACCGCCATGTGGCTCAAAAATGGGCAACATCTCCTCTATAATGTTTTTACCAAATTCGATGCCCGTATTAGTCACGATGGCCATCACGCCTGGGTCATACGCCGAGCCTTGTTCACTGACAGTGGTTGCCCAAAAAGTCGAAAGCGCATGCCGGATCTCCCCCAGATCGGTACACATCATGTAGAAAGCAACAATGGCTTCCTCCAGTGATTGTGAGGGGTCGACTTCAAAGATCTCGGCTTGTTCTGTAGCCGGCTTGGGTCTGTCAATGTCCGGCGCGTTGACGAAATCGTCGGATGGGACATAGACCTTGAGAAGCTCAAACTTGTTGGACAAGGTGCTGACGGGATCTGGCGTGGGAGAAGCAGCCGCAGATTTGAATTGTTCAAGCGCCTCGCGTACCTTTTTAAAGACGCCGACAAAGTGAGAATGCTTGGCGTCCGACTCGGCATCGAGAGCTACATTATGCTCCTTGAGCTCCTTGCTGAAGCCAGATCTGATGGAAATGACGCGGTCAAGTGTGGTGAAGAAAGCCTTTGGAACACACAGACTGGGGATCTTGGAAGCGGAGATGCATTCGGCCAGCGGGACAAAGTCTTTGATGGAGATGATGTACCGAACCAGATCTGCCTGTGGCTTCGTTCCGGGTCCGCCTTGGCCTTCGCCCTTCGCTTTCTTAGCTACAGTCCTGGCCTTTCCTTTTGCTCGTCCGCCCTTTGCAGGTGGTGCAGTGCCGCCACCACCAGGCGCGCTGGGGAGTAAAGAAGCGGGATATCCGCATACCTTAGCCGTCGAAGCAAGCCATGTTGCGATGGAATTGGTGTCTTTTTTGTACTCTCGGTACACGCTGGCTAGGGCTTGTGGTAACATTGCAGCTAGATGGTTGTTAGGTTGCCAAGTTGCACCGAAAAACGAAGTGGCGTTGAGCTGTTCCTGCCGTGGAGTTCAGTCACTCAAATAATAAGCTGTTATAGGCGAGTCAGGTCTAACCAACGAGATTGAAAATGGATGGAGTAGAATAATATTTTGGTTGTGTTTTTTTTTTCTTTTTTGCCATATATAAAGGGAAGATCAGCCCACACGTGATCTGTTGCACTTTTCTTTTTGTTCTAAATCAATTACGGTCGATACCCATCCTTTAACTCCTTGTCAAATCCTTGACTTAGACACATTGAAGCCTAGGCATAGGTAAGTATAATAATATACCTGTTTATAGGTAATGCCTTTAGAGGTCTTGCTGAAGAAGTGGGAAGCTTGGTACCAAACCAAACACTATTACATTACACTAGGTACCTCTCTAATAGATTCATTTTCTTTGTCTTTCGATATAAATTTAACATCGGTCTCCACCTACGTAATCAATAAGACGTTGCGGAAGATTGAAGGATCGAGTCTAGGCTGGGGACGGTTTCAGTTGAGCCAATTGGAACGCGATACTCTTCCCCTGAATGGCGTCACCGAGCGACACGCCTCCATTATCTAATGGATGTTTACGCGGAGGCGCGTCAGAGCTACACTTGATCTACAAGGTACAACTACTTTTCGTATTCTACTTATCTATTGTGCTCAGATCAGGCTGCAATTGACATCATTTAATGGAGCAAATTTGCAACTTGCTGCCCATTCCATCATTGCCAGGGAATTTAGTCTCGCTTACATGGCCTATGCTACCTACCCTATTGCTATCTAAGAATGTGATCATAGGAGTTTATATAATAAGTCATCATTTCATTAGACTTACAATAGCTGTTTTTATACACTGTAAATATATAAAACCATTTAGTATTTCAAAAGTTTCGTACAAGTTGTTTTGGATTGTTCAAACACTTTCTCCCCTCTGTATACTACATTTATTACATACCTATATGCACCCCCCACTGGGCACCAACATAGGCTCAGAAAAATACCAAAACACACTGAAAACACGAACGCATCAAGGCCCACCAATTACGGCAAAAACTCAACTTACTAAGTTTGGGTGAGCCCAGACCCTTAAGACCCAATCTGACTTGGTGTTTGATAAGGGTAGGAAAGCACATCGTTCCCATCCATTGACAGAATCAGATTATGCGACTCTCGCCATGTGTAGTGTAAATGTCCCTCGTAAGTATGTACCGTTCATCTCGCAACCTATTTGTAAAGACACTGGCGTCTCGCTAGACTCGATTGTCTCAGCATAAGAACGTTTCTCCCAGGGATTTCAGCAAAAATGTATTAACTTTTGACGGTAGGATATCCAATATTTGGTCAACCCGCTCCAAAGTCGAGCCCAAAGAAAAATATGATAAACAACGTACCGACTACATTGATCACCGACAGAGCATTTATACTTAACATGCTTTCAGACACGAGTTCATTACCTTTTCCTAGCTGGTGCAGCCTTCTAGTGTGTCCCCAAGAAGGACATAACCGATGTCCTCAGCTTGTCGAGTCAGGCTAGAACTTTCTCACGATAGTGATGACTAGTTCAAGCCAGTCATACAAATGTTGATAGAATCATAATCACCGGTATAATCTTATTCAAGCACGTATTAAATAATATTGGTCCTGATATTACTTAGAATGGATTATAAACATCAATAGCCAGATCAAAAGAATCCAAAATTGGCTTCACAAGCTCTGCTCCAAGCGGCTGCTGCTCCACAGGCAACTTTTCGATAATGGCATCACTGAACCCAACCGTGGCCTTCTTCTCGAGTTCAAGGTTGATCAAAATAACGGGACCCAGTAATAGGTGGTCAAACTTGGGCTTGGCGCCGACGATGGTTGAGATAGTAGTGTTGACTTCCTTGGCGAGCGCCTGCGTGGCTACGGCGACACCGATGGCGTCGAGCAGCGTCAGTGGCTCCGAGGCCTCGGCCGTCTTTTGACCCTCGTGAATGGAGGCAAGGAGCGTGGTGGAGCCCGCGACGATGGGGATCGTGCCCAGCAGCCCGCCGTTCCACGACGAAACGTCATCGTTGAGAGACTTTGTGTCGCCAGTGATTTTCTCGAGGGCCGACACGATGGCGGGGCCGTCTGCGAGGGCAGTGACGAAGAGCCCGGCTGCGACAATGGCGCGGTAGAGCATCATGTTGATTAGGAGTAGGACTTTGAGTGAGGCTGGAAGGTTGCAAAAAAAGCAGCTAAGGGGCACTCTTGCTGGGAAGTCGTGTTGCCCAGGGCATTGCTTTCGAGAAACAGGTCACAATATATAGTTGATCTCGTATTCCATGGGTCCAATGAACTCATCTATTGTCCTCGGCTCTTTTGCTATGATTGTGCAAGATCTGCCATCAGTGGGATGCCTCTTTCGTTCCCATTCCCATGTGCCTGGCCATCTCGTTGGTACGGCAGCAACTAAGCGTCACACGCTATCCGATTTGAGTATAATGTTTAGCGATTGAGGCAATAGTACCTAGAACTAATACGATTCGAGCTGTTATATATCCCTCTGCTGTTGCAATTGAATGAGGGGTAAGAGAAAATATTACGGTTGGTTGGTCTTAAATCCGGGGTAAAGTCAACCCCGGACTTTGAGGCCGTACGAGGTGTGATCGGCAACCCACCATCAGTATTGTGTGCATCCTTGCCGAGGGAACATGTGAAGCCCTACCGTAGGGCCTTGACATTTGATCCGTTTACCACACCGTATTTGTCAACTTTCACTTCCGACGAATAGTATTTCTAAATTCACTACTCATCACTTTGCGCGAGAAGGAGAAGGTAGTAGAGTAAATGAATCGAGTTCCTATTCGTACTTAAGGCCTGTATGAAACCTCTACAGAAGGGCGAGTTTTGATTATTACGGTCAAGCAGTTGAAAAATCTAATCGAAACCTGACTGGGAGCCACTCTTTCTCATACACAGACCAGGCAGTCTTGATCAGGATTGGTTCCCCAGACCCTTGCTTAATTATCAATGGAAATTTGTGAAGTGGACCAAGAAGTCGCAGGGAAGAGGTGACGTTGCATTGGATGCCACCTTTTTCAGTATTTTGCCCAGTGCGTGCCCGTCGATTAAATGATCTGAGTATAGGTGGAGTCGATTGAATTTGGCTTTATTATGGTTCTGAACGTGGTATCCTGGCAAGTTTGCTTAAAGGGGCCGGTTGTTGCCTTCCTGATCAGTGGTTTTGGCATTTGGGGTTATATATCACGAAGTTGGGGGATTACACTTGCTGGGTCTTTCGCCTGCTATCCCAATTTTTCATCTCAATGGAGTTATGAATACGGAGGTCCATGGAATTTCACCCTCAGTTATTATTTATGCTGCCTTTAGGATCTTGTCTAAAGAATTGTCTGCTGACTATCTCGAAGTAGCTACCGTAGACCAAATCTTCAATTGCTGCACGCCAAGGTATGTGATTATAGAAGAAGAAAAAAGCCGGGATAACACAAAGAGCTAGAAGGAAATATTTTAGGCCACCTCAGTCTTGACCACGTGACACCGTTGTAAATACACGCCAAGTCATTAATCCCTCTCGATAAGACTATCTTGACGTAGTACTTGAAAATCGTATTCAGAACAAAGAGAATTATTGTGGGCGAAGAGCAGTCCTCTCCGAATCACTCGACCACCCGTGAATGTACTGCCTCACATTCTTGCCCCAGAAAGCAATGGGAACTGCCAGAATGCCCAAGACGGCGATCAGGATGCTGATAAGCATGGTGGGCTGCAAAATTTGGTGAGATGTCGTCCAGGGCAAGATGGCCGAGGCGATGCCGAAACTGACCATGTTGCCTGTAAACAGCTGGACGGCCAACGCAGCGGCCGCCCAGCGTGGAAACGCCTCGGTGATCCAAATCGTGAACGCAACGTTTCCTGTAAGATAGCTCAATATGCTGATGGCGGAAGTAGTATAGAGCCATCCCGAGTTCCACTGTTTTTCAATGGCAAAGCCGTTGATCAAGACGCTGGCCAGGCCAGTCACGACGGGGATGGCAAAGGCTGGGAGGTAGACTTCAGCGTGGCGAACACCCCCGTTGCGCAGCGAGTAGTACCGGGCAAACCAATTGGCCAGAGGACCCGTGACAGGAAACGCCAAGATGGACCCGATGATGCCAGCGACGCCGAGCCACATACTGACGGCCTCGGGGTCTTGGGTACCTTGTGCAAGAACGCTGGGCTGAGAGAGGTTCAAGAAGATGACCCCGCTGAGGATGATTCCAGTCAGAAGAGAGACCCAGAAGGTAAGCGGGTTGAGGATGCAGAGTATCATTTGCATGTACGCGGCAACAGCCGCACTCCAAGTTGTGCCTGGCGCCCGCGAGATCTTGAGACGAGACCAGAAACGACTGGAGGCGGGCAAAGCTGGTAGAGGTCGCTCGGCCGTATCTGTCTCATACCTGCCCCAGTCCTTATAGACCTCCACCTTCTCAGAACTGCTCTGCACGAGGATCCGGCCATCTAGAGAGACGGGCGGACGCAGGAAATACGTCTCTGGTACAAAAAGGAGAACGCCTACCGCTGCGATGAGGCACGGACCAAGCCAGACCTGGTATACAGTCCGCCAGCACGTGTTCAGGTCTGCGATAAAGGGAAGAATCAAGATGCTGAGTTTGATGAAGACTGATCCAACACACCAGTACAGGGACAAGGCGTTGGGGCGCTCATGGATGAACGTCGCGTCAATGAGAATGAGTAGGCACTGACATGGTTAGAATCACCGACGAGCCGTAGTATGATAGGGAGACTCACCATGCCAATCGCTGCGCCGACGGCCAAGGCTTGGAAGCAGAGGGAAGCGAGGAGATGCCAAAAGCTCGGGGCCCAGCCAGCCCAAAGCGTTGACACACTGGTCACCACAGCCGCCCCAACGAAGACGGGCCGTCGCCCGACTGCAGTGGATAGAGGGATTCCTAGGAGGTAGCCGAAGCCGGTAAAGAGAG